GCCCATTTGACTTCACACTCCAGGAAGTCTGGCTCTAGGTGAGTGATCACACCGTTGCTGTTATCTGGGTCATGAAGATATTTTTTTGTATAGTTCTGTGTATTCTTGCCACCTCTTCTTAATATCTTCTGCATCTGTTAGGTCCATACCATTTCTGTCCTTTATTGTGTCCATCTTTGCATGAAATGTTCCCTTGGTATCTCTGATTTTCTTGAAGAGATCTCTAGTCTTTCCCATTCTATTGTTTTCCTTTATTTCTTTGCACTGATCACTGAGGAAGGCTTTCTTATCTCTCCTTGCTATCTTTGGAACTCTGCATTCAAATGGGTGTATCTTTCCTTTTCTCCTTTGCCTTTTGTGTCTTTTCTGTTCTCAGCTATTTATAAGGCCTCCTCAGATAACAATTTTGCCTTGTCACATTTGTTTATCTTGGGGATGGTCTTGATCACTGCTTCCTATACAATGTTACAAACCTCTGTCCGTAGTTCTTCAGGCACTCTATCAGATCTAGTCCCTTGAATCTATTTGTCACTTCCACTGTATAATCATAAGGGATTTGATTTAGGTTATAACTAAATCAAACAGTCTAGTGGTTTTCCCTACTTTCTTCAATTTAAGTGTGAATTCAGCAATAAGGAGTGCATGATCTGAGCCACAGTCAGCTCCCAGTCTTGTTTTTGCTGACTGTATAGAGTTTCTCCAACTTTGGCTGCAAAGAATATAATCAATCTGATTTCGGTATTGACCATTTGGCCTAACTCATCACTCAGTGGTGGTCAATGTCATATTTTCTTGCCAGAAAGAGCTCTTAAAAGCAAGAGACTGAGGAGGTCACCTCTACAGCATTACAGATGGGTCAGTCAATTCCTGAAATATTTGACTTCTCTGCTCAGAGACATCAGGAAGTTCAGGGGAGTTATGGGAGAAAGTTTGAGGCTTTCCTTCTGAGGTTTTTTTACTTGTTTGTTTTGTTTACACTAAAGGCAAGGAAAACCTTGTACTTTTGATGAAAAACTTTTGCAACATGTATTCAAATTTCCCTATCAGTTAACTCTACAACTTCAAGAGATAAGGCTCTTGCGATAACTACACTCTAGAAGATAGTTTTGCTGCTGGGAGAAACCTGTTTAAAGTTATGGGACTCTCTTCAAACTCTAACCCCTTTTCCCTCCTTGTTCTGGAGCGTAGATAGGAACTCTTACACTGGCATTCAGAATTGATAACTCCTACAAAGTTGTAACCAAATAGAAGTGAAGTGAAGTGTAGTGAAGTCACTCATTCATTTCTGATTTTTCGCGACCCCATGAACTGTAGCCTACCAGACTCCTCCATCCATGGGATTTTCCAGGCAACAGTACTGGAGTGGGTTGCTATTTCCTTCTCCAGATAGACTGGAACATTATTCCAGATTGGGCAGTACTATGATATTTCTCTACATAGGATGGGGGTGGGGGTAGTCAGGAGTCAAGAAAAATATTAACTGACTGAAGAGTGGGAGGGAATTAACAACAATTAAAACATGTAATAAAAAAAATTAACTTTACTATGCACAAGGTATTTCTTACATACTCTACCAATAATATCAACACCTTCTCTCTTCTCCCAGTATATCATAATCTCATTCCACTTTCTGGACCTCCTCATAGTCAAAGATTCATCTTGTATCCACTCCATGTTATTATAACTCCCCACTTTCATCCTCAGATCTCACCTTAGATAGAGACTGTGATGGTTAATTCTACATGCCAATTTAGCCAGAATGTTTGGTCAAGCTAGATGTTCCTATGAAGGTATTTTTTTAGATGTGATGAGTATTTCAATCAATAAAGCAGATTACCCTCAATAATGTGGGTGGGCCTCATCCATTCATTTAAAGGCCTTATAAAAAAAAAGACTGAAGTCTCTTGAAGAGGAAGGAATTCTGCCTCCAGACTGCCTTTGGACTCAAGACTGTAATATCAACTCCTTCCGAAATCTTCAGGCTGCTGGCCTGCCTTGTAGGTTTTGGAATGTGTCAGACCCCACAATTGCATGAGCCAATTCCTGAACAGAAATCAATCTTTCTCTCTTCCTCTCTCTCTTATCATTTATATGCATATAAATTATATAATCCTATTGATTGTTTCTCTGGAGATCCCTGACTAATACAGAGATGAAAGAGCAAGGGAAAATTATTATTATTTTATATAATCAGAATGTATTCTGCATTAAGACAGATTTATATCTTTTATGCTGTTTGTGGAAGTGTGTAGAACAGGGTGAACTGTATCCAAGGAGAGTGGATTCAAGGATTTGAGAGCCAGAATCTACTTGATGTGTTTTGACTAAAAAAAGAAAAACACATTATGCCCTCCAAGAATCATCGTAACAGTCAACATAACTGTGGCAGCACAGTACCACAGAAAGGACACAGCACTGGGGATGAGGAAGACTGGAGCTCTTTATGTGTGTTTGACCAAATTGTTTAATTTTTGAACTTCTGAACATCTATAAAATGGAGACAATAAAACTCAGTTCATTGGATTTTTATGAAAATTAAATGAGATTTATATAAAGCAGGTCTGACCTACAGTTAACACTTTAAAATTGAAGCTTCTATAATTATTTTTCTCATCAATACATGGCTAGTACTGATGCAGCTCCATAAGTTTTTGGGTGTTTAATTGAAAACCATTAAAATTACAGTTAACCATTAACATGCTCTTGGACTGCAGGGAGATCAAACCACTCAATCCTAAAGGAAATCAACCCTGACTATTCACTGGAAGGACAGATGCTGAAGCTGAAGCTCTATACTTTGGTCACCTGATGCAAAGAGCCAACTCACTGGAAAAGACCCTGATGCTGCGAAAGACTGAGGGCAAGAGGAGATGGGGAAGGCAGAAGATGAGATGGTTAGATAACATCATTGACTCAATGGACATGAATTGGAGCAAACTTTGGGAGACAGTGGAGAACAGAGGAGCCTGGCAGGCTGCAGTCCATGGGGTCACAAAGAGTCGGACAAGACTTAGCAGTTGAACAACAATGCCAGTAGATAACATAGGCCAATAAGCATCATTATAGTAGTATAGTTAGATACTATAAAAGCAATTATGAGACCGAATACCTAACACACTTCAGGCAACATATTAGTACCTTTGATACCTTATCTTATGTAATTCTCCACAATGCTGTAAGGCATGTTTTTTGAAGAACAAAACATAGAATTAGAAGAGTCAAAGAACTCTTTTAAGTTCACACAGCTTTGAAAATACTGAAAGCAGAAATTCCAACCTAGGTGTCTGTCTCCAAATGTATTTTGGTCCTTTGTGCATTACCACTGACTCCAAAGGTCAGTCATTACCTTGTACATAGGCAGCACATCTGTTTTGTATTCATATTAACATGTCTGGCACCTTGCTTAGTGCCTGGCATGCTATAGACACACATTATACATTTGAATGAAAGAAGGAAGGAAATAGGAAACAGTTCTCCTGGAAGTTATGTTCTCCTATTTCTGGTCATGAACTGTGTATTTGTTATACTTGCCTGGATGGTGAATGACACAGGTTCTTGCCACACTCTCCCATCCACAAGAAAGCCATTGTTTGTCCCATCTGAGGCCATAAAAGTGAAGTGGTCAGTCCGAGAATCCCCTCCCAAGTGCCGATAGGCCACATGCCCGCTGTCCACGTCCAGCTGAGTGAAATTGTGTGGGATCAGCGCCATCCCCCGCACGTAGAGCTGGCCATGCCGTGGTAGCTGGGCCAGAAGAAAGGTGAGCTTCTCAGCTGGAGTGTCAGGGTCGGTCAGCTGCAGGAGGTCAGGGGAGAGCAGGCCCGTGGCCCCTTCAACCAGTCTCAACCCCTTGTTCCTGGTCACCACGGGTAAGGCTGTGTCCACAGTCTCCAGTGTGATCTCAAAAACCCCAGGCTTGGTCTGAAGTCCATTGCTGACGATGAATCTGGCAAAGAGAGGCAAGGCAGCCTTCAACATGGATGCTTGTGTCACCATCTATTGGAATGAAATGATAACAATACACACCTTTACTCAAGGACATGTTGTGTTGGGATGTGAAGGAAAGCTCAAGAGCAGATCTTTCAGGAGGACACCATTCTGTCCATTAAACCAGTCACTAGACAATGCGTACATGGACCATTCTAACCCCCCAAGTATTGCTCAGCAGCATGGATGGTGGACTCCTGGGATGGGGCAGGTTAACTGTGCCAATGATCTTTCTCAGGCTTGTCAATACTTAGAGTCATTACTTGCCCCAAATAGGAATTCCATAGACCAGACTCTTTTGCAATTGTATTTTCTTTGTGAGATTTTAATAGGCTCAGTTCTTAAGGCTGATCATGGGAAGCCCATCCAATAAAGTACTGAGTAGGCTGAACTTGGCTAATTCACTCAATTCATATATTTTTCTGTTTGTTTTCACCTTTGCCCATGACAAGATATGGGGGAGTTATGTTAGACAAAGATTATTCCCCTGCTTTAAAGAAAAGAAAACTAGAGTGGAAAGATTCAGAAACATGGCAGATCATAAGGCAGGGAGGAGACAGAACTGGGACGGACACCCAGATCCTCTGACGCCACACCTTCTGTTCTTGCAGTTTTTGTGATTGCTGGTTTAACAATCCACTAAGAAAGAGTTGTGGTACCTAAGTGTCACTGCAGACCTAGAAGAGAAAACTGAAATGATGCAAATCCAAGCTGAGCAAGATGTTTCTTACACTTGAAGCTCAGTGATACCACAGCGTGCTTCTGATTACATTGATCTCTTAATCACATTCCACCCACACCAACAATCTCAAAATTAAACTAACCAAAATCACCCTTAGAACATTTCGATGTGTAATTTCTATACAAAGGACAGTGGAGACTATGATGAAATTAAACCAACAAAATCTGCTATTGAAACTCCAACAAGTTAGGAAATCACTAACCTCAAATGGAATTGACACATTCACTATTGGCCAAAGAAACATACTTCAAAACAATCATGGAATTGTGTCTATTTGTTTTTTTCCACGTACCAGCTCTGAAATAGTCATGGAGGATAGAAACACTCTTATGTTCCACGGATGTAAAAATCTCCTAAAACACTGCAGTGCATATAACACTGAATGATAAAAGAATTTTCTCTGGAGGTTCTTTTTTAAAATTAGAGAAGATATGGGTTTATATTTATTTTATTAATTTGACAAATGTGACTACCAAGTTTTTTATTCTCTACAAAAGATATCTTATCTTTCAGGGATAGAAGGTTGATGCTTTGCTGTTGAACATGAAGGAATATGAAACCAGGTTGTGTGGGCGTGATGAGTTTGCCAGCCTGCCTGAGGCAAAGGACTCAGGGACAAGAGCAGCTGGACCAGAAGTTACAGGGAGATGAGTTTGGCAGATACAGATTTTGCTTTGAAGGCTAGGCTAACATTTTTGAGCTTTCTAATTATCAAGCTGGTAAGACTGCCTACCAGGAAAATAGGATGCGATGCATGGAAAAGGAATCCTTGTCCAAAAAGTTAAAACTGCTAAGTGAAATACTCCAAATAAAACACATTTTTGGACATTTCACATACCTTGACTTGTAAAGAATGCGACCTGTTTTTTTTTCCCCCACAGCTGAAACAAGAATATGGAATCAACTTTAGAATTGTAGATGGAACAAAATCATAGTTTCCTTAAAACAAAACAATATGTTTGGATAAATATACTCTAAACAAATAGGTAATTTCATTGCTGGATCATGGAGTGTTTGCAAAATCCATTATTGTTTAAAAAGAAAAAAAATCACACCTGAGGAAAAATATTTGTGTATGCTCTTCACCTTTTAAGTTATTAAACACCTTGACAATATCAAAGATCAGGTGATACACATTTTTAGGTCCAAAAATCATGGTCTGTTTCTCAGGGGATGCTTTTCATGGAATGATGCCCATATTCCATTGTTTTCTGGTTAACTTTGTTATGTTTTCTCCCTGTAGTCTATCTGAGCAGAGGTAAAAATTGGAGACTGGGCATCCTCTCAGGCCCTCCATTTTCATGTAACCTCTCCAGAAACACACTTCATGCCTTCAACTTTGTCCTCTTTCACCAATAAAGTGGCTAGCTATGCAAAAACATGCTCTTTGGAGAGTTTTAAATTAGCAATTTATAGTCGAGCACAGCCTTAAGCCAGAGAACATGTAGGCATGTCAAATACTGGTGGAGAAGGAAGAAAAAGAAAATGGGAGAGAAGGGAAGAGACAGCCATCAGGAGCAAGGAGGTGGAGCAGGAGCCCCAGGGGCTGCCAGGGGCGCATCAGAAGTGGCCACTTTGAGTATCTGATTCTGACTTTCTCCTCTGGAGACTGAATTCCAAAAAATGCCCAACTGGGTGCCCCAAGTTCAGTCTCAAGGTGGCTGCATTAGCCACATACATGTGACCTGTGAGAGGCCACTGAAGTTTCCTCATGATCCAGGCAGTCCATCTCAGACTCCTGTCTGCCTCTGATGGGCATCTGACCACCGTGAAAATCAGCAGTCTGCCCTCAGTCAGAGGGGAATGAGGGTGAGTGGGTTAGGGACCATTTAAGATAAGAAACATGTTTCCTGAGGCCAGTGTTCCCAGCTGGGACGCTCGGGCAGCTGTCTACACTGACAGAAAGCTATCAAGCCAGTGGCTAAAAGGATGCAATGTCCCAACATGACTGGATCAAGTACATCATTCCACGTTCACAAGTAACAGTGCAAACTATTCACAAGCGGAGAACATTATCAGAAAGAGTGAGAGATGAGGTAAATTGGTCATGGTTGGTTTCCCAGTCAAAAGAAAAAAAAGCCCAGCAGAACCAGTGCAACAAGGTCAATGCTCTGTGCCTGCAAAGGTTGACCAGATGATCTTGCAAATGGCCCATGCCATCCCCCTCAGAAGAAACCTTCCAAATAGGTTTTCAAGTTTTAAAACAACAGTGCCATTGCTATTGTGGCATCCAATCAAGCTTAAGAAGCCAGTGGTGTTGAGGTGGAAGCTCCTTGTGTGGGTCCATTTTGTTTAATTTCCTTTATTATGCCCCCCCCGAGAAGAAACGCAGCCAAGATGACCACTGTCTCATGAAATGTGGGGAATGACTCTCAGATCTGTGTGGGGTGCCTGCCCGGCCTGATTTCACCATTACCATGGTGCTTTCAAGCTTTCTGCATTTCCTGGCAATAGAGTTGGCTGAAGAATCTGCCATCTGTCATGGCATTTAAAAGATAAAAATGGAATCATAAATAGAGCCAGTTCTTCAGGAAAAAAAATAAAAAGTCCAACCAGCATGTCAAAATGGAGGACATTAGCATGTTCTTTTAGAACCCGGCTGCCAGCAGCTGAAGTCAGCTTGCTAATCACTTGGTGTCAGCTGTCCCAGAATGTGCTGCCAAATCCTTCTTCCAGGCCAGCAGCACCAAACAATACAGGAGAAATTTATGATTCACAAAATATTTTTGCAGAAGGTAAAATCTGACCATTAAACTCCCCTGTTTAATTAATGCTGCCATAGCTTACATTAAAAGTGAAGGGAGGAGGGAAGCTCTCTGCCACAAATTTATCTCTTCTCCCCAGCCAAATTCCTTGCCAGATTTAACAGCAAGCAACATAAATTTAGGTGATTAGATTGGTTGCATATATTTAATTTTTCAAAAGCACCATGATCACACTTTCATTAAAACAGCCTTTCGGCTTTGGTTGAACGCCACCTGACAAACAATACAACGGTTGGGTTAGTGAAATGACAAGATTAAAACAAGAGTCTTCAGCAGATGTGAGGCTCTTCCATTATAAATATGTAAAACTGCTGGCCAAACATCAGAAAGACACACACGGAGAAGGGTCCTTCCCACAGGTAAAGATTCTCCACAAGGTTTTTGGTACAGCCAGGGATAATGGAAAGACCTCTCCACAATGAGCTTTCAGCCCACATTTATCTCTGATACTCAGCTATGTCAGTTTAGGTGACTTTTTGCCTCTTCAAGACTCACTTTTCTCACCCATAAAATGGGAACAAGACATCTCTCTCAAGGTGGTGGTGTAAGGCTTAAGAGCAATAATACTTGTATAAAAAGGGTCTAGTACACTGTTTGATGGGGCTTCTCAGGTGGCCCTAGTAGTTTAAAAAAACCCACCTGCCAAGGCAGGAGACATGAGACAAGGGTTCAATCCCTGAGTCAGGAAGATCCCCTGGAGGAGGGCATGGCAACCCACTCCAGTATTCTTGCCTGGAGAATCCCATGGACCGAGGAGCCTGGCAGGCTACAGTTCATAGGGTTGCAGAGAGTCAGACATGACTGTAGCGACTTAGCATGCACACACACACTGCTTGATCCATTACGAGTGTATCAAGACTAGCTTTCTTACACATAAATGAAGGGACTGGATTAAATCAGCGTTTTCCTACCCTTGCTGTTCATTGTCTCGATGAACCTGTTCCCTAATCTTGAGTCATTCAAACACCATCTTCACAATTTTTGCCATTTTCTGGTACTACTTGTATTCTTATTCCCTACTATTTTGCTTTATATCAACTCATTGTTCTTCTTAAATAAATGTACTTGAAAAGAAACCTTTTAACGACTAAAAAATCAAAGTTTTCACTCAAAAACGAAATCACCATAAACATGACAAAAATAAATACAAGAAACCAACTGTCTTTCATTCGCGCTAGACGTTGTTGGCCGATGGCTTGGAGCCTGAGGCCTGTACTCTCTTTGCTAAAAAGGGAAAAACAGTCCATACTGGAGAGCTGTTAAGGACATATGAGCACAGGCCGCCCGAGACTTCCTTCTAGAAACAGAAGGATTGAGAATATTAAAAAGGAGTTTCTCACTCGTGAATCTCTATGACTTAATGTCTCCTTCCTGGAGACAGCCAGAAAACATCCTTTTGCATCTTTGTAGCACTAGTGGTAGTAATCACTCATTTTACAAAATTGAGTCACAGAGTTTCTGCTAAATGAAAACCTTGCCCAGAAGCTCTCTGTGCAAAACAAACTAAAAATCAAACCACCAACAAACTAAACAAAACAAAATTATCTCAGTTAACTCAAGATGTGAGCTGCCGAACACCAACAATTCTGCCCCTTCATGTGCTGTCTGGGAGAGGACCCCAGAGACTCCTGTAAATTTTCGGACACCTCAGAACACACTGGGAACAATGGATTGGACCAGACTGGACATGGCTAGCCCCAACGGCATTGGAATCACCTGGAGAGCTTTTAAAAATACAGATTCCTAGGCCTGAAACTGGACTTACTAAGGTTGTCTCTTTGCAGTGAGGCCCAAGAATTTAAATTTTGTAAATCTCTCAGGTAACTCTCTTGAGAATCTAGAAACTTAGAAACTCCTTGGATGAATGATTTTATAAACACCCTCTAGTATGGATTTTCTAGTAGTCATGTATGGATGTGAGAGGTGGACAGTGAAGAAATCTGAGCGCCAAAGAATTGATGCTTTTGAACTGTGGTGTTGGAGAAGATTCTTGAGAGCCCCTTGGACTTCAAGAAGATCCAACCAGTCCATCCTAAAGATCAGGCCTGGGTGTTCATTGGAAGGACTGATGCTGAAGCTGAAACGCCAATACTTTGGCCACCTCATGTGAAGAGTTGACTCGTTGGAAAAGACCCTGATGCTGGGAGGGATTGGGGGCAGGAGGAGAAGGGGATGACAGAGGATGAGATGGCTGGATGGCATCACTGACTCGATGGGCATGAGTTTGAGTAAACTCCAGGAGTTTGTGATGGACAGGGAGGCCTAGCGTGCTGAGATTCATGGTGTTGCAAAGACTCAGACGCGACTGAGTGACTGGACTGAACTGAACTGAGAAACACTCAAGCACTGAATTCGTAATAAGATAGTGAGCAACCAAATGATTATCTGCTTGTTAAAAACATTTGTCTAAAGAAAAAAGGAGGTATTGGTCTAAACTTCCCTGGATTTTTTTTACCTAACTATACAACTCATCTTTTCAAATCATCATTCCAAATAGCAAAAAGGCAAGCAAAATAATCTTTACTGACATTTAAACATTGTTTATCATAGCAGACATACTGAATTAGATAAGATATATGACAGAGGAGAGTGGCATTTGGACATGGGTTTATCCATATACCTGATAGTTTATGGGAGCCTGTCAAATAACATAGGACTCTGCTACAGTTGTGTTATTTTATAGCATTCTTTTGAAGGCTGTATTCTGACATGATAAAAATCATAGTGGAGGACAGAAGCCTTGTGTGTATGGAAGATGAATCAATGCTCTCAGAGCCTCTTTCTTAATTGGAAAATTCAGGGTTAGATGTGCACCAAGGCCCCCCAAAGGCTAGTCCAGGATTTCTGGGTTCTCAACCCAGCCCTGGGAATCTGTATTTATATCAAGAACCCCAGGTTCAGCCAGTTTTGATAACTGCTAAATGATAGACCCTCTAGAGTTTTTCTTGCTTTATGTGACTGGAAACAGATTTCAGTATTTTAAATGAATGTAGACTTTCATTAATGTTGTATCTTTGCCTTTTCAACAGATTGTTATTCCTCCCAGTGATTTATTTGATACAGAATCCTTGAACAGGTGCACAGCCCCCAATTATAACACTGTTTCTATGGGGAAATATGATCCACTTTATGACAACATGATTTATGATATAGTTACCCGAACACATTGTGTCAAAAGACACTGTCTGCTTATGCCAAATGTTTACTAGCAAATTTCTTTTCCTTGGATAGAAAAACAGACTCAAATAAAGAGGTAAATTACTTTGCCACATCTCTCATTAGTGGAGATCCTCAGGTCTTCACATGTCTCTTCACTGAACAGCTTGTATGGAGATTTGCTTAGGTGTTTATTTTTAAAAAACAAGCCCTAATTTCTTGCCTGGCTACTACTGTCAGTTTAATTGTGCACCCTTCTCTCTCATCCATCGAGGCAGTGGATGAAGAGCAGATTTATCTCGGAGCTGGAAAAGGACATATTTTTCCCTGCCTTTGTTTTTCTAAGCATTCATTCAAAGAAGGCATCTGAAAAGTTCCCTCAGGGCTCACCTGAACGTGTCTCTGTGGACAGCTGTCGTGCTCTTATCTACATAGCAGACTGTCTGTCCTGCTATATCCATTTGGCTGAAGCTTGTAATGGGGACCCCAGGATAGCGGACGTACTCAACCTGGCCAAATTGCGGTGGGGAGGTGATAACGTAGAGAAGCTCCTCAGGCTTGTCTGTTCCATCCACAGCAAGGAGAGTGGTGGTCGTCAGGAAGCCTCTGTCACCTTTAGACACCACAAGTGGTTTTGCCAGGATGACAATATCACCTGTGTGGCAGAAGAGATGGTGGTCAACATTTGAAAAATAAAACATCCATGGTGAAGGTAAAAAGCAAAGTCAAACTGAGCAGAAATCAAAATCTCAACTCTAGGATAAGAATAGAGACACAGATGTAGAGAACGGATGTATTGACATGAGGGGCAGCAGAGACAGGGGTGAACTGGCAGATTAGGTTTGCCATACAAACATGCATATGCATGTGTGCTCAGGTGCTCAGTAGTGTCTGACTTTCCGCAACCCTAAGGACTGTAGCCTGCCAGGCTCCGCTGTCTGTGGGATTCTCCAGGCAAGAATATTGGAGTGGGTTGCCATTTGCTCCTCCAGGGGATCTTCCCAACCCAAGGATTGAACCTGCATGTCCTGTGTCTCCTGCATTGGCAGGTGGATTCTTTACCACTGAGCTACCTGGGAAGCCCATACACTACCATGTGTAAACATAGCTAGTGGGAAAGCTGTTGTATGGCACAGAGCACTTAGCTTGGGGCTCTGTGATGACCTATATGGGTGGGATGGGGGGTGCTGTTGCTGGGAAGGAGGTCCAAGAGAGACAGGATATATGCATACATGTACAAAAAAAAGGGGGTCAAAACGGTGGAAAGCAAAAACCAAAAAAAAAATGAAAAACAAATAAAAACCAAAGAAAAAAAAAATTAAAAAACCAAAAAAAAAAATGCTAATATGATATAGCAAGGTTTCTATGACTGGGATTAATCAAAGAATTTGGCCAAAGACATGGGGAGATATCACAGAGAAGGTACAACAAATAAGGCCAATAAAGATGCAAGATATGCTCAATCTCATGAATAGTCAGGGAACTACAGATTAAGACCACAATAAATTGCCATCTCACATCGCTTTGATAGGCCAAGATGTGGAAGGCTGAAGACAGCAAGTGTTGAAAGGGATGTAGAATCTTGCATACAGTTCTAGTTAGAGTGTAAACTGGTACACAACCTAGAATTATTTTGTAAAGAGTTGGATACTCACATATGCCTTGACCCAGTGATGCCACTCCAGTGGTGTGCTGGAAACATATGCACTTGTACCCAGGAGGCCTGTGCTAGAAAGGTCATGGCAGCACTGTTTGTAACTGAAAACACTGGAGACAACCCAGATGCCTTTTCAGAAGGTGAATGTAAAAACAAGCTGTGGCCTATTCATACAGTTGAATTTTGCAGAGTAGCAAAATGAATGCACTAGAGCTACATGCAGTCACACAGAGGTAGCTTATTAACATGTATCAGTTGAGTGAGCAAGTCCCAGAGAACTATAAACAAAAGCAAGAAACTTAACACAAAATTCAGGATGGTGGCTTTCTCTGGAGGATGGAACGGGTAGATAGGTAGATTCTGATACTGCAATATTCCAGTTCTTGTATGTATGGTGGCTGCACAGGTGCTATTATATGTATTTAAAAGACTCTACGAGTGAATGTCTGAACGAGCAAAGAAGAAGTTGATCACACACAGACAAAGGATACAGAGCTTCATAAATTAAAGGTTATATCAAAGTTTGCTCACCTGAGGTTCATCAAAAAATGATCATAATTAAAATACCCTTGAGCTTCAACTTTGTGCTAGGTAAGGGATAAAGATTCTTAAAACTTTACACCAACATTGTGATAGGCCATTGCCAAGTGTCTAGGCTATAAATGAGGAAACTAAGGTGTACAAATGTTACCAACATGGTAATGATTATACAATTAGGAAACATAGAGCTAGAATTTATACCCAAGCCATCTGACCCAAGAGCACACACTCAAACATGTCACTATTTTGCTTATGCTCTTTAATACTGGAAAAGACCCTGATGCTGGGAAAGATTGAAGGCAGGAGAAGGGGATGACAGAGGATGAGATGGTTGGGTGGCATCACTGACTCAAAAGACATGAGTTTGTGCCAGCCCTGGGAGTTGTTGATGGACAAGGAAGCCTGGCAGGCTGCAGTCCATGGGATCACAAAGAGGCAGACACAACTGAGCAACTGAACTGAACTGACTCTTTAATATATATATAAGGAATTTTTATAAACCAAAACTAAAAGGGTAAATATCCCAAAGGAAATATGTGTGAAATAAATGTCAGGTCATTTCTAATTTAAATATACAGTCAATAAGATTTTGAAAAGATATTTAGTCCTATAAAGAAATACAAAATGAAAAGAAAACATCAAGGAGGTATAATTTTGCTCCGGGAGTTCTCAATGAGGGACAATTTTGCCTCCTTTCCAGGGGACATTTACCAGTGTCTGGAGACATTTTGTTTATGCTATCTGAGGGGAACTACTGGCTTCTATAGGTCCATGTAGTCAAAGTTATGGTTTTTGCAGTAGTCATGTACGGATGTGAGAGCTGCACTATAAAGAAGACTGCTGCTGCTGCTAATAAGTCGCTTCAGTTGTGTCTGACTCTGTGCGACCTCATAGACGGAAGCCCACCAGGCTCCCCCATCCCTGGGATTCTCCAGGCAAGAGAAAGAAGGCTGAGTGCTGAAGAATTGATGCTTTTGAACTGTGGTTCTGGAGGAGACTCTTGAGACTCTCTTGGACTGCAAGGACATCAAACCAGTCAATCTTAAAGGAAATCAGTCCTGAGTACTTGTTGGAAGGACTGATGTTGAAGCTGAAGTTCCAACACTTTAGCCACCTGATGCAAACAGCCAATCCATTCCTAGCATCCAGACCCTGATGCTGGGAAACATTGAAGGCAGAAGGAGAAGAGGGTGACAGAGGATGAAATGGTTGGATGGCATCACCAACTCAAAGGACATGTACCTGGGCAAATTCTGGGAGATGGTGAGGGACAGGGAAGCCTGGCATGCTGCAGTCCATGGGATTGCAAAGAGTCAGACACGATTTGGCAATGGAACAATGACTAACTTCTAATAGGTAAAGACCAGTTCAGTTCAGTTCAGTTGCTCATTCATGTCCAACTCTTTGTGACCCCATGGACTGCAGCACGCCAGGCTTCCCTGTCCATCACCAACTCCCGGAGCTTACTCAAACTCATGTCCATTGACAACTTTTTCACTCTCCTCTTTCACTTCCATCAAGAGGCTCTTTAGTTCTTCGTTTTCTGCTGCTAAAAATTCTATGGTGCACAACAAAGACTTACATATTCCAAAATATTGATATTGCCATAACTGGGAAACCCTGTTTTAGATGATCAAATTAGTCTTTTTCATACATTATGCTTTTTAACTCAAAATGCAACTTAAGTTCAATGTAGAATCAGCAGTCATCCTAATGTTGCACCAAAACCAGAGCCGCAGATGCTTCAGAGGGAGTTAAGATGAATACATCAAAGAATAAAGAAGAATGAACAAAGCCAGGAAACAAAATTCACCCACAAGATTAAGGGCAGAAGATAGAGCTGAGTGGAGGAAAAATATCTAGGTATTGCCTGAACCCAGTTTTTCAGCACTGTTTTTCACATTAGTCAGAGTATGGATGAGGGTCAACTATAGGCAATGTCATTCTAAACTTCTCTCAAAGATGTGTGAGTCATTTTTGCCACCGTGCAAATCAGAAGTCATGGCACAATGGGAAAGCATAAAGTTATTTATAATGGCTCCCAAAAAGTGTTCAAATATGCTAAAGTTAGGGTCTAATTTAGTCTAACAATTCAGTATAATTTTATTCAGACATGAACAATTTTGATTATAAAGTTACACTGCAACCTGAGAAAATTTCCTCCAAAAGAAGGAAGGAAGGAAAAAAAATCAAAGCCGTGAAGAAGGAGGAGGAAAGAAGGAAGGATAGGATTCTGTACCGAGGTAAAAAATACCACCAAATTAACAAAAAAAAAATTCTGAACTACTGAAAGTTTCAACAGGTTACTATGTCTACTTGATTAAGTTTTCACAAATCCTTTTAGAAAATAATCACATGCCCGTTGTAGCAGAGACTAGGGAGGACCTCACCAGCCTCGGTACTTTTACTTCTGGATGTACTGTTCCAGTTTCCACCGCCCAGCCTCCTTAAGCATTCAGCCACCGGGATGTATAGAGGGCAAGTAGCCTACTTCCAAGCCTAGCCCATGAAATTCTCCCATTTTCCTCCAAATGCCCATGTGTGCATGCACAGCCATGCACGACTCTTTGCAGGCCCATGGACTATAGCCCACCAGGCTTCACTGTCCATGGGATTCTCCAGGCAAGAATACCGGAGTGGGTTGCCATTTCTTCCTTCAAGGGATCTTCCTGATCCAGGGGCCAAACCCATGTCTCCTGCATCTCCTGCACTGACAGGAGGATTCTTTACAATGGCACCACGTGGGAAGTCCATTGTCATCCACATCTCACTCCCAAAGTGACTCCGAGGCCTTCAGAGACAAAGAATCCCCTGTCTAGAAAGAATCCCCAGGTGCGTGTGTGGAACAGAACACTTCTATACTCCCCAGGGAATGCACCATGCTAAGAACGACAGGGTAGTCTGCTGCCCTAATACATATGTTGTCTGCCCAGATATTTCACTTATATTGCATTTTGCCTGGACAAGTATTTATGAAGAATGTAGTCTTACTTTTGCAAAGAGAAATAAATGTGTACAGTAACATGAACTTAGAATCTTCAAGGAAATAAGCAAATAAAATATATAGTCTTTCCCCCTCAAAAAAAAAAAATCAAAATCAGTCAATCTGGCTTAAAATTCGTTTAAAAAAATCCAGAACAGCTGCAATTTTACCACAAACATGAAGTAAAACTTTAACTGTACCTAAGCATCCAATTTAATTTAGCTCTGAGCCTTCTGGCAGCCAAGGCAAAAAAAAAAAGCATTCTGTTAATCTGTCAATCAAACATGTACTAAGGATCTAAGACTTTGCTTGATCCTGAGAATATATAGATCTTGGGCTATACAGATGAATGAGACAGGATCTTTACTCTCCTCACACAAGCTCTAAGTGAAAGTATACAGTAGTCACAGTTGAGAATCAAAGACCTACTCTCTCCCTTGCTGAGCTTTCAGTACTTTTTTTGCTCTCCTTCTGACACTTATGTGCTGTTGAGTCCCACCATGCAAATGGTCTGCCTAATTAATTCAAGAGAAGCTTACTATCAGGACTTCCCTGGTGGCCCAGTGGCTAAGATTCTGTACTCCCAATTCAGGGGACCTGGGTTCAATCCTTGGTCAAGGAACTAGATCCACATACTGCATATGAGAGTTCGCCTGCTGCAACTAAAGATCCTGCATGTTGCAACAAAGACCTGGTGCAGCCAAATAAATACAAAATAATTTTTTTTTTAAAAAAGAGAAAAGCGTATTATCTTATTATCTTACATGCTGTAAGAGTATGTGTAAGCACTTTCAAAGTGAAAAGAGTAACAACTTTCAACCTTTTCAACAACAAAATTCCTTTTTATTATTTAAAATTTTTTAAAAATATATTCATTTCTATTTCCTTTTTCATTAGTGTATTGGAAATCTTTTCCCTTTCAAATTCTGTTTTCAAGTAATCATTCAATTCCTGAAGATAAAACTAGAGTTGGTGCATTGATTTGTAAAATTTTCCTTAAAGCATAAAACCTTGACAGTTAAAGTAACCTGTGCAGTCATATTGCAGACAAGGCTGGATTTTTCATGGGCTTTTTGAAATACTGAAAATAACACATGAATTGGCTACTCTTGAAAACCAGGCAAAACAAGTGAGGAGCCCAAGGATCAAATCATAACAGATGGAATTTCAAGTCTAAAGGATGGAAGGGAGAAAGGAAAGGAGGGAAGGAGGAAGAGAGGGAGAGAAGATGGGAGAGGTTTACACCAGTGCACTTCTGCTGTATAAGTCTGTCCCGATAAAGCCCGCTAGAAATGCTTTACCTTTCCCCATATCCTTGATGGTGATGTCACAGTCAAAGGCCGGTGACCTATGGTCACCATCCCAGAGGTAGAAGGTGAAGCTGTCTTGGTTCTTGGAGTCCATGGCCCCGGTGTGTGTATATCTCAGCAAGTTCAAATCCACTTCTTCCTGAGTGCATTTCATGCCAGGGTACAGAGGGACCCAGTCCCTCCCTATCTGAAAGATGCCAGAATTAGTCAGCTGCCCAGGTTTCCCTTCCTCCCAAGGTGTGTTAGTGAACATCTTCCATATCCTCTGAAAACTTCCAATATAAACAATATTTCAGGGAAACCCCAGATTCAATTATTTTGCCTTTCTACCTCATATTTTCCATTGAAATAAGTGTATTGAAATCATTTCAGACCTTGGGGGGAAAAACTAGCTGTAAGCAAAGAATTTTTGGCAAAGTCATGTGGCAATTCAACTGCAGTGCTACTAAGGTATTTATCATAAGCCATCATAGCTGATTAAATATTTCAATTGAGGAGAGCAGGTGGGTAATTGAGCTGTTGGAATTGATTCTTTAAAAATTAAACGTGTTTCACTTGGGATTTCCTCTTTTCTTTTTAGTTCATATCATTGTCCAACTAATAAAATCTGTATTTCGAACCAGTTTGTTACTGGAGTTATCTGAAGTAGATAAAACACAAACAGAATGGGTGTATTTACTGTCCCTATGTTTTTCAGGTTTCCTAAAGACCAAAGAAAATGATCAAAACTTCTATTATTCCCTACATTTATATCCTGAGTCAGCACAAAAATAACTACAAATATCATATATGTATTGTTAATTATACTTTTCTAAAAATAACCCAGCATTATTTAAGCATATATTCTATACAGAACTCAGTGCAGAAACTGTGGCATTTTCAATGAAAAGAGGTCTTTATGTTGAGAGAGAACTAACAACTGAGAGTATTATAAAATGCAGTAATAATAAATGTGTCTCTGATTAATAATTCTGTTGTTATTCTCTTAAGATGTATAGATTTCCCTAAGAGTAGCTTGTAAAAGTCATCTGACATAATTCAAGAAAAATGTCATCTTAAAAATTTACTATTTGATATTACCTCTAGTGCTTTTGCTATGTTTGAAGAGACTGTAACAGAAATTTAAACATTTGTTTTTTATTTCCCTTGACACATTATTTCACATGCCCTCCTCTCCCCTCACCATGTTACCACTTCCTTTTGTCACTCTATCTGATAAAGTTCCCTCCTTTTTTATGTTTATGTCCAGCTGATGTTTACACATAGGTATGCTCTGCCCCAGTTCTCACTGGGTGAAAGCTAATTATATTCTAATAATTAAGTTCATTGTTTGTTTGCATTATAAGGTCTATTTGAAAATTTAATTTTTAAAGCAGGCACTCTTCAGGTTTTAAACTAGACAGCCTGTAATCTATTTAACTTTTTTTTTTAATAGTCTTTTCCCAGAAAGTAAATACAGAAGAAGATACATTTTACTTTCCCTCATCTCCATCTAATTAATTCCCTACTTGCATTCCCAAGTGTGGGCTTTGACTTGACAAAATCCATCTGCAAGTCCCCAAAGAGGAAGAAAATAAGAGTTGGACTCAAGGTGGGTAAAATGCAAGATAGTCAACAAGAAAACAAACATGCATGAGGAAGTCCGAGAGGCCTGGTCCCTGGTTTGGAGAGACTTGGAGAACCCCCTAGGGAGCTGGGAGAGAACTCCATGGCGCCACATTGGGAACCTGGACCCATCTGGATTTTTACGTAACCAAAAACACTTCTGCTCCCATGCCACCCAAATGTGTGAGCTCTCACTGTATTTCTGCTTCATTACTCTCTGAAATGAAATAAGGCCACAGCTGCACCTCAGTTTAAATCAGTAATTTCTCTTCACTTCGATTCTCTATGGTGCCCACAATCTAAGACAATCAAGCTGTTCCACACAGAATACGTCCTTGCTGCTATTATCAGGCTGCGTCTACATTTTATTAAAAGTTAAGCATTCAAATAATCACATAGACATTTTGATGAGTTACTCGAGTGACCTTCTCAAGTGACAGATCTGTAATTTGTATCGAGTTGATCCTTGGGCATCACATACAAAGTCTGAACTAGTCTGGTGAACACCATTTGTTAAAAGACTATCTTTTCTCCACTGCTTGGTCAAAAATCAGTTTGCCACACTTGTGTGGGTCTATTTCTGAGCTCTCAGAAATAGAGATATCTGATTCCCTGGTGGCGCAGGCAGTAAAGAGTCTGCCTGCAGTGTGGGAGGTGGAGTTCGATCCCTGGGTCACAAAGGTCCCCTGGAGAAGGAAATGGCAACCCAGTCCAGTATTCTTGCCTGGAGAATTCCATGGATGGAGGAGCCTGGCAGGCTACATGTAGTTCATAGGGTCACAAAGAGTCGGATACAACTGAGCGATTTCACTTTTACTTTCGTTCTGTTCCATTGATCTATTTGTTTATTCCTGTACCAAACATACACTGTCTGGATTAGTATAGTTATATAGTCAGTCTTGAAGTCTGGTAGTGGTCAGTCCTTGAATTTCATTCTTCTATATTGTGTTAGCTATTCTGGGTATTTTGCCTCTCCAGAGAAGCTGTAGAATCAGTTTGTTGATATTCAAAACTGCTCTAAATAATAAAGCCCATTTTTTTAAATAAAAATCTGATGGAAATAAAGGTATCTCAAAGTATGCCTGATTTCTCATCAGAAACTAGACAACTTGCTTTCCCCCGTAACTTCCTATCCTCCAATTTAGGTACAATCCTAAGGAAAAATGAGCAGTGAAAAACCGTGATTTTGGTTGAATTACCCTGAAATGAGTAGGTAAATTTAGAATAGTGTGAGCTCACTCCAAAGTAGGGAAATTAGAATTTCTACTTTTGGGCCAAATATGATTACGACAGAATAAATTCAGTTATGCAAATCTGTGCATTGAAAAAATTTAAACCTGTTACAGTCAATCTGAAAAATAAAAGTAAAAATGCGACCAACCTTAAGTTGAAGTTGCCCATTTTGGGGAAGTCTTTCAAATAAATAGTAAATCTTCTCCCTGGGTGAGTCTTCATCTATGGCTGAGAGAACAGCACTAGAAATAATACGAGTTTCACCCATATTCATTGTAATTTCAGCCTTCCTGTAAAAAAGATACCTGGGTTGATACCGAAACAGAAGACATTGCTTTAACAGGGGGCAGTCATAATGATTATTACAGTGCCCAAGCTTCAAAAATTAGGGAACGATTTTCAGTCTCCAAAGTACTAAACATGATGAGTCAGTCTTGTGAAACCAGCTCTCATTTCACCTTACCTGTGAAAGTGCTGAAAACATTTAGCCAGGATTGATGAGTATGGCACGAGGTAATTACCTACTCCTGTTTACATGTATAGACTTTATAATTTTATATTAAAACTTGTTTTATAAACTGATATTTTTCCAAAATTTTATTTGATATAAATACAACAGCAGCTCCATGAAGTAAGTGGGCTAGGTATTCTCCTTCTAATTTTACAGACAGAAACTTAAAAAGCTGAAATGGCTTACTCACAGGTATTCTGATACCCTTTATGATAGACCATTATGAATTTGGTGCTATTCAGGCAATCTGTAGCCCTCTACATTACTCTTTCTCTTTGATAATCTTCTGGATAACTAGCATTCTAGCATTGTTTTCACAGCAATTCATCTTTTCCAAGTGCCGCAGCTGCCTGGCCAGCTCCTGGCATCTTGAAGAGAAGGCTGGGGCAGGGAGCAGCTGCTACTTCTACCAGAGAAGCTGCTTCTGCGGTTTCATGTGTCCTGTAAAGGGTGACCGCCTTCATAGCCAATATCGCCATTTTCCCTGGTCTCACCAAACTAAAGAGGGGATTTCTTTCCACCTGTTGTTTTTTGTTCTTGGTTTTGGTCATCACACATGAAGTAACTGTGACACTTTGTTTCTGAGAAAAACTGGGAAGTCTCCTTGGGATTAAGATCAAGGACATTTTTGTAGCAAACTGACCATTCTCAACAGCCTTCCAGTCCTCTGCTGAGAAGTCAAAGCCCAAATACCTCAGTTCTAACCTTACTAGGTTTCTCTTGCCTCCTCAGAACTGACATCTTCACTGGTAGTAGGAGGCAAATTTTGCTCTCCTCTTTACAAGAGACTATAGTACCACTGAGATAGGAGATAGATGGTAGGAGATAGATGGGCCCCCGGGCTGAACAGCTGGTGTTTGTCAAGGGGAGTAAAATTGCAGCTTTGTTCTCACCCAGACACTCCAAGGACAAAGCTAGTGGCAGAAAATGAGCACTGCTGAAGTAAAGAGACAAGAGGACCAATCCTGAGGTCAAGGAAAACTTCTCTGTCTGCACAAATGCAGGAAGACTCCTTGGTGGTCAAAAGACAGGGCGCACCACCTGTGTGGACATGTACCCACAAGCGTCTGCAGTGGAATACATCTTAGTAAAAAGGTGCGCACACATGTTGGGGAGAATCCTTGAACAAGTCACATATGGGAAAAGAAACAAGATAATTGGCCAAAGGTAAACATAGATCTGGAAGCACTGTCCTATGTAAGTGATTTAAATCACCTCTTTACTGCACTCCTCCTCATTAGGGTGGACACATACCCTTTCTCTCCAGGTGTGTATTTCTCCCTTGCTTCACTCTTAAACACACAAAATGATTCTCTATGTGCTCTCCCATATGCTATGCTGTGTCTCTGATAATAAACTTTGTACCTGTTGTTACAGTTTTGGCCTCCTTGAGAAACGCATTTTTCAATAAGGATAAGAGCCAGAGTCACTTTGCTTCTAGCCTCCAGACCCTTGTTGTCTAGTCGTGAGGCTTCCTCATTTTCATCCAGGCTACCCAGGTTCAATTCTGGGGCAAGAGACTAAGATCTTTCTTCAGGAACACTCATTGCTCTCTCTCCAAGATCAACATCATTCTAGGAGGCTAGAATGATGGTTTGAGGCTTATGGAGATTAGTGATGACTTTATTTATTTATTTTTTGGGCCTCACGTCTTGTGGGTTTTAGTTCCCAGACCAGGTATTAAATTCCAGCCTCTGGCAATGAATGCATGGAGCCCCAACCATTGGACCACCAGGAAATTCCCAGTGGTGCTTTTAATAGAAATAGATGAACTGAAACAGGAAGCCAATACAATGAAGATGATAAGGAGTCAGGTAGAAAGAAATGGTCAGAAATAAATGTCAGAGGGTTCAAGAGAGAAGAAAGTGCATCACCATGTGTTACCCTGAAAGGGACAAAGGCTTAGTGTAGGTAATTTATTTGGGAACTGACCTCAGGAACAAGTGAAAGGGAGGGGCACTAACAAGGTCTGGCCAGATGAGAAAAGCCATTAGATTTGGTGGGAAAGACATTAGATTTGGAGACAGTTGGCAGAAATGGAAGAAGCAAGCACAAGCTATTTCTTCAAACAGTTTGGCACTGAGATGAATGAAGAACTGTGTCACCATTGTAGTCTAAAATGAAGATATCTGCTAGCAATGATGATAGCAACTGACATTTATGAGAACTTACTATGGACTAACCAGTCTTTCAAATACTTTTACATATTTTAATTCATTGAGCCCTCTCAAAAACCACATGAAAAGGATACGTTATTACCCTCATTTACAAAGAGGTTGACAAAGAGGTAGCAAGAGGTTAAGTAATACATTCAATATCAAATCAGGGCCTGCCTAGTGGCTTAAATGGTAAAGAATCTGCCTGTAGTATGGGAGACCTGAGCTTGATCACTGGGTCAGGAAGATCCTCTAGAGAAGAGAATGGCTATCCACTCCAGTATTCTTGCCTGGAGAGTTCCATGAACAGAAGATCTGAGTGGGCTACAGTCCATAGAGTCACAAAGAACATGACTGAAGAACTAGAACTTTCACTTTCTTTTCCCCCCAAGATCACACTACCCACAAGTGGCTGAATCAAGACAGTCTGGCTCCAGAATTTGCTCCCTTCACTATTAACTATATCCCTGTGTCTTGTTAGCAGAAGGAATGAAAAGGGAAGAGACGGAAGATGCAGTCGAGAAAAAATAATGGAGCCTGTTCTGAGAGAAGGCAAGAGGTGATATGCTCAAGGACACATATGGAAGGGAAAAGAAGAAAAGGGGAAAAAAAGGAGAGATTTCAAAGCAGGCTGAAGGAACTTTGGTGAATCTGTAGATGAAGCTATGCCAGGAAGTTTAATGGCAAGAACCTAGCAAGAAATAGTAAATCAGATAAGATTGAATGAGTGCCTTAAGTCATTTTACCTTTCTGGTCTCAGCTGTCTTAGTGAAGAAAACAATAGCTAATTCACACAATTTTGGTGAGGATTTAAATAAATATATGTGAACAAATCCAGCACACTGTTGTATAGAAAGCATTTAATAAACATCATTTTTCACCTCTCTCCCTCTTTCATAGATAAAGTGAGGTCATCAGAAAGGGGCTTTTTACTGCCAAAATATCTTTCAGATTTTCAATTTTATAAATTAAGATTATACTAATCGAACATTCCAGCTAGAAAATAAGGAAATAGTATGTGTATCGCTGATTCATTTTGCTGTACAGTGGAAAGTAGTTTTAGTCACTCAGTCATATTTGACTCTTTGCGATCCTATGGACTGTAGACTGCCAGGCTCCTTTGTCCATGGTATTCTCCAGGTAAGAATATTGGAGTGAGTAGTCATTCCCTTCTCCAAGGGATCTTCCCAACCCAGGAATCAAACCTGGGTCTCCTGTAGGTGGATTCTTTACCATCTGAACCACCAGGGAACACAACATTGTAAAGGAACTATAATCCAATAAAAATAAATTTAAACAAATAATTATTCCTTAAATAAGGAAAAAAGTTTCTAAAGAAAGATGAGTTATAAGCCCAGAAATCAATACAATTTGAAAAAATTTTTATAAATACACAAATCCTAAGGACACACACACAAAAATTTCCTATTGAATACTCTTAGTCAAACTGATGTCTGAGATGCAACTCTCCAAAAAAATTATCTCCAGCATCCAAGGACCTCAGTGGCCATAAGGAAACAGCAAGATAAGGAAGGGATTTCTTTCTTTTCTGTAAAGTGGAGGAGACTTTGGGAGTTTACACACTTTCAAGAAGTTGTTCACTTCCTAATAAAAACTTAGACCGTCTACTCAATGCCCATCACGCTACACCATTGACATGGTCAAAGAGTGACCAAGAAGCACACAGCTCCCTCAATCTAGGACGTTAGAAGAGTTGGGCTTCCTAAAGTTTTAACCTTTAGTTAACCTTTTAGTTCTCTATAGTTGCCAATGATAAGAGAAATGGCTGGAACTAAAGAAATATAACTGATGAAGATTCTGTATCTATGATCAAACTGATCAGGTACTGAGAAAGGTTGCAATGAATAATATCAGTACATAATTTTTAAAAGGTGATCATCTTGACCTCAGGTGGCAACAAGATATTGATCCGTACGGGACACAGAAAAGGACTGGAGGACAATGAAATATGAAGATGGAAAAAATCATGGCAATATATTTCCCTCAGCCACTCTTAGCTCAAAGCTTAATCAAATCCACAGTAAGGACTGTCTTCAGTTGTATTATCACACTTTAGTTGAATTTATTTATTAACTACTCTCTGGCTTGTGTGTACGTGTATATGTGCATGTGCTTAAATATTTAGCACACTGTTCATTCTGTATTGTATGTATGGTCATTTTGAATTACTGACAACTAAATAGAAGTTTTAGAGGAAAACCAAATAATTAAAAGGCTAATTTGAGAAATTTTAAGGAGGAGTTATGTTAACTAACATTTGCACTGAAGGTTCTAGGTGCTTAAGTCCGTGGGAAAGTTGCAACAGGCAGGAATTGTTAAAGACTTCTCTCTGGAGGAAATACATTACACTTGCATCTAGTATTCCAGACCTTAGAACTTCATATAGAATCTCAAATGGACTCTTTTCAGGTAACTTACTTGCTCAGCATTGGTTTTTCATCATTAACTGGGGTGACCTCTACAAAAATGGTTTTAAGTATTCTATGTTTCCCATCTGACACCTGGATTGTAAAGTCATCAGCAAGACTCTCTGAATCATCATGCATGTACATCAACCTCATTCCTGGACAAAGGGAAGAAAGAGAGAAAGTAAATCTTTCTTATGATTAAACCATTTCAAAACCTGTCACAAGTAATTTGTTTTAATTTCCAAGGCATTGTTATTAGCATGAGCTCATTAATCAGCACAATAAGGTAAAATCAAACTATTTTATAAAGTAAGAATAAACTCTAGTTCATTAAAAGTTCCTATTTAAATAAGTTAGTATTTGATAAGGGTCTCACTTAAAGTCATTGAGGAAAAATATATTATTCAATAAACCAAAAGAGAACAATGGTGACAGGGTATTTAAATGAAACAAAAAATTAGTTCATTACTTAGGGGAATTTGTATTTAGATCCCTACCTCAAGCCAACAATCAAAATAAATCTTAGGTGAATCAAAACTTAAATAAGAAACTATTTTTAAAGCCTATATAACATTCACATGGAAAAAATGGAACTTTCATATGTAGCTGGGAGAAAAGTAAAATGATGCAGCTATTTTGGAAAACAGTTTGACAGAGTTTTAGGTTTGATCCCTGGGTCAGGAAGATCCCCTGGAGAAGGAAACAGCAATACACTCCAGTATTCTTGCCTGAAAAATCACATGGACCGAGGAGCCTGGCAGGCTACACTTCATAGGGTCACAAAGAGTTGGACACATCTGAGCACATGAGCATATGGGATAAGATCAATTTTTCAAAAACAGTAATGAAAAAATACTTTAGGCTGCTCTTTCAATGTGTCATTTCCTTAAAGAGCAAATTAGCACCTCAGAGAATAATGAATTATTATAGGTTGTTCTATATTTGTTTCAAATGTGGAGGTTTTGATAGACAAATCTCTTTAAATTTAGTTCCATAATCTCAATAGTTTTTAAAAGGAATTTTTTTATTATGTGATTAAAATCTTGGGGTAAAATACCAAAATTCAAAAATATTATTTTTACTGATGCTCTTAAGGTGAAAGAAAAGACACTATTTCTTTTTCAATTACCGACTCTGTCTAGCTGAGACTGTATGCTCTGCATTAATCCAGAACCCAGAGAAAACCTTGAGAGGTAAATGAATATAGGCAAAGGCCATTTCTTCAATTCCTCTTTCTGTGGTTTATTACTATCTTTTCTGGGTTAAATTATAAAATCAACAACAACAAACAAATTGAAATGAAACATGATATACCATTCTTGAGAAGTTCCATGGAAAAGTTGTAGACAAGTTCATACTTCTGGTCAGAGCTGGCTGATTGCTTATATTGAAAAAAGTTTCTGCTAAATGCCCTATTGATGAGGAGGCCATGACGTGGTTTGTGAGTGATACTGAACAGCAAGGGGTTCTTGGGAATGTCCCGGTCAGTAACACTGATGATGGAAGAATCCAGCTCTCTCATCTGACCCTCACACACCTAAACAAAGACAAGAGAAGTCAGCCACATGTGAAATGAAACCTGTCTTTCTTTTGGCAAAAAGCTCAAAAAATAATTTTAAGAGATCCCCACAAATTTTCCATGAGGTTTGTGTGTAATGAGTCCTAAAAAGAAATTGCTAGTTTAACATGACCTTAGAAGACAATAAGACATCTATTCATCTTTTTCATGTGTTTTTCTGAAGATTTCAAAGCACTTTATTCATTTCCATGAAGGACTAAGGATCTAAATAAATAAGGAAATAAATAAATATAAATATATATATATACACATAATCTCATATATATGATTCATAATTCAAAGATCAGGGACTAAAGCAACCAAAAGGATGCTTGCTTTCTGGAAGCCACAGAGTTCAGTTGTAAAACTGGGTGTAGACCCTGGCTGTCCTAACCTGCCATTTTAACCTCTGCACCTTGCTGCTCTCACAGTTCTTTTTTTCTGCTTTACAAATGGCATATATATCTGCTACACACACGGCGGGGTGTTAGGTATGTTTAATTTTCATCATTGCAGCAAACACTGCTATATCTCAGTTACAGTTAACCACAGTTGAGAGGATGCTCCTGGATACACAACAGTATATATTTAATGCTGGGTCCCTGATCTCTTCTCTGTCCTCACACCACTAATTCGCCTGAACAACCCCATATTCCACTTCAAGTTTCATAATCCCTTAAGCATAAAGAGACCTGAATGTTTTTCACTTCATGTAGGATCGAGTTATTTAGAAACATTTGTACCATTAACATGGTGCTTAGTCATCTTCATCTTCTTTTTCTCATAGCAAGGGAAGAAAAAAGTATTTCTGCTTCCTACTGTGAAATACAGCAAAATCTAAATAATATGAGTATATAAGTTTAGTATGTGTTTATTGGGCATGTACAGAATCACTGTAAGAATATGAATATTCTAAAGAATCAAAGTCCAGATGAGACTGTGATGTCCTGTTCATCATTAATTATAAGACAAGGAAGAAAATATCTAGCTCTACTAAATACAGATAAACAAGAAGTAGGAGAGGGTGGAGGAATCCAGGAATGTCTTTGTGGCTGAGTGGACATTTTAGATTTGAAGAAGACATGGGCTTTAGACTTGTGAAAATACTCTCTCTTCAGCCTCTCTTGAGGACTTTGAAAAGAGCCTTCCTACAACTACTTGCATGTACATAACAAGAATCATAATATCTGACATTTAGGCTAAAATTATGCTGGTTCCCTTTTATCTGGCCTACATTCTAAAAACTGAGATGGCATAATAATTTAATGCACGGTGATAGAAGTAGGGAATCATCTTTGATAGTAACTTGCATTTTTCTCCAAAAACTTTAATAAAGCAACCTAAAAAGGATGTTCTAATCATCTTTCTTTATAAAGCTCAGAACTCCTGGACTCACTGTATGGCAAACTTTCCCATTTACAAAATGGTAAATTCATTCACAAGATGACTGGGAAATTTTATCAAAAGAATGTGAGATTTTTCTTTGCACATTCAATAATTTATTGAGACTATAAATAAAAGGTTTAGATAAATAGACATAAAACACAGAAACTCACTAGTAGACAGCTTTGAAATGGATTATAATAACTTAAAATCTCAATTTTTTTGTGCTGCAAGTTGCAGCACAACTCGATGGAAGCCCAGCTAGCTATGAAATAAATACACTTTTGCACAAGAAAGCAAAATACATATGACTATTTTAAAAAATCACTGGAAGCTTAAAGCCAGCTCTGCCAATAACACATGGGGCTCCATATTTGTTACTCTTCAACAGCCTCTGTAAGCAATTCACAGGGGAGAAAAAAGGCATGATTACTTTCAGAGAAGAGCAAGAGACAAATTCCCAGTGGCCTAATTATTTCAGAAACTCCAACCCTAGATAGATACAAGACAATAGAGGTAGGTATAGAAGGAGTCATTTGTAATTTCTTCTCTCTCTCATAATTACTGAAGTGCTCTCTGGAGAAATCCATGTGCCAACAGAAGAGGAATGGCAGGAGCTGGCTTTTAAGTCTCATCCTGAGACTTTTAAGTCTCATCCTTTTAAGTCTTATATACCATTAAGACTTGGCAGAAAATTAAAATCAAATAAAGACTTTTGCATTTAGAATTTGATGATTTTTAGTGAAAAATAAGGCAAAATAATGGTTTCAAAGCAACTTTGATCAATGCCTGATAAAAGACGACAGACGTAACAAGACTAATATGAATGACACCTATTTAATAAGGGTTTCTAAGGAGATGGTTAGATAGTGTCACCAACTCAATGGACATGAATTTAAGTGAACTCCAGGAGACAGTGGAGGACAGAGGAGCCTAGGGTGCTACAGTCCATGGGGTTGCAAAGAGTAAGACATGACTTAGCAACTGAACAACAGCAAAGTGTGCCTGACCATCATGATAGTCATGGCCACCCTAAAGGAAAATCTGGTACACATTTTGCAGATGAGGAAACAAAAACACAGAGAGAAATAACTTATCCAGGACACTACGACTAGTAAACAGTAACACCAAGTCCCTCATATTCCAAAGCCAGTACTCAGTCATTTAATCAGAATATGCAATGAGTATGTCTGAATTAAATAATTGCATAAAAATTAGGATTGTGTAAAAATAATTATATGCTCATATGAAATATTAAAATATAGTAATCAAAGGCTTTTTTAAGCAGAAAGCAGGGTATATTAATGATCTCTGATTTGTAGGTGAAAACATACAGAAAAGTCATATACATACATACATATCATTGGCATGGGCACAAATTACTTCTGTGGAAATTAATTACTAAAAACTCAACTGATGGGGAGTGACCATGCAGAGGGACTGTTAAAGAGGGAGAATTTCATAGTTCACTGTGTAAGGTTCACAACATTCTAACTTGTTTAACCACATATTTATTATTTTTTTTAAGACAACAATTATCTCAGCAGTGATATGCTGGGCCATTTTAACTATGTCTAAATTTTTAAATAAAACTAACAAATATTATTACATAATATAATGGCATTTTAAAACTGCACAAAAATAATGGTCCAAATTGTATTTTTTCCAGTCATATATCTTTATAAACAGCTATATAAAAAAAGTTGCCTGTAGTTTGTGAATTAAGAGTCCTTGCTATTGTAACACTGGTTAAGGTAGCATGCTATGGAATCAGAGCACCTGGGTGCAAATCCCCTACTTTTTACTTACTGCCAAGCTCTGTGATCTGGGGACACTAACTTAACCTTTTTAGTCTCATTTATTGCAGTTATTACATGGCAATAATAATGCCATCACTTTAAAAGCCCATTATGGGGATTCAATACGAACACATGTAAAGGGTTTGCAAAAGGATCTACTAGCAAGTACTGCATTCTATATACAGACAACTATAATTTAAACTATGCAATTGCTACCTGTTAGCAATTATTATTATCATGACCATCATTACTATTAGAAAAATATTTATCAAGTGATTGCATTACATAGCATAGGTTACTGCCCTCTTTACTCACTAACTTGATGTGTTAAGTGCACATAGACCGATGTAAATAGATTAGGTGAAAACAAAAACTAGAAAATGATAAAGAGAGGCTAAAAATTCAAATTATCTTTCTTACAGTAATATTCTGCACTATAAAATCAGGAGCTTCATCATTTGTAGCATTGATTATAATGTAAAATGGTATCTCCATGGAGCGTTGCTTCCCATCGGTGACATACAACATAAACTTGTCAGCTGTTGGTTCCATCCCCAGATGCCTGGACTGCACATAGTTAATATGTAAAGCCTTCATGTCTTTCCACTGAAACGAAGCTAGAGCACAACAAAATGGAGCAGGTAAATAAGAAAAATAGATTTTCCCAAGCTACTGGTCCTTAGCCCTTAACCCAATAGCCTACTGCTCAGCAGAGCAAATAAGAGATCACAGCAGTTGACCTAAGGATCAGTTATCACAGACTTCTATAATGACTATACCCATAAACATAAAAACATATCCATAAATTACCAGGAAGAATTAAAAGTTGCATGGAGAACAGAAGGGCTGTAACTGCTAACTAGGATGTAGGGACTCCAGTATTCTTGCCTGGGGGATCTTCCATACCCAGGGATTGAACCCAGTCTATTCTGTTATGTTGATTCATGTGCTTGTTATTTTTTTTTCTGCTTTGATTGTGATAGCTTTGCAATAATAGTTTGAAATTAGCAGGTATGATGCTTCCAACTTTGCTCTTTTTTCTCAAGATTTCTTTGGCTATCTGAAGTCTTTTGTGGTTCCATACAAATGTTAGGATTATCTGTTCTATTTCTATAAGAAAAAAAAGTCATTGGAATTTTGATAGGGATTGCACTGAATCTACAGATAGCTTTGGACAGTAAGGACATTTTAACTATATTAGCACTTTCAACCCATGAACATGGGATATCTTTCCATTTGTTTGTGTCCTCTTCAATTTCTTTCATCAAGACACTAATTTTATGTCTTACAGTTGGTATATAAATTTTTCACTACCTCAGTTAAAATTACTCCTATATATTTTACTGTTTTTTATGCTATTATAAATGAGATTGCTTTCTCTGTTTCTTCTTCAGAAAGTTTATTGTCCATGTATAGGAATACAACTGAGTTTTGTATGTTGATTTTGTACCATGAAACTACTGAATCTGTTCATTAGTTCTAATGGTTTTTGGTGAAGTCATTAAGAATTTCCATATATAATATCACATCATCTGCAAATAGAAACATTTTACTTCTTCCTTTTTGATTTGAATACCCTTCATTTCCATCTCTGGCTATGATTTTCAGTACTACATTGAATAGGGGTGATGCAGGTGGGAATTTTTGTCTTATTCCTGATCCTAGAGGGAAATTTTTCAAACTTTCACTGTTAAGTCTAGCGACAAGTGTGCCAATTTCCTTTATCTTTTAAAAAATATCAACTCAGTTTCATTAACCTTCCCCATTGTTTATCTGTTCTTTATTTGTTTCTCCTCTGGTCTTTATTATATCCTTCCTTCTGCTAAATATGGGCCTAATTTGTTCTTGCTTTTCTAGTTATAGGTTATTTACTTTTTTAATGCAGCACTTATCATTATAAAACTTTCCTCAGCACTGCTTTTGCTGCATTCCATGTATTTTGCTGTGTTGTATCTCTATTTTTATTTAAGATTTTAAAATTTCTTTCTTATATTTAGTCTTTGATCCATTGGTTATTCAGGAATGTGTTAATTTTCACATATTTGGGAACTTTTTAGTTAACTCTAGTTATTGACTTTAACTTCATGCCATTGTGGTTTAAAAAAAAAAAGATACTTGGTACAATTTCAATCTTTTTAAATTGTTAAGACTTGCTTAGTGACTCATTATATGATCTATCCCAGAGACTGTTTCCTATGCATTTGAGAAGAATGTGCATTCTACTTTTGTTGAATGGAATATATGTATATCTGTTGGGTTCATTTGGTCTAATATATAGTTCAAGTCTAATGTTTTCTTACTGATTTTCCATCCGAATGATTCATCCACTGTTGAAAATGGGGTACTGAAGTCCCTACAATTGTTGTATTGTTGAGTATTACCCTCTTCAGTTCTTCTAGTATTTGCTTAATATATTTAAGTGTTCCAATATTGTATGCATATACATTTACCACTATTATATCCTCTCAGTGAATTAACACTTTATCATTATATAATGACCTTCTTTGTGTCTTGTTATACTTTTGACTTAAAAAACTATTTTGTCTAGTTTATGTATATCTACCCTTGCTCTCTTTCGGTTTCCATTTGCAAGGAATATCTTTTACCATCCCATCATTTTAAGCCTGAAGCTGAAGTGAGTTTCCTACAGGCAGCGTTTAGTGGTGTCTTGTTTTTCCTACTCATTATACTAACACAACTAACTGTAAACCCAGCTTCTCTTGTATTTAAAATGGATATGCCCCAAAAGGTGCTTACAGAATAATTTACTTCTGAAGTGTTGCCTTTGAATGATTTTGGTTTTGGTGTTTGTTTTTGCTTTGGCTGTTTTCTTTTCAACTGAAACACCAGAGCTATTCAAGTTTCCAAGACGCACTTTGTTTTTAAAATTAATGTCATTACCTTCAATATTTCCATGATATATTTCCTTCTCTTTTCTGCCTGTATCTTTAAAAAGTGAGAATAAGACTGTGAGTTCCACCAGATTTATTCTGTCACAGTATTCTGTGTTGCTATGAGGGCCTTTTAAAATGTTATTTCTTTGATATTTATCCTTAAATTTTCCATAAGTGTAATTTCCATTTATTTTGAAGTAAACTCCCATACATGGGAAATTTTAAATGAAAAATTAGAATGAAAAGCAATAGTATTTGAAAGTATCAGTGATAATAATTCCTCAAGTGTAGTACTTTGAACGTTTTTTAAGTCCTAACCCAGTTATTACACATAACCTAACCAATGAGAGTCTCAAACAAAGGCTGATTATTGCTGGACATGAAACCATGACTTACCTATGCTGATGCCCATATTGCTCTTTTCAAAACCTGCAGAAGGGAGTGTGTTTTCAAGGTAGCCAAACTGGGGAGGAGAAACCAAAACAAACTCCAAGTCGTCTGCGGCAGTGTCAGGGTCAGCGGCAGACAAATGGTTAACAGTAAGGGCTGCTGAGAAACCCTCATCTACAATGAATATGGTACCTGCATACAAATAATAACACAATTATGACTTACTGTGAAATCCTCTAATCAGAATAGTGAGGACAAAAGGGAGTGATTGAAATTCCAATTCAGAGATGCCTCCTATACGCAAATGTACTTCCATGGGAGATGTTCATTTCCTTTGGCATAATTCTCCTTATGGTGAAAATATTCAGGGGTAATGGGTGGAATTTAATTTGACTTATGGAATTATATTTTTTCTTGTCTAAGAAAGCCAGACTATTACAGAAAGATAGAAGAAATACTAAATGCTCCAGTACAGCCCTTTAGTCATTCTCAAGGAACTCTGATTTCCCATGTGTCTCTATAGAAGTGACAAATGAAAATAAGAATTGCCAAAATGTTTTAATGATAAGCCACTGAATGTGGTTTATATACTATTCAAGATCAGTTGTTACCTCTGTTTGTCAGAGCGTTAATTGCCTGAGAACTATTATGAATTGTTCATAACGAGCATTTTTTTCATGCCGTAGTGCTTAATTATTCTGCAGGGATAATGCTTCCTTTCCAGAACACTGCTTGGGAGACAGTTTGCAAATTACAATAACATTCATACATATGCTTGCATTTCTTTTCTGAGAGTCAGAACATATACATAGTGCCTACAAAGAGATGACTTCCTAAAAAGCAAACAAGGTTAAATATATATAAATAGTCCCACTGGTATACTCATTCTATTCTAACAGAAATTATTATGGATAAAATAAATTACAGTCTCTACCAGGTAAATGATACTTTCCCGTGTGAAATAAAACCAGAATATCTGAGTAGTACAATGTTGTCTTCATTTTAAAACACACACAGACACACACACACAAACACATTTGCATTCTCTCTCCATATGGATTTATCTAAATTTTTAAATAAGTTATTTCTTTTGCCCTGTAATCTTTCACAGATCTGAGGTTTCCACAAATCTGTATTGAGATAATTATTAGAGGCAATTTTGTATGGTGGTTTTCTATTTTGACTATAATAAAGGGCATTATTTCACAGGACCACAGGTGTGACTAGGTGAGATAACAGAAGCTTAAGAGAAAAAACATGGCCACCTATTGCAATTGAAGGCGGTTGGTTGTCCACTGGATACACTGTGATGTTGAGATCATACACTGGAAAGGATTCATGAAGAGGAACAGATGGATGAGGTCCATTGTAACAGCAGCCATTCACAAAAGGACCAGCTTCTCTGTCCGAAACCACCAATGTAATGGTGTCAAAACAAGGCATCAGGCCAATCTCACCACCTGGAAGACACAACTACAGCTGAAAGATGACTTTTAAAAAATGCAGAATACCAAGATGAAATTGCCTTAGACTTCCTCTACAAGTATAGAATGTCAAGGAAAGGAACTTACGTGGTTAAAATGTGAAACTCAATTTTATTACTATGAAATTAAATAGAGTCATGAAAATAATGCAGAAATGCTTGCCCATCTGTTGCCTCTGGTGAAAACCCTGCCAGCCATCTATCACCATATGGAGGGGCAAAACAGGGCTAACAAGGGTCTGACAGTTCACAAATGAACAAGGGAGACACAGAGCTGGACCCGGGATGGCTTCACTCTTCTCCCATAATTATTAGTGTTAGGACCAACCACAGGGAAAACAGAAGGCACCCTGTCCCTCTGGTAATTGTCCTCCCATTTGCATTAACCTCCTTAATTGAACAACCACTCACTGCAGAAGAAGCTGGATAGGTGAAATACAAAGATAACCCACATCTTTGTCATTTGCTTCAGTATTTTCCTCATTATGTATAGTCAAGGTGTTAGCAAAATAGCAACAGCACCTGGATAAGAAGAGACCCTAATTTTAATCTTCTTTTTACTCTTGAGAGCTTCCATCTATGGGATTCAAAATGGTCCCAACTTAAGTTGTGAGAGGAAGGAGGAAGAAAATATCAGGACTAGATACTTAATCAGTAAATAGGACAATCTATTCTTGGATTATTAATGAACAGCGCAGAAGTAGGAAGGAGTGCTTACTATCCAGGGGGCAGAAAAGTTCTGTAGATGTGCTTTCGATAATTCTCATACATTACTCTAAAAGTGCCAAGAGGGAAGCAATTATGTTTGAAGTTTCAATGAGACTAGGGCACAAAAGATCAGGAGCAACACCTCTTTTCACAAGACACATTGGTCAAATCTATAGAGCATTGTACTTGGAATTATTACACCTGTTTAAAAAAATGACACAGAACTTAAAAAGGAACAAAACTGGGTCATCTGTAGAGATGTAGATGAACCTAGAGTCTGTCATACAAAGTGAAGTAAGTCACAAAGAAAAAAACAAATATTAATGCATATATCTCCCATGTAAGTAAGGTCATACTAAAAATCTTGCATGCCAGGCTTCAGCATTACATGAACCAAGAACTTCCAGACATCCAAGCTGGGTTTAGAAAAGGAAGAGGAGCCAGAGATCAAATTGTCAACATTCACTGGATCATAGAGAAAGCAAGGGAATTCCAGAAAAACATCTACCTCTGTTTCATTGACTACGCCAAAGCCTTTGACTGTGTGGATCATAACAAACTGTGGAAAGCTCTTAAAGAGATGGAAGTACCAGACCATCTTACCTGTCTCCTGAGAAACCTGCATGCAGGTCAAAAAGAAAGTTAGAACTCTGTATGAAAAACTGAGTGGTTCAGGATTGAGAAAGCAGTACAACAGGGCTGTCTGCTGTTACCTTGTTTGTTTAACCTATATGCTGAGCACATCATAAGAAATTCCAGGCTGTCTGAGTTATATGCTGGAATCAAGATAGGTAGGAGAAACATCAACAAACTCAGATATACAAATGATACCACTCTGATGGCAGAAAGTAAAGAGCCTTTTGATGAGGGTAATCAAGAACCTTTTGATGAGATCAAACCAGTCAATCTTAAGGGAAATCAGCCCTGAATAATCATTGAATTTTGCTGAAGCTGAAGCTCCAATATTTTGGTCACCTGACACGAACATCTGACTCATTGGAAAAGTCCCTGATGCTGGCAAACACTGAGGGCAGAAGAAGAGGGAGTCAGAGGATAAGATGGCTGCATGACATCACCAATGTAACAGACATGAATTTGGGCAAACTTCAGGAGATGGTGAGGGACAGGGAGGCCTGGCATGCTGCAGTCCATGGTGTTGCAAAGAGCCAGACATGACTGGCCAATTGAACAACATCACTAATGCATATATAGGGAATCTAAAAAAAATGGTACTTATGAACCTATTTGCAGGGCAGGAAAAGAAATGCAGATATACAGAACAGACTTCTGGACACAGAAGGGGAAAGAGAGGGTGGGACCAATTGAGAAAGTAGCACTGACATACAAACACTACATGTGTAAAACAGATAGCTGGTAGGAAGCTTCTGGAGAGCATAGAGATCCCAGCTTGATGCTCTGCGATGAGCTAGGAGGGTAGGGTGGGGGGAAGCTCAAGAGGGAGGGGATTTAAGTATACATATAGCTGATTCACTTCACTGTACAGCAGAGATTAACAAACATTATAAAGCAATTATACTCCAATAAAAAATGGCAGACAAGGAAATATTCAAGATGATATTATTGAGTAACCATATGATTAAAGAATGAGAAGACTGGGCTTATTTTTTTTTTAAAGAATAAAGTTGAGACATTAAAATCAAACAATCAGCCTTCTACTTTAGGAAAAGTGGGGGGAAGACACCACTCATCTATTCACATTTATAAAAAAGTTAATTGGCATAAAGCTTTTTTATTCAATACTCACTTGATAGATACTTATTTAATGCTTGTTGTGTGAAAATTAGTGTTCTGCATGCTCCAGCAGAGGGAAAGACTGACATGTTGAAGATGTCAAGACAGTTCAAAAATATATCAAATGTTCAAAGACCTACTATGTGTCAGGAGGGGACACAGTCTAATGGGAGGGAAAGAAATGCAATCCGGTTAAAATACCACAGATGTGTGTATATATTAAGTGGAACGATATAAAATTGCTACTCTTAGCCATTTTTAACCTATTAAATGGAATATTCATCTATCTCAGCCTGATTATTATGCATTAGGTGCTGAGGGTGAAGGAGGATGAGAACATAGGCTGATGATGGCATGGGGGGCAGAATGCACATGCCAGGGAAAGTCAGAGAAATCTTTCCAGAAGGCCTTGCTCACTTTGTACTGAGCATTAAATAATGAGTGGTTTATAAGGCAGATAAGGCAGAGAACTGGGAGATGGGAGACAAGACGTGTAGGAAGAGCGAGTGGGGAAGAGAAATAGAAAAACAATTCTAGGAAATGAAAACAGGTGACTCAGCAGTAAAGAATGTACCTGCAATGCATTGAGGAAATGCAGGTTCAATCCCTAGCCAGGGAGATTCCCTAGAGAACCAAAAAACTGAATATAGTACATTCAGTAACTGTAATTTCAATATTAGAAAAGCATGTGAGACATTCGTAGAAAGAGCTGCAAAAGTTGGCTGAGTGTTAAGCCACAAAAAAACAGCTACAACATGGGTCGAAGAATTCTTTACCTTGAAATGAGATACAGTCTAAAGATACAATTTATACTGAAAAGTTAACTGGACTACTATTTATTAAATAATTTTTGAATGGCCTCATATTTAATGTTTGGAGAATAGCAAATTAGTAATAATTTTATATCATAAAATATTATTCAATGATTAAAACATGGTTACAATAATTTTGTAACATTTAATCATATTTAAAGGAACTGCAGATACAACATGATTGCAACTATATTAAAAATTACAATTAGAAAAAGGAGAAGAAAATATTGTAATACTGAAATGTTAACAGTGATTATCTTTCAGAGGTAAATAAGTTGATTTTTCAAAATTTTATCCTAATTTTCTAAGCTTTCTGTAATGAGTATAAATTATTTTCATAATCACAAAAATAAATAAATAAAATAAGGGTGATACAATTGATATCAGGTTTCCTGGTGACTCACCAGTAGAGCATTCACCTGCAATGCAGGAGATGCAGGTTCAATCCCTAGCCAGGAAGATCTAGAGTAGGAAGGGCAACCCACTCCAGTGTTCTGGCCTGGAGAATCCCATGGACAAGAGGAGCATGGCAGGCTACCGTCCATGGGGTTGCAAAAGAGTTGGACACAACTAAGTGACTAAAACTACAACAACAATTGTTCTTTGGTAATCTTGACAACCAATGTATGAAGGTAAGCGCAGGGCCACCGAAATTTTAGCTCCTATTCTGAGTTTCTCTTTACTCATTCTAAACAATGCTAATCACTACCGAGTAACTGAGTGAACATTACAAGCAAAAGCATCATTCAAATAAAATATTTTTTGAATACAGTATTTCTGTTATTTATTAACATAACAAAAATGTCTATCTTAAAGAATTTGTACCAGTGTCCTACTAGGTCTTTGAAGGAAAATAAAAAAATGTGTTAATACTCCCTTATATGGTCGTCACACTAAACGTATAACTATACGTATGTCTACTTGTTGTTTAGTACCTGGAACAAGGCACAGGCTTAAAGAGAAGATAGTTTCATCTCACCCATAATGTATCTATGCCAAATGAGCCTTTTAAAGATGTTAAAATTATGTAACAAACCATAATATTGGTCTCTAGATCACTTTTCTGATAGTCTGTTTGGGCAAATCAAAAAGAAACACCCATTTGTGAACTCTGACATTGAGAGACATTGAGTAAGTGGACTATACTTCTCAGGACAAAGAAAGAGCCAACAAAACCTTTTCCAAGTCACATACAGATGTGAGAGTTGGACCACAAAAAAGGCTGAGCATGGAAGAATTGATGCTTTCCAACCATGGTGCTGGAGAAGACTCTTGAGAGTCCCTTAGACAGCAAGAAGATCAACTAGTCGATCCTAAAGGAAATCAACCCTGAATATTCACTGGCAGGACTGATGCTGAAGCTCCAGTACTTTGGCCACCTGATGCAAAGAGCCAACTTATTGGAAAAGACCCTGATGCTGTGAAAGATTGAGGGCAGGAAGAGAACTGGACGACAGAGGATGAGATGGTTGGATGGCATCACCAACTCAATGGATAGGAATTAGTGCAAACTCTGGGAGAAAGTGAAGGACACAGAAGCCTGGCATACTGCAGTTGATGGGGTTGCAAAGAATCAGACACGACTTACCAACTGAACAACAATAACAAAGACTTAACAGAGCGAGGATAAAGATATTATTTCAAGAAAAAAGATGTCTAGTGGAGTGATTAAAGTATACCATACTAATTGGCCCTGAGGCAACTGGTATCCTAATAAATTGTTTTTTTCCAAAGTACATTTAAAAATATTATTTCAAAATGTTTTCCCCCATGTCCAAATTAAACTTGAGCTATCTCAGTTCCCCTCCTTGAATTCCCTCTCACATCACTGCTTGTATTCGCTTTCTCTGTCTTTTCAAATAAAAAGATTTGAATTCTGATACCTCTTCCTTCCTGTACCACTCACCTGGCCTGGCACACTCAGTCATAATTCCCCCTGGAATCTAGGTTAGCGAGGCATACGGATGAGTAAACATGAAACAGTAATGGAGTGTGATAAAAGTTAGTTAGAGGAAGTCCATGGCATTATTACTGGGGAGGTGCCCCCAACCCAGAAATCAGCTGTAACAGGGGTAGTGATGTCGTGAAGGACAGAGGTGTTACTATCATCTTTCCATGGGAATAGGGTTCATCTTCGGGTCTGGATTATACTCCTTTGAGCATGCTATGCCTACTACTGTGATTTATAGATTTCGGATGTTTACAACATTTTTTATGTGAATATTTTACATAAGGAATAAATGCCACCTAAATAGCAATATAATGCAATGCCAGAAATGTAACTACAATGCTAACAAACAAGCATTTACTGTATTTCCAATCTGTGTTCACAACTGTCAGGTGCTGTGGGCAAGTTATGCAAAGCATAAAACATCAACTTTGCTCTTCAAGAACCCAAAGGGCAGACCAGTTACTTCTTAGGAACTAGCTGATAATCAAAAAACTTCTCAAGTTAACCTATTTCAGGCATTTTTGGTATGATATATGGAACCAGAGTGGGATGGCCAAATAGCCTTCTTCAAATTGACCAAAATAGGGATGGGGACAAGCCAGAGTGAATTGAAAGTCTATGTGGAAGCATCAGGAACATAGCAGCAATAACATTTGTTCTTTCTGTGAAACTCACTGTATCACTGAGAGATCTAGAAACACTGCTGTATATGGTGATCATATTTGAAAAATAGGATTAAGACTGAGATTATCAGAGCCCACAGCAAGAAGTGAGCTAAGACTCTGTAATGCTATTGCATCCCCACGTCCAGACTCATCACAGTGCTGTCACCTACCTGTGTGTTTGTACGTCACAGCCCCTGCGACAACATCTTCCTGAGAGAATTGATGTACCGTGACCCCAGCTCGCCTCACAGTCCCATGCTGAGGTTCTCCAACAATCATGAACGTCAGCTTCAAATCATCGCTGTCCACATCAGTAGCAAAAATGTATTCAGAAGTGATGACCACCTCTTCACCCTCGGCGCAACGCATCATGGGAATGAGGTCCGCCTTTAGCACGGGTGCCTCATCATTTACAGGGAACACCTAAGTGGGGGGGAGATGCATGTTTTTGAGAAAAAGAAAGCAGTGACAAATTGTCCAACTGGTAACTCATTGCTCATAATTGGAATGACAGACTTTTTCAGTCTTCCAGACACGCAAAACAATAGCTATGGAATTTGGCCAAGCAGTTTGTATCTTTTAACTTTCCCCATATGAACCATCTTGAAAGAAATGACCCATATGAGAGACATTTAAGGTAGGAATGGGGGAGTATGGTTATGGTTTGGGGCCCAAAGCGCTCATTTGTTTCTAGACAGACAAAATATAAATGTAATATAAAGCGTCTGTCACCTAAGCGCCTATCCTCCTTCATCCAATCCAAGCATATTCTGGAGGAAACCTAGTCCTTGTAGTCTGAGCATTTACATTTACCACATCAAAGTTATTTATATTTCAAATTACTTGGTGATTACAAAACTCTCCTCCCCTTTCAACTTCCTGCCACCCAGGAAGTTTCTCTGGACATACAATAAGTAGCAGCTGCATTTCAAACATTTTGAGTTAAATTCTGAAGCTCCCTAACTGTTAAATCAGTGCCAGTTTTCAACGTGGTAATACATTTTTCTCTCACTGTCATTAAAATAAAACTCTTAAGGAGAAAGGAAAGAAAAGCAACATGAGATTGCAGTGACTGTCCACAATGTTAAAAGATTTTGTATAAATTTGAAAAAGTATGTTTTCTAAATAGGAATAAAGGACAGTCCTCCTCTGAGCTCACAACCACAACTTGGTGTGTGATGCACATTTATTTATGAAGTGTCGCCTGTGAATACCCTCAACCCTATATTTCCTTCCCTGATACTTCAACCAATATGATCTTTTTTAAAAAATTATTATTTTTTATTTTGGCTATGCTGGGTCTTTGCTGCAGCACATGGGCTTCAGGAGTTGCGGTGTGAGAGCTTAGTTGCCCCACTGCATGTGGGATCTTTTCACTCTCCTCTTGCACTTTTATCAAAAGGCTCTTTAGTTCTTCACTTTCTCTCATAAGAGTGGTGTCATTTGCATATCTGAGGTTATTGACACTTCTCCAGCAATCTTCATTCCAGCTTGTGTTTCATCCAGCCCAGCATTTCACATGATGTACTCCGCATATAAGTTAAATTTCACATGATGTACTCTGCATTAAAGTTAAATAAGCAGGGTGACAATATACAACCTTGATGTACTCTTTTCCCAGTTTGGAACCAGTCTGTTTTTCCATGTCCGGTTCTAACTGTTGCTTCCTGACCTGCATATAGATTTCTCAGGAGGCAGGTAAGGTGGTCTATTATTCCCATCTCTTTAAGAATTTTCCACAGTTTGTTGTGATCCACACAGTCAAACACTTTGGCATAGTCAATAAAGCCAAAAGGAACAGACCAAGTAAATGGCTATCCGAAGGTGGCATACAGGTATTGTACTATGAGAAGCTGGCAGATCATGGAGGACTCCTCTGAGAGCCATTAGGTCCCAGCTTCTTGGGAGTAGAGATATGATGTTATTCATTCCTATATTCCAAGGTTGAGCACACTACCTACAATATATAGCTTTTTCAATGACTTTCTTCTGCTGACACACAGTAAGGAAGGAAGACAGGAGAAGGAGCATAGTCCAAGTTCAAAGTGAGAAAACCTGAGTTGATGGGTGAATCACAAGACAAAGCTAGAGTGAAAACATCTTTAATTTCAGAGGTATATTGGAACATTTAGAGGCTAAAGTCATGATATCTGGGGCTTAAATTAAAATAATTGAGGAAAGAGAAAATAAATGAAGGAAATATGGTAAAACGATAGTAATTATTAAGATGAGGTGATCGGTATATGAGACTTTATTATGATATTCTCTCTACTTTGACACCACCCTTAGGGCAAAAAACAAAGAACTAAAGAGCCTCTTGATGAAAGTGAAAGAGGAGAGTGGAAAAGTTGGCTTTAAGCTCAACATTCAGAAAACTAAGAACATGGCATCTGGTCCCATCACTTCATGGCAAATAGATGGGCAAACAATGGAAACAGTGAGAAACTTTATTTTTGGGGGCTCCAAAATCACTGAGGATGGTGACTTGCAGCCATGAAATTAAAAGACCCTTGCTCCTTGGAAGAAAAGCTATGACCAACCTAGACAGCATATCAAAAAGCAGAGACATTACTTTGCTGACAAAGGTCCATCTAGTCAAAGCTATGGTTTTTCCAGTAGTCATGTATGGATGTGAGAGTTGGACTAAAAAGAAAGCTGAACGCAGAACTGATGCTTTTGAACTGTGGTGTTGGAGAAGACTCTTGAGAGTCCCTTGGACAGCAAGGAGATCTAACCAGTCAATCCTAAATGAAATCAGTCCTGAATATTCATTGGAAGGGCTGATGCTGAAGCTGAAACTCCAATACTTTGGCCACCTGATGCGAAGAACTGACTCATTTGAAAAGACCCCGATGCTGGGAAAGATTGAAGGCTGGAGAAGAAGGGGACAATAGAGGATGAGATGGTTGGATAGCATCACTGACTAGATGGACATGAGTTTGAATAAGCTCTGGGAGTTGGTGATGGACAGGGAAGCCTGGTGTGCTGCAGTCCATGGGATCACAAAGAGTTGAACACTATTGAGGGACTGTACTAAACTGAGCTGATGTGGGATCTTAGATCCCTAACCATGTCCCCTGCATTGCAAGGCAGATTCTTAACCACTGGACTACCAGGGAAGTCCCCAATGTGATCTTTTTAAAATGTGGCTTTCATCAGGTCACCATTCTGTGCATGGTTAGTCATGTCTGACTCTTTAGGACCCCGTGGACTGTCACCCACCAGGCTCCTCTGTCCATGGAATTTTCCAGGCAAAAGTACTAGAGTGGGTTGACATTTCCTACTTCAGGGTATCTTTCTGATCCAAGGATAGAACCTGAGCTCCTGCACTGCAGATAGATTTTCTCTCTTTTTTTTAAGTCTTTATTGAATTTGTTACAATATTGCTTCTGTTTTATGTTTTGTTTTTTTGGCCAGGAGGCATATGAGATCTTGGCACCCTGACCAGGGATTGAACTCATGCCCCCTGCATTGGAAGGCAACAACTTAGCCACTGGACCACCAGAGATGTCCCCAGGCAGATTCTCTATCAATGAAGCTTCACTAGCTTCTCAGGGACTTTCCTAGGGTCTCTGGCCACATCTCATGCAATGGGGTGCCTTTGTCAATCCATTCCACTCCACTGTTATCCCCAAGACATTGTGTTCCACACACATCAGGTCTTTGTACCATCTTTGCATCCTCGCCCTGTCCCTTGCCTGCTATGTTCTCCCCTGGCTTTTTACTTGACTTCCTCTATGTTTAGGTTACATATGGATTCCTCCAGGAAAACCTCTTGACAACTGAGACTCACTTAGAAACTTTCTTCATTTACCCTCTTTTAGTACCCTGTTGACTTATAGAACACATCCATATTTTAATTAATTATTTCAGTGATAATCTGTTTAAAGCCTGCCCTCCTCCCTTGCCCATAAGCTCCACAAGAAGAGGAAGTTTATTTGTCTTGTTCACCATCATAGCCCAAGCATTTAGCATAGGACCTGGCATATAGAAGGCACTTATTAAGCATTAATGGGATAAATGAATGGATGAATATAACTATTTATATATGCCCTGGTCACTCTGCTATTTAAACAGGCTAACAACTCTACAACAAATATACATGAAATTACATTGACACTTTCCTTTAACAGGTAGATAATAGAGTGATAAGCCCAGGCTTACTTATTTAATTAAAGGTAGAAAAAGCATGCAATACTCTATCCCATTTTCTGTTGGCTTATTAAGGGACAATATCTCTGTTCAAGTCCTCAAAGTAGATTTAGTGAAGACCCTCTTTATTATTGCTCTTGACCCCATTTGATTCTAACATGTTCACGATAATCACCTCGCAGCAGTTCACAAATAGCCTCAGCTTTCAAATGCATAAAAGTCCAAAGGTGATAGAATTAAAAACATTTCTCCTGGATGAAAAAAAAAATCATACATAATTGTCCCCAAACTGCCTAAACTTCTGATTGCTTTCAAAGGACATGCTCTTTTGTCTAAAAAGTAACAGAGATTCTTTTCCTCAAAGGCACAGCTTATTGTCATTGATAAAAGATAGTCACAGACAGAAGATAGAGTTGGGATTTTCACCAGACATTTTCTTTTCAAGAAAAAAAATGTAACTCGGAAAAGCTTTCTTGATATGTAAAAGTCCACCGATAAAGAAAATTCACCTCTATGAAGCTGAAATGACATACTTCTTTTCATCTAGGTATAAGACCATCATAAGAACTAAGTGGGAAAATGAAAGGAAGGGACTATGCATTGAACCTGGCATGCGTAAGTGCTACTGAATTACAATCACCTGTTAATTGAGCTCTGTGGCAGTGGTGAAGAAGAAAGAACGCTGGCCTGATGACCAGAGTAGAGATGTCAGCCCAGGTCTACATGGTCAAGTTCATGGCTTTCGACAAGTCATTGAACTTTCTCAGACCTTTGCTATAAAATAAAGATAATTCCTTTCCTGTGTACTTTTAAAAACACTAGATGGGTGTGATCATTCTAAATTAATTATTAACTGTAAAATATCTTGAAAACACATTATTATGACCTTTAACAATAATTTCATACCATGAAGAGCTGACCAACTGTAACAGAAATAGAATTTGGCACAGTAAGAGTAATTAGAGGGTCTTTAAGAAGCATGGTAAGTCTTCTGCAGACTTTCTTTTGTCACTAACTATAAATAACTGCAAATCCTGTGAGTTATGCTTGTGGACATGGATAGTCACTCAACAAAGAAACCTGAGGACTCCCATCAAGTCTTTGAGCATGTACTCAACCTTTATGTGCAGATTTTCCTTCATTTGTCAAAAGGGGTAAACTAATCATCTCAAACAGGCCAGGGGAATGTACAATACAGGAATTCACAAAAACTCACATTGTGCATACAGATATGGCTTCTTGCACACAACAGGAAAAACCCCTATGATGCTAGCCTAACCCATCCAACTGCTAAATAAATATTTTTGAATGTTACAGCTCAAAATATTGGAAATAATTTATATAAGGAACCAATTGCTTCTTCAATTAAGTCTCTGAGTTTGAGGGCAGAGCATTCCTATCTTCAAATGGACTGGAGTGAGAAACCAGTATGCCCATTTCACCAATATATTTTTGCCCTCTATTGCCTGTCCTGACACATTCCAAGACATAAACAGGCACTTTCTTGCTTTGGCATCCATGTATCTTCATTTCTATCAGAGACCCTAAGATGATTCCAAATCCAAAACTTTGTTTCTATATGAACCAAGGAGGAAACTTACTACATACCTCAATGTGTAGAACATATTCAGCTGCATTTGTGCCATCTGTGACCTGCAGGACTATGTCATCCTGAAGTTCCTCAGATCCATCATGCTGATATCTGTGGGGATGATAGTTGTCACTAATCTCTCAAGGCTACAGTGAGAGTGCGCAGAGATTCCTGTCACAAGAGCTTTTCCATGGTTTTGGCCCTATGTTCAATCAAATAAACATATAACCAAAATCCCAGTATAATCTTGAAGTCACTTACATAACCATTCAAGCATCCTTGATGGTAAAATTGCTCCACCCAGGAAAAATGTGTTCTGTGCATTCTTTTTTTTTTTCCATTTATTTTTATTAATTGGAGGATAATTACTTTACAATATTATAGTGGTTTTTGTCATACACTGACATGAATCAGCCATGGATTTACATGTATTCCCCATCCCAATCCCCTCTCCCACCTCCCTCTCCACCGGATTCCTCTGGGTCTTCCCAGTGCACCAGGCCCGTAACTTGTCCCCAAATCAAAAAGCAGCCCTTTAAGTTGTCACTGTAAAAATGGGAAGCAGTGGATGTAGCTCTGCTTACATACGGAAAACACTGCCTGGGGCCAAGGGGACTCTAAGACTGAGCAGTGACAGACAGAAGTGGGACAATGAGAGGATTTTGGTGATTCTCCCTCCTCCCCCACTTTTAGGGCTAATCCTTCTGTGCTCCAAATCAGTTTAGCTCTGCCCTGAAACCTCATCTATGGATTACTCTCTACCTCTCTCCTGCCATTTCCCTCTTGCCAATGACTAGGTCTTTTCCTCTCAACCTAAGAAGATTCTTGAATCTCTTCAGACTTGAAAATATTTTTTTCTTGATCTATTCTTGACACTATTTTCTTTTCTTTCTCCAATCAAGTTTCTTAAAGGAATTGTCTAATTCTAGACTTTCCAGTCACTCTCCGGTCTACTATAGTGATACACTGTAAGTTTTAAATAATTGTTGAACTGAGCCAAATGTTTAGCTTATTGATGATATTGACTCACTCATGCACTGGTTAGGGATTCAATTTCAGTGGTGGGAAAAGCCCACCTCCAACCTCCAGTTTCCCTCCCAACATTCCCAATGTGCCTCCTATGCTTTATTTTGTCATGCTCCCTGATCAAACGTAGACTGACATGTGATAATGTGCTAATTCAAATAAATTTTACCATGCTATTATCCTTAAAAGGGCCAAATAGATCTAGGAGTACACATTCCAAGCTATGACAATGGAATCAAACAGAACTTCTTTTAAAACCAGACTCATTCACAAACTTGCTAAGTGACGTTAGTTAACCTCTTTGTGCCTTAGTTAACTCAACTATAATATGAGAACAGAACCATCTGCCTTATCAGGTTTGGTTGCTATGAAGTTTAATGAAGGAAACATAATTGCAAGTTTCTAGAAGAATGCTTGAACTATAGCTCAAGAATGCTTGAACTATGTGCTGGCAAAATTGGTACATTTTTTCTATCAATTATTCATTCCTAAAAAGAATTGCCTAAACAGAGCTCTCTTTCTGAAGGGTAGGAAAGAGCTGAGATAATGGGGTTGGGGGAGAAAATTTTAATGAAAATAAGAGTAGTGAAAAGAGCTTAAGATATTGGAAGCTATAAATAAAACAGTGTAACTAAACTTCTGGATGAAAATGTTCTTCCTGTACATAAATCCCCCTTCTTTATCAATTTCCAAATGCAAAACTAAGCATTTAAGGCCTATACTTTATCAAAAAGACCAAAATTCTAGTTTGTAACTTGGATTTGCACAAGTGAGAAGCTAACCAGTATGTCTGTCTACCTGACAACTGCTTTTGAGTATCTTGCGTTATTTTACAGAGAAAGAGTTTTACTAGATATTTTTTTAAGTGTCTTACATAATGACATTAGGCAGAGGAAAGGAACATCCTCAAGGTGAAGGGAACTATTAATACTATAGGCCCACTACAGAACTATGAAGCAGGGATTACTCCATCCCTGACTATAAGAGACCCAAGTACTAGTCTGTGTCCTACCTACCTAACCTACCCTACTTATTTGCCTGCAAATCACCTCCCCAGTAGAATGGATTAAAAAGTCACACTAAAGACATCAATCAACAGAATTCTATCCCAGAATTTCCCAGGTTATGAAGTTGGCTTTTCTGAAAGCCAAATTCAATTATGTACATTAGCCTTATAGATTAGCTCAGACTCAATTCATTTAGTTTGACTGCTACCTTTTGTGATATGTGCTGTTACAGCAAATATAATATTCATGGCAATTCAATTTTTGTTGTTCAAATATTCATAATATCATTCCCATCAATACAGCAAGCCAAAGGGGAAGAAAATGTCTGGAGGGAAAACTAAAGGGTTGTTATTTCTAATGTTCAACTGCCCCTTGAAAGTATTAGGTGGCATGTTGCTACTCCTGCAAGAATTGAATAAACTTCTTACACTGCCTCACAATTGATTCAAATGGGAGACAAAGCGTGTAAAACAAAGAATTCAGGAAATGTTCTAACCTAAGTTTTAAGGCCTGAAGGTCTCCCCAGGAAAACGTAGTCCCTGGGTTTAGAGGGAATCCATTTAGCTCCACCATTCCATGCTGAGGTGGACTCTGCAAGGAGAGGTGGATGTTGTCCAGTTTGGTGTCCTCGTCAGAAACCAGGACATGCTCTGTGCTGATGACATACTGACCTCCCTCAGCCACTCTCAGAGGTTTGGTCAACACCTAGAAGGAAGGAGAAAACATTTAAAGCCTTGTCCGTGAGGTGTACCTGAAAACAGAACTCATGAAAGCTACAGAAAACTTCCAGCATTATCTTTACATGTCAATCCAACTTTCAAGAATGTTCTAAAGGGCACAAATCCATAGTTGAACATCTTGGCTAAAAAATATTATTTGCTAAATGCTTTCAGTTCTAAGCATTGATGGACACAAAGAAACAAGGCAGATCTAGATTTATCATCAGAGTATGATATCTAAAGTATGTATCTAAACTAAGAAAATAACATTCCTCATTATTTCTGTATCTATCATTGCTTGGCACATATGTACCTTAATTTACAAAATGAACAAAACCTATATTAAATTTCCTGAGGGAAAGAATCCATGTTTTCTTACACCCTAAAAATTCTTAAAGACTGGAGTGACTGACTGGAGCATTTAAGGGTTAGGGTAGTGAGCATTTTAGAGATGGAAGTAGAACAGGGAAACTGAAGACTGGAAATCGAAGAATTCACAGGAAATAGATTTATTCAAACATTAGACTTAAATATTAAAGCCATAAAGATAGTTTTCTATAATAGAAAAGACCCACTGCTCAATAAAAATTCATGTGAAAGTAAAAAGCAAGTTTGAACAACTTGGAATATTTATCATTACTTTGAGAGTTGGCAAGAAGTGATCCGTGGTCAAACACAACCTGAAAATAGTCACATATTAATACAATATCTTCACCTTGGAGGTTTATAAGACTCATAATCATCTTCATGCTCTGAGATCCTAGAGTAGGAAAATCTGTTAACTTTGTTTAACCTACTATTTTCTCAAATTTGTATTACTACACAGAATCAAAAACAAGTTGATACAGCAGGGCTACAAGTCATGGGCTTTGAAGGCTCCTCACCAACGGTCTGGGGTGACCGCTCAGCTAATGTGAGGACACAATGTTCTCCAAGGAAACAGCTACTCTCTTCAGAGCAGCTGCCACTCCTAGAAAGGAGAAGTTTCCCCAACAAAAGATCTTGAAAAGGGGGTTGGGAGTGAGGGGGCAAGAAATGGGCAGAGGAAAGGGAAGTGAGCAAGAAATTACAAGTCAGCTCCATCCTCCCTCCCAGCCACCCACAGCTGCCCCAAGGGCAGCCCTTGGGTCATAGAAATGATGACACCAAGCTCCCTGGGATGGCTGCCTCGTATTCTTTAGCAGACGACTTCTTTCAGCAAAGCAAAACATAAAGAGCCTTTTCCCCCTACAACCACTCACTCCTACCTTTCCCAAGAGCCTTACTCTCATTTGCCACACCTACATTTCACTGACTGTAGGAGAAAGAAATAAACAGAGCTCACATTTAAAGAGGATTATTATCACTGAAACATGGTCCACGTGTGCCAGCCTCGTTTTGTCCTGAGTTACATCAGTTAAGAACCCGAGATGCTAAGTTTCAAGGAATATACTTTGCCTCATTCAATGATTTTTAAGAATATATGGTTTTAGAACAACTTTCGGAGACTAAAAGCATAAGGCTAACTTACTCCCACTTTTTCGTCATTCACCTTCCAGTCCCTCCCTGAACCCAGTGCTTAGGTTTCTGGAACTTCAGGTCAGTATGGCATCAAAATTCATGGTTTCACTCAACCTAGTGGTCTTTGGATTTTTAACATCAGGGAACAGCTCCCACGACCATTTTCACGCAGGAGACTCATTTAATTTGACTTCTGTTGTATTATTACCACTTCTCTATGGTACTATTTCATTTGTCTCATACACTGTAGAAAAAATACAGAAGCCCCTATGCCTCTCGAGCCCCAAGTCCTCGTAACTTCCATTTACCTTCAAATGACAGAGGTAACTATTCACTTCACTCTGTTGGTTCCCCCATCCCTACCCCACAGATCATCTTTCTCGAGCAAGAGGTTTAGATATTAAACATTAAAAAAAAAAGCTTCTCTGTGATTGTTCTGGAAAACATGGTAGCTTCTTTGGATGCTGGGCTATTTCAGGGCATGCATTTCATACAAAGGATGATCTGAATAATATCTAACCAAATTCACATTCAAAACTGTATATTTTCAACATGGAACACGATCTGGTCCTCAGCAGGGAAGGAGACAAAGAATCCAGTTTAGATTATTTTGTGTGACCTCTTGGAGGGCCCATCTTCTGCCAAAACTTGCAAGCTCAGAGGCCTGAGGGGTCAGGCCAGTGAGGTAAATGAGTGTTCTGAGCTGGATGGATACTTTGGTGACTGGGGAACATGCCCTTTCCAGCTGCTGCAGAGTGGGGGTGAGGTAAGCTGCAGAAGCCAGAGATCCAGAAACAAACACAGAGTGATATTATTGAGATAATTCACACACCATACAATCTACCCCTTGAAGGTGTAAAAGACAATGTCTTTTGGTATTCGTCTTTTAGTATTTTCACACATTCAAAGTTATGTAACCATTATGAGCAAGTTTAGAATATTTTCACACACACAAAAAAAAACCCTGTCTTTGTTAGCAATTACTACCTATTTCCCCACAGTCCTTCCCTCTCCCACCCTCCCATTCCCCCAGCTTGCTGTGCTTCTGCCCATGGGATTCTCCAGGCAAGAATGGTAGAGTGGGTTGCCATGCCCTCCTCCAGGAAATCTTCCCAACCCAAGGATCAAACCCAGGTCTCCCAAATTATAGGCAGATTCTTCACCCTCTGAGCCACCAGGGAAACCCAAGAATAATGGAGTGGGTAGCCTATCTCTTCTCCAGGGGAACTTACCAACACAGGAATCGAACCAGGGTCTCCTGCATTACAGGCGGATTCTTTACCAGCTGAGCTACCCAGAAAGCCCCCTTGCAGTCCTAAGCAACCATTAATCTACTTTCTTTTCCTATAGACTTGCTTACCCTGGATCTTTCATATAGATGGATTTGTATAACATGTGGTCTTCTGTGACTGGGTACTTGTCTTTGAAATAATGTTTTCCAAGTTCAACCAATTGGTAGCACATATTAGTACTTTATTCCTTTATAGTTGAGGATTGATATTCCACTGTGTGGATTGCCACATTTCATCGATCCATTCAGCAGCTAACAGAAATTTGGGCAATCCATTACTTTCAAGTATCATTTAGACTCATCAGAACAGTTGTGCAGGTTGGATAAGTGCCTCGGTCCCTCAGCGTGAGACCTCTGCCCCACAACTTTGGGCGGATGCAGAGATGGTGTGGAAAGCACAGGAAAGGGAGCATCCAAGCTTTCCTGGTTTCATTTCAGGTGGGGGCCTGGAAAGGTGGCCTCTCTCCCTAGGGATATGACATGGGTGGGTTCTAGTCCCCACTGGTTCCTAATGAATGGGTAATCACACTTTGTCTTTCCACTTAGGAGGGAAGAAAAATAAGCCTAGGAATAGCCACACTCATTAACCCTAGCATTCTGATGGGGAGGAGCAGGTGGGGAACAAACTCTCATGATGAATCCTAGCCCTGAAGATAAGATGTGCAAGGTAGCATCGCCTTGATAGTCTGGTTTTAATGAGAGACCCGAGTGCTTTAAAGCTGACACAAACATGAGGGAGTGGAACAGGATAGGATGCAAGGGTCCATCTTAATTCATTTTGGAAAATTAAAGCTCTTATTTAGATGACAGAGCAGCATAGCTAGTCTGTGGGGAGAGCAAATAAGCCTGTCTGGTTGCTAAGAGACTCCTAATTTAATCTCCTTCCCCTGATCAACACATGAAACTCAGTAAAAAGGAAAGGAAATGAAAGAGATTTTGACAAAGCTTTGAAAATCATGCCAAATGATTTTCATGCCAAATAAAGCAACTGGAAAATCTCACCTTTTAGATAGAAAGCCCCATAGGAGGTGAACGACTCCCCTCCCCACGCTCGTGTTCCCTACACTGTCGTTGGAAAATAGAAAAGTCCTTAGAAACAGCCTAAAGAGAAGTGAGCATTTCGAGTAAGTCTTTAAAAACCTTTTTCTCGTTAGGTCCTCCCTCCTCTTCATCCTTTGTATCAAGCATGATACCTACCTTTGGGGCCTGATTGTCCACCGGAAGAATCGTGATGTTAAAGCAGATCCCATATAGCGTCCCACCGTGCTGGTTACTGACAGAAAAGGCAAACTGGACGTGTCTTGGATGGGGACCCACATCTTGCATGGGTGGCATATAGGCCACTTTCATATGGTTCACAGCATGCTGCAAAGCAAATCAAGATGGACATGTGGGTACTGACTGCCAAGATAAGAGACATTTAAAGACCTGGGGCTAAGAGACCCTTCGGGTTAACTTAATATGGAACATTGCAAACACTCTCATCATCAATCTGAAGATTCTACAAAGCTCTATCTTACAAATCACATTTAAAAATGGGAGGAAAAAGAACAAAGAAATTAAGAAACTATGCCAAGTACTTAAAGTCATGCAACTCTATAAAAGACAGGGACCTTGAATTTCAACTCTACTCCACCATGAAGGAGCTGCATGATATGGGTCAAGCTACTTAAACTTGTGAGGCCCAGGCACCCTGGAGCCCAAGTTCCACAACAAGAGAAGCCACTGCAATGAGAAGCCTCAGCACTGCAACCAGAGACTAGCGCCTGCTCACCACAACTAGAGAAAAGCCTGTGCAGCAACGAAGTTCCAGCACAGCCAAGAATAAACAATTAAATAATAAAATTATGAGGCCCCTGTTTCCTTATCTATAAAATAAATAAGATAATAAAATAATAGTACTTATCATGAGGGTTGGCATGTTCATTTACCACGTCTAACTACCATGGGGTCACAAAGAGTTGGACATGACTTAGAGATTGAACAACAAACTACAGTGAGATTCAACATATTGAACCTTAAACCTGAGGCGGCGCTGCTGCCTAAGCACTCATTATTACTGTGACCTCACTCAGGCCTTCAGAATAGAGAACCTTAGGAGTAGGGAGAAGGTTAAGGAAGGATTTTGGAAAGCAGTAGATATTAAGTACATACATTGAATTATGTACCCCATACACACAAAAAAGATATGCTGATGTCCTAAACCACAGCACCTCAGCATATGACCTTGTTCAGAAATGGGGGTGGCAAAACTCACAATTAGTTAAGGTAAGGCTGTACTGGAATGAAGTGGCCCTTAATCCTACATAACTTATGTCCTCATAAGAAGAGAGAGACATAGGGAGAACACAGCCATGGGGTGACCGAAGCAGAGAGTGGAGTGATCATCTACAAGCCAAAGAATGTAAGATTCCCAGCAAACCACCAGTCGCTGGGAAGAGAAAAGGTAAGACACACCCACCCCAACCACAAACAAGGTTTTGGAGGATGGTATCCCTGCTGACACCCTGACTTCAGACGATTCGCCTCCAGAACTATAAGCCTACACACTCAGTCCTTTAAAGCCACCTAGTTTGTGGTAGTTTCCATAGCAGCCCTAGGAAACTAACATGTAGGTTATTAGATGAACTGAAATTGATGGAATAAAAACATATGCATCAGGTCCCTAAATCAGAGCCCTAAACCAGGAACCTAAGTTGATGCAAAAGGTTGTATTGAATTATAATGAGATTTTATTATACAAACATATTCAGCTGGATCAAGCATTTTCAAATACATGTCACTTGCTTAATGGAAATGTGCAAGCAGAAACAATATAGACATCAGGTATTTGTTGCTTGTGGCGGATGTCAAAGGCCAAAATTCTCAAGTAAAATGCTAGAAGCACCAGACCTTCTCAGAGGACACTTTCATCTGTTTGTCAACATTTGAGCATAGCATCATACCTGAGTAAAATATTTTAACCCTGGAGCTGCAGGAGTCTTGGTTAGCCTTGGTATGCTGTCCACCATGAATAATTTCCCAGCATCTAAGTGTCTAAAGAAAAATAAAAGAGAGCACATCAGCTAATTTTCCAGGTAAAAATTAAGTCACACATTAGCCTGCAACCACATTTTCTAAAGCTAAAAGTGCTCATTGTCAGAAGAAATCAAATGTTTCATCTTTATATTCTCTCTTTATATCAGGGGCAGGGACTTAGACTTACTAGCCTTAAGTCTAATATCATGAATGCCATTCTCATCATAACAGTAAAAAGTATGTACAAAATTTCTGCTCTGACAAGATGAAAGGGAATCTAACTACAATGAGATACAGTTAGATACTCATCCTAAAAACATTTACTCACTATCATTTAGTACATAATTTAAGCCCAAGGGATATTCATGGCACTTTCTAGGTTGGAATCATATAATATGACCATTTTTATAGCCTGAGATACCTAAAAATAAAGCTATGAAGACTCAATAAATTGTACCTAAAAGAAAAAAGTATTCTCTTTAGAAAAAGGGATTAAAGACTGTTTTCAGCCTACTTAAACTAAAGACACTACAAGTTGCAGGCCATTTACCTATTAACATAGCCTTTGAAGGAAGGCATGAGACAAGTTTGAGATTAGAATAAATGCTGAATTGAAGTTTATGTCTGACCAACAAAACAAGCGAACCAAGGACTACACAGTGACACTTTCAACTCAATCCCAGAACACAACCTTCAACTAATAGCCCAAGTGATGACTTTTCATAGAGATACCTGTGGCTGGAGGAGAAAAATGGAGGAGCAGTTATTGTGTAGAGCAGCTCCCGGTCATGTGATTCTGTATCTATAAAATGTAGATGTTTCTTAGTGATGTAGGCCACCTCCGTTTCCTTGACAACTAAATGCCGAGAAACTCCAGGAGCCTCTTTTGGAAGCTGGTCATCTACAGGAGTGATATGGATTGTCACCACCTAGAAAGAAATTATCTGTGTCATTCATTTGAAATACCAAAAAGACATCAGAAAAAAGACACTCCACTATCATTCAGTCAACTATGATTTTCAAAAACTGCCATTTAATAATACACTTCCAGTGAAAAAGTTCAGGAGCTATTAAGAGCATGAGCTAAAAATGGATCATTCTCCATCCATTTTTCACTGTACCTTAAGAATACAATTATCACAGTTACATTTAATGCAGTCCTGAGTGCTATCAAATGGGCACACAACACACAAAATATATTCCTGGTTTTATTTGTTGTTGTTGTTGTTCAGCCACTAAGTCTTTTCTAACTCCTTGTGACCCCAGTGACGAGCATGCCAGGCTCCTCTATCCTCCACTATCTCCAGGAATTTGCTCAGATTCATGTCCATTGAGTTGGTGATGCCACCTAACCATCTCATCCTATGCCACCCCCTTTTCCTCCTGCCTTCAGTTTTTCCCAGCATCAGGGTCTTTTCCAATGAGTCAGTTCTTCTCATCAGGTGGCCAAAGTGTTGGGCCTTCACATAGAGCAAGAATTATGACAGAGTGGAAGGAGGAAGAGGAAGCCCAGGCTGTTGGTAAAGAGAGATGTAAAAGTAAAACCTGATGCTTTCAAACTGTGGTGCTGGAGGAGACTCTTCCTCCTTCCACTCTGTCATAATTCCTTGACACAACTTTTGGTTCCTCTTTTTCTACCCACACAGAACACATCACTAAGTCCTAGAGTTTGTATTTATAAATTTTTCGAAACAGTGACCACACCCTCCTCCCCAGCTGTCAGCCCCACTATTCCTGATCTTGCTCCAGCTGGCATAATTTCTTCCTTGTATCATCGTAACAGCTTTCCATCAGCCCTAATTTCAATAACTAATCTTGACTTTTCATACCTCTGGTCTTATCTTTTAAAAAACACAAGTAAAACCAGGTTATTCACTTCCTCAAAGATCTAAAAAAGTTACAAATGAAGTTATCTACAAAACAGAAACAGACTCACAGACATAGAAAACAAATTTATGGTTACCAAAGGGGAAAGGCAAGGGAGGGATAAATTAGGAGGCTGGGATGAACACATATACACTACGATATGTAAAATAGATAACCACCAAGGCCCTACCGCATAGCACAGGGAAATAGTCTCTCTAGTTTTTAATCTATACAAGAAAAGAATCTGAAAAAGAATGCATGTGTGTGCTCAGTCATGTCCGACTGTGTGTGACCCTATGGGCTATAGCCTGCCAGAATCCTCTGTCCACGGGTTTCTCCTGGCAAGGATACTGGAGTGGGTTGCCATTTCCTCCACCAAAGGGTCTTCCCGACCCAGGGACTGAACCCACGTCTCCTGCATCTCGGGCATTGGCAGATGGATTCTTTACCCCTGAGCCACCTGGGAAGCCCCTGACAAAGAATATATATACATAAATATGTGTAACTGAATCACTTGCTGTATACCTGAAATTAACACAACACTTTAACTATACTTCAGTAAAATTTTTTAAAACAAGAAAGTAAAAAGGAAATCTTAAACAACCACCCAGGAGGGATAGAATCATTCTAACTCCCTAGCATGGTATTCAAGACCCTTCCCGGTACAGACACACTCTTTAACTTTGCCTTTTGCCACCTTTTAACATTAATCTAGCACCCTGCCTGCACAAAGCGGATCCAGTCCTAGTCCGCAAACATGCCTCTCTGCTCTGGACCACGTTGTTTCTTCAGTCTGGAATGCTCTTCTCCTGTTTTCTCTAGCAACTCAATTCTTTCATACTCTTGAAGGCTCTTCTTGAAACGTTTTCTCAGTTGGATTTCATTTTTCTTGAATTTTCATTATCCCTTGACAAACACTATAATTGCGTTGTCTTGCATTATTAGTTTGTAGTTTACATGTCATCTCTCCTAGACTGTAAGTTCCACAAGAAGAGGATCACAGTATAGTTCCACATGGAATGTGCCAGTGAATGGACGGTCCTGAGTATACTACTTGGTAATTACCTATCTTGAACAAGTCATTCATCTTTTTCTAGTGTCCATTTTCTTATCTGTAAATTAGGCATAATATCAGCTCCACCACATCTAGCATGATATTTTGTAGGTAGGAGGCACTTTATCATGTTTTCTCACTGAATGAGTCTACATGTCCTGTTGTGATGTTAAGAATTTTCTCAAACATTCACAGGTTTAGATCTTGCAAGGAGGGCAAGGAGATTTTGCCAAACAGTTTTTAGCATCACTTTTTTTTCTTTTTTTTAAGAATAATCCAAAAAAAAAAAAGGAAGAAGAAGAAGAAGATTCCATGCCTGGTTGGAAGAAAGCAATTACTCTCTCTTGAAATGGTACATTTGCTTGGCATCATGAAAGCCTGATGCATTCAGTTCAGTTCAGTTCAGTTCAGTCGCTCAGTCGTGTCTGACTCTTTGTGACCCCATGAATCTCAGCACACCAGGCCTCCCTGTCTATCACCAACTCCCAGAGTTTACTCAAACTCATGTCCATCGAGTCAGTGATGCCATCTAGCCATCTCATCCTCTGTCGTCCCCTTCTCTTCCTGCCCCCAGTCCCTCCCAGCATCAGGGTCTTTTCCAATGAATCAACTCTTCGAATGAGGTGGCCAAAGTACTGGCACATTAAAGTATTAATATTCTTCTGCTGGTTTTGATTTATTTAATATTGTCACTGAAACAGATCAACAATGCCAGTTTTTTCTAAGAAAGTGGTGTTCACAATAACCAGTTTGAAAAGCTGTGGTACATATACACCATGGAATATTACTCAGCCATTAAAAAGAATTCATTTGAATCAGTTCTAATGAGATGGATGAAACTGGAGCCCAAATAAATAAATGAAAATAAAATTAACATACAAAGCAAAAATTAAAACATAGTTAAGCTTTTGCTATAATATAAAAAAGACTGGAACATCAGCTCAGCCACCTACAAGCTTTTGCTGCCTGGGGCAAATCACTTGAACCTTTTGGGGCTCAGTTTTTCTTTCTGTACATTGGGAATAATAAGAATGGCAATTACAGTGAAGTGTTGTTAGGATCAAACAAGATATCTGACATCACAGAGAATACCTGGTAGTAGGTGCTCAATAAATCAATTCCTTATCTCCATTCTTCATCACTTTTAGAAAAGTATATAGCATATTTACTACTCCATTATGAAGTATTTCAATAATTAAAAACTAAGCCCAGTCATCAAAATAATGGAACACAATGACAGTCATTTCTTTAGTTTCCTGGAATCTATGTCATGATTTTTTTTTTTTCCAATTACAGTTTTTTGCTAATCTACAAAGTTCAGAAATTCTCTATGGGACCTCCCAGTCATGGTGTGGATCAGTGAGGCTCCACTTAATTGAAAAACTGGATTTAATAAGGAAACAATACTTATTGTGCATTCAAAGAGACCATTTTCTATGCAAATTTATTCTCTAGTGTGCTCTTTGTAGAAAAAGAATGTACAAGCAATGCTTTTTTATACCCCAGTAGTAATTCTTGGTGGGCCCATTTTTCAACATGCTTTATGATTGCCTAAGTTGATGTATCTTTACATATTTATGCATGTCCAAATAATTACTGTGTGTGTGTATTCTGTGGGTGAGAAAAATCCAATTTTAACAAACTCCATAGAGAAATAAACTGTTCCCATTCTTACTGAAATTTGGTTGTAAAAAGGACCTCATTAAATACCCATTCCCACACAATGGAAAACTAGTGCCTGTACCAGTCACTGGGCTCTTACCTGCTGCCTTCCTCTACATGCCTCCAGTCTACTTAAGGCCACAGGCACCCACAGACAGACTGGCGGGAAATTAGTACATAAAGAAATAAATCAGTATATAAAATGACAATGACTAACCTTGACCCTCACAATACAGGTCACAATATGACACTCCACCAGATAGTATCTACCTTTCTTGTGGACCTGAATTCTTGATCCCTTCTCTGCTCTGAGGTTTGATTCCTATCTGATTCCTTCTTTTTCATCTTCCTTTGAGATTCTGTGTGTGCATGCTAAATTACTTCAGTCGTGTCTGACTCCTTGCGAAACTATAGACTATAGCCCTCCAGGCTCCTCTGTCCATGGGATTCTCTAGGCAAGAATACTGGAGTAGGATGCCATGCCCTCCCCTCCAGGGGATGTTCCTGACCCAGGGATCAAATCTGCATCTTTATGTCTCCTGCTTTGGCAGGAGAGTTCTTTTTTTTTTTTTTTTTTNTCTTTTCTCTTATAGGTTATCACAAAATATTGAATATACTTCTCTGTGCTCTATAGTAACTCCTTGTTAGTTAGTTATCTATTTTACATATCAGTCAGTCCACTTCAACCAGTCAGTGGTGTCTGACTCTTTGCGACCTCATGGACTGCAGGACACCAGGCCTCCCTGTCCATCACCAACTCCCGGAGTTTACTCAAACTCATGTCCATTGAATCCATGATACCATGCAACAATTTCATCCTCTGTTGTCCCCTTCTCCTGCCGCCCCTGATCTTTCCCGACTTCCGGGTCTTGTGTCTTTTTAAATGAGTCAGTTCTTCACAGCAGGTGGCCAAAGTATTGGAGTTTCAGTTTCAGCATCAGTCCTTCCAATGAATATTCAGGACTGATTTCCTGTAGGATGGACTGCGTGGGTCTCCTTGCTGTCCAAGGGACTCTCAAGAGTCTTCTCCAATGTCACCGTTCAAAAGTATCAATTCTTCGATGCTCAGCTTTCTTTATAGTCCAACTCTCATATCCATTCATGAATACTAGATGGACCATTGTTGACAAAGTAATATCTCTGCTTTTTAATATGCTGTCTAGGTAGGTCATAACTTTTCTTCCAAGGAACAAGTGTCTTTTAATTTCATGCCTGTAGTCACCATCTGCAGGGATTTTGGAGCCCAGAAAAATAAAGTCTGCAACTGTTTCCACTGTTTCCCCATCTATTTCCCATGAAGTGATGGGACCAGATGTCATGATCTAAGTTTTCTGAATGTTGAGCTTTAAGCCAACTTTTTCACTCTCCTCTCTCACTTTCATCAAGAGGCTCTTTAGTTCTCCTTCACTTTCTGCCATAAGGGCAGTGTCATCTGCGTATCTGAAGTTATTGATATTTCTCCCGGCAGTCTTGATTCCAGCAGACCTGGGTCACATAGTATGTGGCATAAGCCCTCTTGGAGGAGGTCACCATTAACCCCACCATAGAGCCGCCAAACAGACAACCCACAACTGCAGAACAATTATACCAAATAAATTCTCGCACTGGAATTATACCCAAAGCTAGTTTTGCGCACTCCACTCTCCAATCTGACTTCTGATAAATGCCCATCCCAGCTGCCTGTTCTCTCCACTGGTCAGTCACATTACATTTCCTTCCTCCCACTTCACACACAGGCCTTTGTGGCATCTGCTTCCTTTTTTTCAGTTTCTTAGTTCTCTTTCTTCTTTTCTTATGTTTGGCTCTCTATTTTACTGCTAACATTATGCTCTCCTAGACTAAGACCTCAAGTGTAAGCTTTATAAAACTCTCTACTGAGAAGAATAAAGAAGAAAATATTTTCTTTCTATGGTCAGCTTTATTAAGGACTGCTATACATACAATGAACTGCATTCAATTTAAGTCTATAATTTGATGAGTTTTGATAATCACATATACCTATGAAGACACCACTGCAATTAAGATACATAATATCTCCAATGGATTTGCTTTATTTTTTGGTTGGTTGGTTGGTTGGTTTGATAGTATTTCATTGCCTCATTTTATAGATATACCATAGTTTTTTAAACCAGACTTCTGCTGATGAGTATTTTGGGTGCTGATACAGGCAACTCTACACTTAACAATCTAAGAAGATATTTTTCAAAAGCAAATTTAGTAAGTGAGGCTTTATTTGGCAACAGTCACGATAACCAAGATGAAAAGAGAGAGGGGCTTCTGGCTAACACTTTGTTGATGGGTAGGTAGATTGCTCAGTAGGACTATCCAGATGGGAAGGATGAGAGGAGGTAAGGGGCACTCCACTTATGCAACTTCCTCCCTGCTTTGACCAGAAACTCACATGAGAAAATCTTTGGTCCCTGCCCCTATGGAAGGAAGAATTCTAACAGTATGGCTGAAAAAATCCAGGGTTTGAATTTAATCTTCAGTGACCCAGGAACCTTCTGATCACAAAAGCTCCAATCAAGTAACCATTTCATCTGGTCTTATAGTTGAACAGCTGAAAGTTATATTTTGTTGAATATTTTAAATACATTTTTATCTGTTGGACATGACTAGACACTTGTACAAATTGAAGATGCAATCATCAAATAGACCAGGTAATCATTTGTATTCCTTAAGAATCAGAGCTTCAGTGATGATATAATTAAAACATAGAAACTCTTACCAGCACACACATATACAAAATAATTGTTTTGTTTTTATACACCACACTAATTCCTGAAAACTCTGAAAACTAAAGCTTTACACTTATTACCTCCCTATCTCACTTCTTTCCTGGTCCCTGCCAAATGGTTGAGTCTTCTTATTTCCTCCCAGTTTCATTACAAGTTGAAAGAACCAGAGTTAGTTTTAGAACCAACATAAAATTCTTGGGGTTCTACTCTGAGGCAGGTACCAAGATCTGAAGACACAGAGATAAATATATCAGGATCCCTGTCATTAATGAGCTCACCATGGATCCAATAAAATAAACAATGGCCTCACATTATAGTAACTTGGTATCAGATCATGTAAAAGGACCAGATAGCCAAACCTGGGGAAATGGGAATAAGAGGATCAGAGAAGGATTCCTGGAGCAGATGATGTTATAGCTGAGAGCTGGTCCATATCTAGAGATGCTAAAGCTGCTAAAGACCACAAGAGGGAGATTGGAGAAAAAAAAAACAACTAGATGAATTCTACTCAACATATTGCTTCTGGATCAATGAATTTATTTTTGTTGTTTAATCACTTAGTTGTGTTCCACTCTTTGTGACCCCATGGACCACAGCCCACTAGTCTCCTCTGTCCATGGGCTTTCCCAAGCAAGAATACTGAGGTGGGTTATCATTTCCTCCTCCAGGAGATCTTTCTGACCCAGGGATCAAACCCATGTCTCCTGCATTGGCAGGCAGATTCTTTACTACCAGCTACAAGGTAAGTCCATCAATGAATTTTATTTGTCCTCAAAGGGTGCAGTTAATTGCTTCTTTTCTTAAGAGACCATGTGAGAGATTCGGAGAATAATCTAGTTCAAAAAAGATGAAGGTTGAAACAAAAGCAATGACAGTGGGGTGGTGTAAGGAGAGATAGATGAGAGAAATTTCTCAAGTAGATTTAGTAATACTTGCTGACTGATTGGTTATACAGATAACTCAACAGAAAGAGGGTAGTGGTGACTACAGAAATTCCATTTACGGTGGCTTTGCACAGTTTTAGCAAAACAGGCTAAATGTCTTGTGAACATGCTGAGTATAAAATAAATGTAGAGATGTCAGGTAGAGATGTAGGTACACAAGTCTGAGCTGGAGGATATTTAGGAGTCACAAAATAGGTGGTACATGAAAACAGAGCAAAATTCTTTTTCTCCCCATTTCTCTCTCTCTTTCTCCCTCCCTCCTTCCTCATGCCCTCTCTTTCTTTCTCTCTTTTTCCAACCCTTCCTTTTTTTCTTCTCTCCCTCCCCATTCAACATAGATTAAGAAGATAAATAAAAACAGAGAAAAATACCATATGATTTCCTTAGAAGTACAACCATAATGGGAAATAAACATAACTGGATCTGACTTATTTAATCTGACTTATTTGTCAAGATTTACAAATAATTTTAGTTCAGTAAAGTTTTCATTACTGCGGTCTTTACTAGAGAAAACTGACATCTATACTTGTGAGTATCAAAAATATGATCTATAAAGTATACAATAGCAGAAAAGTAAAAAGTAGTCCTGAATTTCCCATTTTCAAAAAGGCCCGTAGTTTGCTAAAAGTGATATGGTATTCTAGTCAGAAACATAGCACAGTTGAATGGATGCAACAGAAGACGTAGAAGTAAATCCTACTAATAGTTTTCATTTTGGACTATCAGATCAACTAAGATTTCAAGAAAAAAAGAATCAATAAATGGCATAATTATACACATTGATGAAAAGAGGAGGCTGTTCTAAAAAAGGAATTTTTTTTTAGTCAATAAGCAGATGAATTGAGAATTTCCTCATTCATTTTTCCATTACTTCTTTTAGCAAGGAGCATCTACCTCCTTCAGTTTCTGAGCCATCCCTATCATTCCTCCTGATCATCCCCTTTTGTTACTTTTATCCTGGCAAACAGATGAATAACCCAATCATCTACGTCTTGGCTAATGTCAATGACGGCGACACTAAGAGATGATGTTATATAACCAATAGGGATCAGGTTCAAAATTTGCTTAGACCCCTTTATATGCTAACTTCTAAAATAAGAGGTATAAAATGCCTAGCAAAAAGAACTATATACAGTGTGAGTCACTTATTTTCAGAAGACATTTGTCCATCCCTACCACCAACTGCCCTCTCCTCACAAGAAATTTACCCCTTTATAGCTTTCCAGACCCATTTTTTTCTGTAATTTCTGTAGGATGATGGCTCCTTAAGCCTATTTTTGTATTCTGTATATTTAAATAAAATCCTTGAGTGTTAATAAAACTCTTAGTTCTTCAAAAGCAATAATAAATAAAAGCAAATATATTCATTGAGTACTTACTAGGTGCCAGAAAGTTCACCATATTCATATGTATTATGTTGTAAGGAAGTTGTTTTACCTGTTTTACAGATAAGGAAACTGAGGCACAGGTCAGTTAACGCCAAGGACAGGAGAAAAAGACAGTCTAACTACAGAGAGTATATCTTAACCACCACACACGAAATAAATCAGTTTTTTTTTAATGTTATGAAGCAAGCAAATCTCATAAGATACTCTTCATAAAAGGGTCCCATAGTTAACTAACTTTGGAAACACTGCATACATGGAAATGTACATAACCCACTTCAGTATTCTGGGCTTCCTTTGTGGCTCAGCTGGTAAAGAATCCACCTGCAATGAGGGAGACATGGGTCTGATCCCTGGGTTGGGAAGATCCGCTGGAGAAGGGAACAGCTACTCACTCCAGTATCCTGGCCTGAAGAATTCCATGGACTGTATAGTCCATGGGGTCACAAAGAGTCGGACACGACTGAGTGACTTTCACTTTCACATAAGTTTGAACAATGTGAACATAAGCTGTTCATGTAAATTTGGGGGAAAGTAAATTTTAAAAAGCAGTTATGTTGCAAGGATATTGACTTAATTTTGCTTCTTCCATTGCTCCTCAAACTTTGGAATCTGTTTTCACAGAATTTCTAATAATATCTTCCAGAACTGATATCTGTGGACAAGATTTTGGGAAAGTGTTCAGAGATGGACTCTTACCTGTGGCACTGAGAGATTTGGAGGCTCGTGGCTGTCCCACAGGACAAATTCGAATGAATCTTCAAAGATTTCTCCACCAAAGTGACGATAGTAAATGATGCCATTGAATAGATCCCTCTGAATGAAGCCAGGGACTGGATAGCCTATAGAGTCCACAAAATACCACATACCTTTGTAACCATCTGCCAGGTGCTGGGGTAAAATAATTTTGGATTTATCTACAAGTTTTTTCTGCCTAGTATCTTGCATGTACCCAAGGAGTATTTTTTAAAAAGTATAGCTGATTTACAATATTGTGTTAGCTTCAGGTATATAGCAAACTAATTCATATTTTTTTTCCCAGATTCTTTTCTGTTACAGATTATTAGAAGATTCTGAATATAGTTCCCTGTGCTATACAGTAAATCCTTATTGCTTATCAATTTTGTGTATAGTAGTTTGTTTGAGGAATTATTATTAAATGCTCTATCAAAGCAGGAGAAGGAGGAGATGACGGCTTAGATGATTAAATGGCATCACTGACTCAATGGACATTAGTTTGAGCAAACTCTGGGAGATAGCGAAGGAAGGGAAGCCTGACGTGATGCAGTTCACGGGGTCAGTCTCAAAGGGTCAGACACAACTTAGTGACTGAACAACAAAAATCATAACTTATAAATAATAAAGCATAAAAATTAAAGGTACTACCTCTGCCTTAGTATATAGAAAAATCAGTATTAGAAAAATATTTTCAAGAAACAGTCTTAAAGTCAGACAAGATGGCAGAGGAGAGAAGGACCCTGAGCTCACATCCTCTCGTGGGCATACCAAAATTACAACTATCTTCAGAACACCAATCAGTGAAAAAGTCCAGAACATACCAGAGGAGATCTTCTATAGTTAAAGTTATAAAGAAGAAACCACAATAAGGTTGGTAGGAGGAGTAAAGTCACAATATAGTCAAGCTTCATACCCCAGTGTGGGCAATACACATACAGGATAATAAGTACAAGTGCAGAGTTTCTCTCAAAGGATTAAGAGCTCCAAGTCTAAGCCCAGGGATCCTGCACATGGGAAGATGAGTCTCCAGGGCATTTGACTCTGAGGACCTATAGGGTTACTTTTGATAGTCCCAGACAGCTGGGGGGAATAGAGTGTGTGCATGCATGCTCAGTCATGTTTGACTCTTTGCAAGCCCCTGGACTGTAGCCCGCCAGGCTTCTCTGTCCATGGGATTCTCCAGGCCAAACTACTGGAGTGGGTTGCCGTTTCCTCTTCCAGGGGATCTTCCTGACCCATGATCCATGAGTCTCCTGCATCTCCTGCACTGGCAGGCAGATTCTTTAGCACTGTGCCACCTGGGACATGGGGGAAATACAGACTTCACTCTTAAAAGGCACACAAAGAATCTCACATGCCTCAGGACCCAGGGAAGAAGCAGTAATTTGACAGAAGTCTAGGTCAGAAATTAAAAGACGCTTGCTCCTTGGAAGAAAAGTTATGACAAACCTAGACAGTATGTTAAAAAGTAGAGACATTACTTTGCTGACAAAGATCCATCTAGTCAAAGCTATGGTTTTTCCAGTAGTTATGTATGGATGTGAGAGTTGGACCATGAAGAAAGCTGAGCGCCAAAGAACTGATGCTTTTGAATTGTGGTGTTGGAGAAGACTCTTGAGAGTCCCTTGGCCAGCAAGGAGATGAAACCAGTCAATCCTAAAGGAAATCAGTCCTGAATATTCATTGGAAGGACTGATGCTGAAGCTCCAATACTTCGGTCATGTGATACAAAGAGCCAACTCATTGGAAAAGACCCTAATCCTGGGAAAGACTGAAGGCAGAAGGAGAAGAGGATACCAGAGGATGAGATGGATGGATGGCATCACTGATTTGATGAACAAATTTGAGCAAGCTCTGGAAGTTGGTGATGGACAGGGAAGCCTGGTGTGCTACAGTCCATAGGGTCACAAAGAGATGGCCACGACTGAACGGAACTGGATTGAACTGAACTGGACTATGCTGGACTGAACTGAACTGGACTGAATTGGGTCAGAACAACTTGCTTATCTAGGAGAACCTTCTGGAGAGACAGGAGGCAACCACAGCTCACTCTGGGGACACAGATACTGGCAGCAGTCATTTTTGGGAACCTGTTCTACCACACAGACACTGGCTCTAGCAAGCACCATTGTGGAATTCTCCCTCTATCTTATTAGGGCCAAGACCCAGCCCCGATCCAGCCTATAGGCCGGGGGGCTTCAGTGCTGGGATGCCTCAGGCCAAGCAACTAACTGGGTAGGGACACAACCTCACACAGGCTGTCTTAAGACCTCCTGAGCCAACAGTTGCCTCTGGACACAGCCCTGCCCACCAGAGAGTGAAGGACCCAGCTCCAGCTATCTCGGGGTAGACACCAACTCCAAAATAGCCTGGACCCCAGACCTACTCTCCAGGGAGCCTACTCTAGCCCCTGAACTAGTTGTATCCACCAGGGAGCAGGTACTAACTGCATAAAATCAGACATGCAGCCTGCAGACACATCTTGACCAACTGGACCATGGTCCTGGCCACTAGCAAACCAACACAAGCTTCAGGACTCCCCAGACCCTGCACTCAACAGTGTCAAGAAGTAGTCCCATGCACCAGTGATGCAAAACCTGCTCTAGGACCCTTAGGTCCTGTAACTAGACTCGAGTATCTGACTCTGCCTGCCAGTGGGCCACACTAGCCCTAGGACCTGGTTCTACCCACCACTGGGTGGTAACAGCCCCAGAGTCTCCTGGATCTTGACCCAACCCAAGAATAAGCCAGCACTAATGCCACCCTGTGACCCAGTCCCACTAACCAGCAGCCAGCAACCTCCACACAACACAGGAACTGGCGACCAACCAGACAGGGAGTAATAAGCATATAAGACTGCCTACACGGTCAGCCCAGCACAATAGGAAGACACACACATCCCCTAGAACATATCAATCGGGTGATGAGAGCAGGATGTGTTGCTAAGACACATATGATGTCTCCTACAAAGGGCTGCTTCTCCAAGGTCAGAAAGCATAACTAGCCTACCAGATACATAAAAATAAAAATAGCAACATAGGTAAAAAGAGGCAACAAAGGAACATGTTTCAAACAAATAAGATAAAACCCCATAAGAATAACTAAGCAAAGTAGAGATAGGCAATCTACTTAAGAGTTCAAGGTAGTGATTATAAAGATGATCAAATAACCCGAGAGAAAAATGGATGCACAGAAGGAGAAGGTTTTTTTTTTAATGAAAAGTTTAAAAATATGAAGGACAACCAGACAGAGATGAAGAACACAGTAACTGAAGTGAAAAATACCCTAGAAGGAATCAAGAGTAGACTAAATGATACAGAGGAACTATCAGCATGCTGGAAGACAGAGTAGTAGAAATCACTGGTGCTAAGTAGACAAAAGAAAAAAGAATGAAGAGAAAATGAGGACAGTTTGAGAGACCTCTGGGACAACATCAACCACCCTAATATTCACATTATAGGAGTCACAGAAGGAGAAGAGAGAACCTATCAACATATTTGAAGACATAAGTCAAAAACTTCCCTTACCTGGTAAAGAAAACAGCTATCTAAGTTTAGGGAGTATAGGGAGTCCTATACAGGATTTACTCAAAGAGTAACACACCAAGACACATTATAATGATAATGGAAAAATTAAATATAAATACAGAATATTAAAACGGCAAGAGAAAAGCAACAAATAATGTATAAAGGAACCCCACATAAAGCTATCAGGTGAATTTCAACAAAAATCCTGCAGGCCAGAAGAGAGTGGCACAGTATATTTAAAGTAATAAAAAGGAAAAACCTACAGCCCAGAATATTCTACCTAGCAAGACTCTTGTTTAGATTTGATAGAGAGATCAAAAATTTTACAGGCAAACAAAAGATGAGTTCGGCACCACCAAACCAGCTTAACAAGAAATGTTGAAGGAATTTTAAGAGAAAAATAAAATACCACAACTAGAAACATGAAAATTGCAAAAGGAAAATGCTCATTAGTAAAGGCAAACATACAGCACAAAGTTAGTAAGTCATTCACACACAAAGATATGAGGAAGATTAAAAAACAAAAGTGGCAAAATCATCTACATCCACAATAAGCAGTTAAGGGATTCATAAAACAATTGGATGTAATATATGACATCAAAAGGGCTTCCCTGGTGGCTTAGCAGTAAAGAATTGGCCTGCCAACACAAGAGACACAGGTCCAATCCCTGGGTCAGGACCTACTCTGGAGAAGAAAATGGAAAACCACTCCAGTGTTCTTGCCTTGGAAATCCCATGGACAGAGGAGACCATGGGGTTGCCAGGGTTGGATGCAACTTAGCAACTAAACCACCCCCACCATGACATCAAAAGCAGTGAGGAGAGAAGAGTACAGGGTTATTAAAATGTATCTGAAATTAAGACACTGATGAAAGAAACCGAAGACAACATAAACAGATGAAAAGATATACCACGTTCATGTACTGGAAGAATTAAAATTGTTAAAGTGACCATATTACCCAAGGCAATCTACACGTTCAATGTAATCCCTATCAATATATCAAGGGCACTTTTCACATAACTAGAACAAATAATTTTAAAATTTGTATGGAAACACCAAACTCCAGATTGTCAAAGCAATCTTGAGAAAGAAGAACAGAGCTGGAGGACACTGCCTTCAGACTATACTACAAAGCTACAGTAACCAAAACAGTATGATACTGGCACACAGCAGACACACAGAGCAATAGAACAAAATAGAGATCCCAGAGATAAACCCATGCACTTATACTCAATTAATCTACAACAAAGGAGCCAACACTATACAATGGAGAAAAGACAGTCTCTTCAATAAGTGGTGCTGGGAAAACTGGACAGTTACATGTAAAACAATGAAATTAGACCATTCTCTAACACCATATGGCTTTCCTGAGAGAACTGGGTTCGATCCCTGGGTCAGGAAAATCCCCTAGAGAATTCTTGCCTGGAAAATTCCATGGACAGAGGAACCTGGCGGGCTACAGTTCATGGGGTCACAAAGAGTTGGACACAACTGAGCTTTGAACTAATACCATAGACAAAAATAAGTTCAAAATGGATTATAGACCCAAATGTAAGACCTGAAACCATAAAACTCCTGGAAGAAAACTAAGGCAGAACACTTTGACATAAACTATACTGAGTTTTTGCTGTTTTGTTTTGTTTTGGATCTGTCTCCTAAAGCAAAAATAAACAAATGGGACCTAGTTCAACTTAAAAGTGCAGTGAAAGAAACTATCACCACAACAAAAAGACAATCTACTGAATGGGAGAAAATATTTGCAAATAATATGATAAATAAGGGATTAAAATCCAAAATACACAAATGACTCATAACTCAACAGCAAAGTAACAAAGAACTCAATTAAAAAATGGCAGAAGACTGGAATAGACATTTTTCCACAGAAGACTTACAGATTGCCAACAAGCAGATGAAAAGATGCTCAATACCACTAATCATCAAAGAAATGCAAATGAGAAATCATTTCACACCTGTCAGAATGGCCATCACAAATAAGAAATGGCTAACACAAATAAAAAATGCTGGCAAGCATGTGGAGAAAAGGAAACCTTGTACACTATTGGTGGGATGTAAATTGATATAGCTACTGTAGAAAGCAGTAAGAAAGTTTCTTAAAAAACTAGACATAGAGTTTATCATATATCCCAGCAACTCCACTCCTAGATATATACTTGAAAAAAATGAAAACACTAATTTGAAAAGATATGTGCACCCCAGTGTATATTGCAGCACTATTTACAATTGCCTCGATATGGAAGCAACCCAAGTGGACATTAATAAATGAATGGGCAAAGAAGATGTGCCATTCACATGCACAAACACACATAATGGAATGACACTCAGCTATTAAAAAGAATGAAATTATGCCACTTAAAACAACATAGATGAACTTGAAAGGTATTATGATAAATGAAATGTCAACCAGAGAAAGACAAATACTATATGATATCACTTACATGTGGAATCTAAAAAGTAAAACAAACTAGTGAATGTAACAAAAAAAGAAACAGACTCACAGACATAGAGAACAAATGAGTGACTACCTGTGGGGAGGGTGAAAGAAGAGGGGCAATATAGGGGTATGGGATTAAGAGGTACCAACTGCTATGTCAACTACCATGCGTAAAATAAATCAGCTTCAAAATACATTATACAACACAGGGAATATAACTATATTTTATAATAACAATAAATGGAGTATAGCATTCAAAAATTGTGCATCACTATGCTGTACACCTAAAACTTATACAATATTGTGCATCAACTACACCTCAATTTTTAAATAATCTATCAAAAATAAAATCAAATATGCTTAAAAAACAATTAGTCTTAGGTAAAACTGCTTGATGCCTATTTTATCAAGCTCCTTACCTATCTACTTCAAAAAGTAGCTGTGAAATTATTCTAACAAAATGTAAATAAAAGTTATTCATGAAATTTTTTATCAATAATCTAGAATAGGTCAAAATATTTCTTCAACCTTATTTGTCCTATCACCTTGCACGGCAGACTTAATTTTTCATAGTGTAATGGTTACCTTGAGGCCCAGTTCTGAAACTTTCTAGATTCCAGATGGATAGATCAACTTAACCTCTCTAAGTCTGTCTTCCCATCTGTGAAATGGGAATAATAATAATAGAATCTTACCTCATAAACTTGATGTCTCTCTTAGCACAAATTCTAACACAAATGATCTTAACTGCCCAGTACTCACCTATCAGCCCTGGCGCTGGTTTCTTCATGATCTCTCCAGCTTGTGGGGGTTTCGTGATATTAAAGAAGATGTAGTCATCACTGGAGTCCATGTCTGAAGCTCTCAGCATGGAACCCTGGATTAGTATGGTCTGCCCCTCCTCCAGTTCAATCACAACATTTGTTATGAGGAATGGCGGACTGTCATCTTTCGGCAAGATGTTGATGGGAAACTTATGTTGGATGCTGTGTTGCCTGTCAAATATCCTGAAGACCACAAAGTCTTTGGTGGAGTCACTGTCATCATGATGATATCGAACGACTCCAGCCTGAAGGTCAGCCACGGTGAAGAGAAACCCCTTCCCCCCTGATGGAAAGAACAGAGATGAGGCAGAATAAGAAAGATACAGAGGCAGCAGATTAGTAAACGCAGCACTACAGGAGTGGGTGTGAAATGGAAAGTAGGGCAGGCAATACTTTCCTTACCTGGAAAAACCATAGATTGTTTAGTGGGCTCTGGGGCTCCAAAGACCAAGTTCAATACTAGCTGGTTGTAACACTTATTAGCAGGGTGGACTTAGGCAAGGTATTTAATTTATTTGAGACCCATATATAAAACAGAGATAATAATACCTACCTAACATTCCCTCTTAAGAATGAGAGAGCTCAAACATAGTGTATCTACAATTAGTATTAATTGTTCTTCAATTCACTGTTATCAGCCAACAGCACTTCTTAGAGTAGTGGCTTCAAACTAGCAACATCAGAACCATTTGGGAAGTCATTATAAATGCAAGTTCTCAGGCCCTACCATAGACCGACTGAATCAGAAATTCTGCGACTGGAACTCAGCAATACATGTTTTATCAAGCCCTCTAGGAGTCTAATGCATGCTAACATTTGCGAAGCACTGGCTTAATGACCAAGACTTGAGCTGTGGTAGCAAATGGCATCAGTTCACATGCCAGCTCAGCCACTTTGTAGACCTTCAGTTCAGTTCAGTTCAGTTCAGTTGCGCAGTCGTGTCCGACTCTTTGCGACCCCATGAATCGGAGCACGCCAGGCCTCCCTGTCCATCACCAACTCCCGGAGTTTACTCAAACTCATGCCCATCGAGTCGGTGATGCCATCCAGCCATCTCATCCTCTGTCGTCCCCTTCTCCTCCTGCCCCCAATCCCTCCCAGCATCAGGGTCTTTTCCAACGAGTCAACTCTTNTTCCATGTCCAGTTCTAACTGTTGCTTCCTGACCTGCATACAGGTTTCTCAAGAGGCAGGTCAGATGGTCTGGTATTCCCATCTCTTTCAGAATTTTCCACAGTTTATTATGATCCACACAGTCGAAGGCTTTGGCATAGTCAATAAAGCAGAAACAGGTGTTTTTTCTGGAACTCTCTTGTTTTTTCGAAGATCCAGTGGATATTGGCAATTTGATCTCTGGTTCCTCTGCCTTTTCTAAAACCAGCTTGAACATCTGGAAGTTCTCGGTTCACATATTGCTGAAGCCTGGCTTGGAGAATTTTGAGCATTACTTTACTAGAGTGTGAAATGAGTGCAATTGTGCGGTAGTTTGAGCATTCTTTGGGATTGCCTTTCTTAGGGATTGGAATGAAAACTGACCTTTTCCAGTCCTGTGGCCACTGCTGAGTTTTCCCAATTTGCTGGCATATTGAGTGCAGCACTTTCACAGCATCATCTTTTAGGATTTGAAATAGCTCAACTGGAATTCCATCACATCCACTAGCTTTGTTCGACAAGTCAATTTCTCTTAGTCCCAGGTTCTCATTTGCAAAGTAAGAATAATAGTACCTTGCTTCATAAAGTTGATGTGAGATAAAGTATGTAGAATGCTTTGCACAATTGGGCACAAACTAAATATTTAATAAATGTTTTTACTATTTTCTTCCTCCTCTGAGCTAGAATATCATTATGGGGTATGACTCTCCACTTCATTTCTATAGTATTGATAAACATTGCTTCACTCTGCACAAACTACTAATATTTCAATTCTTTCTGCAGATGGCCCATAGCTTTTCCCACTCCAGATGGTTTTATAGATTAAACATGAGTATAGTGAACACTGTGGGTTACTTGCCCATCCGCCACTTTCTCCTCCTTCTCAGTACCAGAATCCTAGTCTTATTTAGAATGGCGATATAACCATTTAAAAATACTCAGGTTCCCAGACTCTGTTGCACCTAGGGGATAGTATGTAACTAGGTAAGACATGTAATTAGACTTCATTTCCTCAGGCTCCTGGGAAAAGTTGTTAAACAGAGCAAACTTAGATAGCATAGCTTTTTTTTATTGTTCCTTTTCTTTCTTCCTTCCCCTAATGCTCATTAGAAGCCTAGATGTGTAGGTACCATTCTGTGACCACTGACAGGACAGAAAAGAGCTGCTGGCATCATAAATACAGAATATCCACCTCTATGTAACTTGTCACAAGGAGAAAGTAACTCTTGAAAGTTTAAGTTGCTGTAGTTGGATTTTTCTTACATGCAACTGAATACTCATCTGAATTTATACAACCAGCCTTGAGCTAAGTTCCCATTGTCCTAGGATTAGGCAAGAGAATTTGTCATTTTTATTTTTATTTTATTTTTTTCAGAATTCCTAATCACACATAATGATAAGCAAGAGTTCTCTTTCTGCTTTACAAATAGGTAAACTAAGGTGATAATGGAATTAATTCCTCTGAGCTCATTACAAGGAATAGACGATATTATTATTAACTATGGATATTTTTATTAGAGCCAGTACTTTGTTAACTACCACCCTTATAATTATAAACCCATTTCTTTTAAACAATGGTAGCTGCTACTAATAACATGAGCATAATTTTTACTAAAGTATTAACAAAATGTTTCTCTGTTTTTCATCACATTTCTCTGAACCAGAGAAATGAAAAGGAAATATTTTGCCTTTAAACCAGGTTAAAATAATCAGTTAAGGAGTAAATTTAGAAGGAGCCCTACGTGGGTTCAAGAAGCAAATCTGAGATTTAAATTATGGCTCAAATATAAAATATCATTCATAAATGCTCATCCATTAATTTGAGCATCTACTACAAAAGTCAATGGTTTCAAGATCTCTGGATCTAGGGAATATAATTCACTGAGAAATGGAGCCCAAGAAATACCACATATACCCTGTTAAATATGATTTGCTTTTGGAGAAAATAATTGTTGGGTTTGATTCTAAGTGACAAAGTTTGTTCCTTCACCTCTCAGAGTAAGCCGTCCGCGCTGCAGGCCGTCCACGGTGACTACCTGGACAGCATGAATATCATCATTGTCCACAATCTGAAACTGTTCCCATGTGATGGCCCTAGACTGTCCCTCCAGGAGATTCAGACCTACAAGAGAAAACAAACAAACAAACAAAATGTCCTGGAAAGTTCTACAGCATGCCAAATGACTACTTGCAGACAAGAGTAATAAATTTTCACTCACAAAACTAGATAAAAATTGTATCTTCAAAAACTTCTCAAGAAACTGTAATTTAGCTTTTAAGTAACTTTTTTACTTTTAGTACTATTAACTCTAACCTGATGACTGGTTCCTTATGATCTATCCTTTAGAGGCACAATGGTGCCAAAAATAAACACTAGAAAGAAATAACAGATGTCATGTTCACAGGGGTCTCTAGTCCAAAAATGTACACAAGGAATATTTCAAATAAAGGCTGTGTTCACATATTTTAAGTGGGCAAGAGTCAGAAGCGCTTTCACACATAAATTCTAAGGCATAAGTAGCCCACAGGATAGAGTATTAAAGTGGTTAAATATTCATTAAATGTACAAGTACAGAGCTACTGTGCTAGGGGAGTGTTTAATGGTGTTAGACAGGAAGAGTCTGACACTTTGTAATGAGGGTTGTGTTTTAGTCTAGATGCTAATAAGGAAGGGACTTTTGTAACTAAAGGAATTTAACAATAAAAGCTTATCCTTGGACTCAGCATGCTGAAGGGAATCTGGGGAGAAAGGGAAGTGCTGCTCAGAGCCAAGAAGACAGAATCCAGACTGAATACTGTGGTTAGAGACAGGAAACTCTAACTGTCTCTAACTGTCATCAACCATTCCCATTACCCAGTAGAGCTGCTGGGTCAACAGACTGAGGAGAATCTTGAAAAGGGGCAAAGCCTTTCAAAGAAACAAGTGTCTTTATGAATTATGGATTTCTCATGGTGTAAGCCCAGTAGTGGGATTGCGGGGTCATATGGTAGTTTTATTCCTACTTTTTTAAGGAATTTCCTTACTGTTCGCTGCAGCACTATTTACAATAGCTAGGACATGGAAGCAACCAAAATGTCCATCAACCAGTAAATGGATAAAGAAGTTGTGGTACATATATTCAATGGAATATTAGCCATAAAAAGGAACGAATTTGAGTCAGTTGAACTGAGGTAGATGAACCTAGAGCCTGTTATACAGAGTGAAGTCAGTCAGAAAGAGAAAAACAAATATCATATACTAACACACATATACAAACCTATTAAAAAATGGTACTGATGAACCAATTTGCAGGGCAGGAATAGAGACACAGACATAGAGAATGAACTTGTGGACATAGCAGGGGACGGAGAGGGTGGGATGAATTGAGAGAGTGCACTGAAGCATTTACATTACTATGTGTAAAATAAATAGCTAGTGGGAAGTTTCTGTGTAACACAAGGAGCTCAGCCTGGTGCTCTGTCATAACCTAGGGCGGTGGGATGTGGGGGTTGGGATGGGAGAGATTAAGAGGGAGGGTGTATACATATATATACTATATATATACTAAACTATATATACCATATATTATATATATACTATATATATACTTAAGGCTGATTCACATTGTTGTACTGCAGAAACCACCACAACCTTGGAAAGTAATTTTCCTCCAATTAAAAAAAAAAGAAACAAGTGGATGAAATTTAAAGACGGTGTACTGGTAGACACAGTGAATGCATTAATGCTTCCCCTCAAATCTGCCTGGCTTCCCCTGCCCCCGATGTTGACCAACTGCCTGCTTTCTAGCCTGGCAGCTCCAACAAATTTCCCACAATCCCCACACAGTAAAGCCCCGGCCGCCATCATTGCTTCATCTTATGATGTCGCTGCCCTCAACTGCCCACCAGACCAAGTTTTGGCATGACCTTCCCTGTGACCATGGCCAGGTCTCACACCATGGGACTCATGGAATTTGTACAGTGACTGCTAAGAGGAGCCAAGTGACACAACCCCGGGCATGTGGGAAGTTAACCCCAGTGAGGCGAACTGACTGAGGTGAAAAGAGATGGAAGATGCCTACATGTGGTTGCTCACCCCTTCCCAGCCGCACCCCTGACTCTTCCCACACAGGATGTTTCCATCTCCTCCTGCAGACATCAGCACTATTGAGCAATAAGCTTTATTTTCTTATAAAGCTACAACCAGCTCAGTCAAACCACCCTTCTATTTGCTACCCTCCAAACTCCCAACTTCCCTTCCCCTTGCTCCAAATTTCAGTACAGGGTTAGTCTGCCTCAGGGGCTCTTTGCTAGGGAACCTGAGTTAAGACATAAAGGAATACTGAAAGAAACAAAAAGAGAGAGAGAGGGAAAGGAAAGAGAGAAGTGAGGGAGAAGAGAGTAGAAGGAAAGAAAGGCAGGGAAGGAGGGAGGAAGGAGGGACAAGCACATGTAAAGACTCTCTGTGGCTGGTAATAAGGATTTTGAAGTCAAGAGTGCACAGTACAGCTCAGAACAAGGCATCATGGAATGCACAGAGGAGCAAGCAAGAAGACTAGAAATTTCTGTAGCAAGATATTAATGGTGATTATGTTTTGTGGTAGAGTAGTAAATAATTTTATTCAACTACTATTATTTCATTCAGTTATTCATTATTATTAACTCTACTTATGTGCTTTCCAAGTTTTCAATGATCTTGTATTCAGTTCATAATAAATAAAATTTTATTTTAAAAAGAATTCTGATGTCCAAAGTAGTGAAAACCAGATCCAGACCTCTTAACAAGCCTAGGTTTCACAGATCACACTTATACATGCAGACCATTAAGTCTCTATGCTGTATACTAAACTTTGCTGTTATTCAGTTGCTAAGTCATGTCCAGCTCTTTGCAACCCATGAACTATAGCACACCAAGTTTCCTTGTCCTTCATTATCTCCTGGAGTCTGCTCAAACTCATATTTATTGAGTATTGAGTCGGTGACATCATCCAACCATCTCATCCTCCATTACTCCCTTCCCCTCCTGCCCTCAATCTTTCCCCCCATTAGGGTCTTTTCCAGTTCTTCATATCAGGTGGCCAAAGTATTGGAGTTTCAACATTAGTCCTTTCAATGAATAGTCAGGGTTGATTTCCTTTAGGATTGACTGGTTTGATCTCCTTGCAGTCTAAGGGACTCTCAAGAGTCTTCTCCAACACCACAATTAGAAAGCATCAAACTTTAGATCACCAATTCCTTCTTTTCTCTCATTATCCCTCAAATAGAGGTAGAGCAAGACAAAAAACCAGATTGTAAATCAAGGATGCCCAACTGACATTGTTCGTCCCTACTGAAACTCACATATATATAAACACACACATGGTGTGTTACCTATGTGCAAACACACACATATACACACGCACACAAAAGATAATCCATATAAGCTGCCAGAGATAAGCAGACAGAGGTATTTTCTGTGTTAAATGAACCTACCAACACTGCTTAAAAGTATATTTTGAATGCCATTGATGGTAACGGTGGGAAAGGAAAAAATCTTCACTTACATTTCACATTTACATCTGATCTAAATATATACACTGCATTGTTAAGTCTTCTCAGAAATGAGAAACAGTACAAAGGCTTCTTTTAAAAGAAGTAAAGCAAGAGGAAATTGACATGGCAGAGTAGGAGGATGCAGAATTTACCTCTCCTCTCCCTCCCACCTTATGAACACATCAAAGATACATCTATACATGGAGCAATTCTCACTGGAAAGGGACTGAAGACTGACAGAAAGACCCTTATGCAACCAAGGCTAAAACAAAGTTGTGCAGGAAGGGAATAGTAGCAATCACGTAGGGGCCTGCTCCCCTAGGAGGGGCCACAGGACAGGAGGGCGTTACAAGGATGAAGATACCCCTGCAGAGTGAGTGGCTTGAACCACACACTGGGTGCACCAGCCCTGGGGTCAAACGGTGGGAAGACCATTGAGTGGTTTGAAAACCAGTATGAATAACAACAGAGCTGTAAGAGATCTAGACTCTACTCATGAAGCACCCACACATTCTTGTTTACTCCCAATGCAAGATAGAGAAAGCAGACTGAAATTGCTCAGGACACTGGCTGGCTTCTCACAACTGCCTCAATGCAGGCCCTGGCCCATGCTGAGTGCCCTTCCCAGCCCCACTTGCTCAGAGGCACAGTTCCCCACTAGAATGAGGCTGCCACAGCTGAGGAGAGCGCCCAGTTGTGGGGGATGGAGCTGGCTTGGGCCCAACCCTCACGGCTATTGCTCCAGTACCTTGGGGCATGGCCCTGCCCCAGTAGGGTGGTGGTAAGTTTTCAATGATCTTGTATTCAGTTCATAATAAATAAAATTTTATTTTAAAAAGAATTCTGATGTCCAAAGTAGTGAAAACCAGATCCGGACCTCTTAACAAGCCTAGGTTTCACAGATTACACTTATACATGCAGACCATTAAGTCTCTATGCTGTATACTAAACTTTGCTGTTATTCAGTTGCTAAGTCATGTCCAGCTCTTTGCAACCCATGAACTATAGCACACCAAGTTTCCTTGTCCTTCATTATCTCCTGGAGTCTGCTCAAACTCATATTTATTGAGTATTGAGTCGGTGACATCATCCAACCATCTCATCCTCCATTACTCCCTTCCCCTCCTGCCCTCAATCTTTCCCCCCATTAGGGTCTTTTCCAGTTCTTCATATCAGGTGGCCAAAGTATTGGAGTTTCAACATTAGTCCTTTCAATGAATAGTCAGGGTTGATTTCCTTTAGGATTGACTGGTTTGATCTCCTTGCAGTCTAAGGGACTCTCAAGAGTCTTCTCCAACACCACAATTAGAAAGCATCAAACTTTAGATCACCAATTCCTTCTTTTCTCTCATTATCCCTCAAATAGAGGTAGAGCAAGACAAAAAACCAGATTGTAAATCAAGGATGCCCAACTGACATTGTTCGTCCCTACTGAAACTCACATATATATAAACACACACATGGTGTGTTACCTATGTGCAAACACACACATATACACACGCACACAAAAGATAATCCATATAAGCTGCCAGAGATAAGCAGACAGAGGTATTTTCTGTGTTAAATGAACCTACCAACACTGCTTATAAGTATATTTTGAATGCCATTGATGGTAACGGTGGGAAAGGAAAAAATCTTCACTTACATTTCACATTTACATCTGATCTAAATATATACACTGCATTGTTAAGTCTTCTCAGAAATGAGAAACAGTACAAAGGCTTCTTTTAAAAGAAGTAAAGCAAGAGGAAATTGACATGGCAGAGTAGGAGGATGCAGAATTTACCTCTCCTCTCCCTCCCACCTTATGAACACATCAAAGATACATCTATACATGGAGCAATTCTCACTGGAAAGGGACTGAAGACTGACAGAAAGACCCTTATGCAACCAAGGCTAAAACAAAGTTGTGCAGGAAGGGAATAGTAGCAATCACGTAGGGGCCTGCTCCCCTAGGAGGGGCCACAGGACAGGAGGGCGTTACAAGGATGAAGATACCCCTGCAGAGTGAGTGGCTTGAACCACACACTGGGTGCACCAGCCCTGGGGTCAAACGGTGGGAAGACCATTGAGTGGTTTGAAAACCAGTATGAATAACAACAGAGCTGTAAGAGATCTAGACTCTACTCATGAAGCACCCACACATTCTTGTTTACTCCCAATGCAAGATAGAGAAAGCAGACTGAAATTGCTCAGGACACTGGCTGGCTTCTCACAACTGCCTCAATGCAGGCCCTGGCCCATGCTGAGTGCCCTTCCCAGCCCCACTTGCTCAGAGGCACAGTTCCCCACTAGAATGAGGCTGCCACAGCTGAGGAGAGCGCCCAGTTGTGGGGGATGGAGCTGGCTTGGGCCCAACCCTCACGGCTATTGCTCCAGTACCTTGGGGCATGGCCCTGCCCCAGTAGGGTGGTGGCGTTGGCAACTGAGCAGAGAAGCCCTGGCTCACACATGGCTCTGGCTCTAGCTCCTCCATCTCCTGCCCCAACACCTACCAAGTCGATAGAGGCCACTATACTCTGAGGAAAGACATGAGTTGTGTTCATGTCAGATCTAGCACTCCCATGAAATCCACGGGGAACATGCTCAGACTGTACAGGGATGATCCCACACAAGGACATACATTTAAGACCACGATGGGTAACTTTTACTTCGTTTTATAGAGACAGAAAAAGTTAACCAAAGCAGGAAGATGGAGAATTTTATTTCAAATGAAAGAAATTTTAAAAAAAAGAAACTTGTAAAACCATCCAGTAAAACAGAGATGAATGAATTACCAGACAAAGAATTTAAAGATTAGTAATAAGAATGCTAACTGAGGGGAAAGAATAGATGAACTAGAGAATCTGAAAAAATCAAAACTGAAGTATACAATAACTGAAATGAACAAAACACTAGGAATAATTAACAGACTAAGTGACATAGAGGGCATATAGTGCTCTGGAAGATAGAATAATGGAAAATATCCAGTCAGAACAACAAAAAGAGAAACAAATTTTAAAAACTGAAAACAGTTTAAGGGACCTCTGGAACAACATCAAGCATAATAACATTTACATTACAGAGATCCTAGAAGGAGAAGATAGAACAAAAGAAGTCAAAGGATATTTGATGAAATTATGGCTGAAAACTTCCTGAACCTAAAAAAATAAACAGATTTCTGGGTACAGGAAGCATAGAGGGTCCAAAACAAGATGAAAGCAAAGAGAACCACACCAAAACATATCATAATTAAAATGGCAAAAGTTAAAGAGAGAATTCTAAAGGCAGCAGGAGAAAAATAAAGAATCACATACAAGGGAACCCTCCTCCCCCAAGGCTATTAGTGGATTTTTCTGCAGAAACTTTGCAGGTCAAAAGGGAATGGCATGATATATTTAAACTGCTAAATGGGAAAAACCTACAACCTAGGATATTCTATCCAGCAAGATTATCATTCAGAATTAAAGGAGAGATAAAGAACTTATAAGATGAGCAAACTCCAGGAGATAGTGAAGGACAGAGAAGCCTGGCGTACTGCAGTCCATGGGGTCACAAAGAGACAGACACAACTGAGCAAATGAACAACAAAAACAAAATTGATGTAGCCACTGTGGAAAATAGTAGAGAGGTTTCTCAAAAAAATAGAAATAAAACTGCCATATGACCCAGCAATTACACTGCTGAGTATACCGGAATAAAACAAAAACACTAATTTGAAAAGATACATGCACTCCAATGTTCATAGCAGTATTATTTACCATAGCCACCATATGAAAACAACCCAAGTGTCCATTAACAGATGGAAGGATAAAGAAGATTTATGGCTTATATATACGACGGACTATTACTCAGCCATAATAAAGAATGAAATTTTGCCATTTGCAGCAATGTGGATGCACATAAAGCATATTGGGCTTAGTGAAATAAATCAGAGAGAGACAAACACTCTATTTTATCACTTACATGTGGAGTCTGAAAAATAAAACAAATGAATATGAGAAAACAGAAACAGGCTCACAGATACAGAAAACTAGTGGTTACCAGTGGGAAAAAGGAAGGGGGGAGGTGCAATATAGGGAGAAGGAATGAAGAGGTACAAACTACTAAGTATATAAAATAAATAAGCCACAAGGATATATTGTACAATACTGAGGATATAGCCAATATTTTATAACTTTAAATGGAGTATAATATATAAAAATATTGAATCACTATATTGTATACATATAACTAATGTAAGATTGTAAGTCAGTTATATATTAAAAATAAGAATACAAAGCAGTTTAAACTCTTAATTATGTATTTTCATGTCCATGCAACCCAACTTAAAAATAAGATAATGGATTATAGTCTGTGTCTTTCTTTGATTCCTTTGAATAAGTTCAAGTTGGAGACCTTTTCTCTCTCAGTCCAACTATGTTCAGTATCACAAACAGTCACTTTTTTGCCTCAATCAGCTGAAAGAGACCTTTTGGCTTACTTCCTGTAGAGGAAAGAACTTAGTTTCAGGACACGAGAATACTCAATTTAAATTTCTCACCCTGACAGCAGGAAAAACAAAACCAAAAAACCAACTAGATACCCAGAGCCTGTCCGGTTTCAGTTGCTTTGTGTATAAAATGGGAATAAAGCTACCTTTTTTCACTGACCAATGTACTTTCTTGTCTTGCCTTCCCTATTTTGTTTGACTCCTATATTGCACTTCACCTGTGTTCCAGGACACTCGCGGGGCATTTGTATCAGCTGGTCTGATGGAGATATGGACTGTAATAGGTGCACTCTTCTCAAAGAAGAAGTCATGGACCTCTAACTCCACCTGTAAACAAACAGTTGAATATGAACTACATATTGACAATTTATAATATAAAATACCATTAACTCTGGGATATATACCGCAGATGGAGGCAAAACTAATTCAGGTTTCTGCTGCTGCCTGACCTCATTTTTGACAACGTAATCTCACTTTTTCCAGCTCTATGTCTTTTCCTTAATTTATCAGTGTTTCCAAATTTTCTTCTCTATGAATGAAGTTCTTAACCTGAAATAAGCAAGTGTGCTAGCAATGTGTCCCTGAATTTGTTCAGGAGACTACATCAGTCCAGCATCAGACCACTTCAGCTTCTCGCAAAGATATAGGATCTAGAGCAGTGGTTCTCAGCTGTGATTTCACCCCCCAGGGGACATTTGGGAATATCTGAAAACATTTTCGGTCTCACAAATAGGTATGCCCATGGAGGTGCTACAGGCATCTAATGGATAGAAGCCAGGGAGGCTACTATTAATAACATCCCACCATGACCAGGTCAGTCCTTACAACAAAGAATTAGCCAATTCAAAATGCCAACAATGTTGCAGACATCCTGATCTACAGGCAGCTATCCCACTAGATATATAATTAAATATCCATATTTTATTTGCTCCCTTGAATTCCATAGCTAATAAACAAGCTTATACATTTTGAGCTTTATTACATGCTATGTGTATATTATATCAGGTGCTGACAAAGAAGGATGAGGTATTACACTGTAAAGGAAGGCAGGCTACCTACTTTTGAAGGATGTGTGGTCCATTGAGAGGATAAAAGAAACAATCAGATAGCACTGTATCAGCAAATACTACATAAAAAAAGAAAGAGATTCCAGAGTGACAAATAAACACATTGAAAATGAAACTATACTGATATGGGGGATATCATTTTGGAGGTCTAATATAAATATATATTAGGTTGAGCCCTATCACTAAGGAAATTTCCTCTAAGATAAATGTAGTACCTACTAGAGTGAAGTTGAATTTTCATGCCTACAAGAACAGACTACCGGGTGTAACAGCTGAGCGAAGGATCAGCTAGCTTAGAGTGCACTGGCCACTGCTCTGCTCTCAGAAATCCCACCCCAGGTGGCTTCCGGCCAAAATAACTGAACAGTGCAAAATCTCCACTGAGAAAGTTGAAAGTCACCTTCTAACAAAACAAACCAAAAAAAGCACACATTTGGACAGGTTCTGCTTTAGTATTACATTGTACAATGCCAGACATAACACATACAAAGCAGACAGAGTCGCAATGCTTTATTTGTGAATGTGAGATAAAACCGGACATCAAAGAGAAATTACCTCATGCTATGGAAGAAATGAGAAGTGAAGACTGGAAAGAAAAAACCAGTTGCCACTTACTATTATGACGTGAAGAAAATACAAGTAAAGGGCAAACCATGGCATTTATAGTCTGCCCTTGAGACTAGAGGCTAAAAATGCCTAAACTAGATAGAGGGCAATTTGGTAACCCCAGGGACACATATTTTCCTTAATAGACCTGAACTCAAGTCTGTGTTAACCTGCTTATTTAAATTTTCCATCATTTTTCAATCAACTTGCTGGTAGGTCTACAAGTTTATAAAGGGTTATTATGCAAAAGTGTGTAACCAGCTGTTCTCTACTCTCATTGAATACAAAACAAGAGGAAAGAGGCAGAAATAGCAGAAATGATTTAGATTAGATAGAAAGAGGACTTTCCTGATGGAAAGTGATAGTGAAATGAGTCATTTTAATGAGAATATGGAATCTCCTACCCTAAGTAAGCATTATCACTTAAAATTAAGGCATGCAGTAGAAAACCTTGATGGAAAATAATATAAAATAATTTATTAATGAAAGAATTATAAACAAATAGAAGTTAGACCATCTCTAACTTCAATGGTCTATGTAATGCAAGAAGGCTGTTGGAGGCACCAGAGTCTCAACCTGGTGAACCTGGGGCCAAATGTGGCCTCAGAAATGTTTTGCAGCTATTATTTTATGTTTTAAATTTACAATGTCTTCTATGTTTAAAAGTTGAAACTTTTTAACTGAAGTATAGTTGATTAACAATGTTATATTAGTTTCAGGTATAGCATGGTGATTCAGTATTTTTGCAGGTGATACTTCATTAAAAATTATTACAAGAAAAGGGCTACAATTCCCTATGCTATCCAGTATATCTTTGTTGCTTATCTACTTTAAACATAGTAGTTTTTATCGATTAATCCCATACCCCTACTTTGTCCCTCCCCCTCCCCTATTCCCTTTAGTAACTACAGGTTCGTTTTCTAGGTCTGTAAGTCTGTTTCAGTTTTGCATAAACATTCACTTGTATTATAAAACTTGAAATATTTTTACCAAAAAAAAGTAGAGCTTTCCACTTTTCTTGAAAAAGGAAAGCTACAGCGACACTGGGTACATCCATATTCTCACATGCAGCAGTCAGCTGGAGCTGAGTTACATCTGCTCCCTAAATTGCCAGCTCCTTCCTCACATCCCCCCAATCTCCCTCCAGATGGGTTTATTCATTTGCATCACCTGCCTGGTTTGCAACCTGATTTGCAGTGACTGATTCTCCTCTGAGGCAATGACCATACAAGGTAACCTGCAGGTTAAAGAGAAGTGGCTCTTTCAATGACTCTCTGATTACCAAAGAGTCTAGCAGCTCTGTTCTCTTCCCTCTCACCTCATAAAGTCTCCTCTCAGAATGGCTGCTGTTTGGAGGCTGATAGGCAATCTGCATATCTCTTAGATCCTTCCAGGTGAAAGAGGACACTGGTCTGGTGTGATCCCACAGGTGAGTCACATAGCCCTGGAGCGGGGCTTTAGTAATGTTGAACACCAGCAAGGGTTTGGGGGTCTCATCCTCTTCACAGTCCAGAACCAATGTAGTCAATGAAGTCAGGATGAACTGATCCACTTCCAGAATAAACATGGCCATGAATGCAGCTCTTGGAATCTGATTAGGAATTCCAGGTCTGATATAGACAGGCAGCCACGCGCGCTCTGACTTTGGAAGGAGAAAGAAAAGACAAAGGGGGAAACTATAAATGAAGCTATTGATATAATAGCAGGGTAAATCGCATGATATTTAACACAAAGCCACAGCCTAGTGGGTGCATCCAGCAGTGATCTGAATCATTTAGAGAGATTTTAATCACACACTGATGCCCAAATTCCATTTCCAGATGTTCTAATTTAACTTTCCTAAGGAGGAGATTAAAGAAAACAACTTGATATTCTTTAAGTTCTCTGGTGACTCCAATATTTAGCCAGGGTTGAGGTGGAGCACCAATTTTGTCATTAGATGGAACTGTTCTTTTGATTCCATGTCCAGCACATATGGTTTATATGACTTTGGACAAGTTCTTGATTCTAAATCTTCTAAATCTTGATTTCCCCCACCTATAACATGGACGTCCTAGAGGTCCTAAGTACTGAGTGAGGATGACAAGAGATAGCCAGAGCAAAGCACAAGAACTTGTCTAGCAGTTCAGTGGCTAAGACACTGCACTCTCAATGCAAAAGGCCAAGGTTCAATCCCTGGCTGAGGAACTAGATCCCACATGCCACAACTAAGAGCTTGCATGCCACAACTAAGATCTGGCAGAGCCAAATAAATAAATAATTTTTTTTTTTAAATCTTAAGAAAAAACAAAGCACTAGCAGTGTCTGGCACACACAACCAACCTCCCCTGCCCACCCCATCCACCTCTTGTAGGTTTCAAAGGTGACAACGGCAGGATGAAGGAACCTGTCCTTAAAATAGCTGCTCATGAAACTGAAGGACGTTTGCTCAGTCATGTATTAGTTAGGACCCTGGGTCTCTAAGTGAGGAGTAGGTCTTCAAAATTGCAAGTAACTCTTCAGGCTAGAAATATACCTTCCCCAAGTAAGAGAGCTATGAGGAAGAAGTTCTCATTGTGGGGATCTCCAGGGAAATCATGAACTTGCATCTTGGGATCTGAGGTCCCAACAAGAGCTATGGGTAGAAAGGATCCTCAGCAGAAGATAACTGGTCTGTGATGACAGAATTTGATGTCCCCCATTATTGGGAGACCAGGATTAATGATCAGAGCCACATGAGTGCAGTACTGCTGAACACTGGATACTTATATAATGGAATGTTTAAAAGGAAGTTCTTGACTTAGTCTCAACTGAAGGTCCAAGAGAGAGCATTTCAAAGACAATGTAAGACAGGTACTGTAGGCAGAATTTACAAAACAAATTGTCTGGAACCAGTTCCAGACTCTAGAACCTTCTCACCCACTCTAAGAATATAAAAGGGTTGAGAGAAGTAAGAGAAAGAGATTTCTTTACCGACAGAAGTTGATCTGTGTTGGGCTGAGTCACCGCCTTGACGCCTCACACTGTATGCCCTCTGTGAAGAGGGGAGGGGGGGAATGCTGCATCCCTTGTCCCAGGTGTCAGCTTCTAACACACCAGCCTTAAATGTGTCTTTTACCAGTGGAGCACACAGGGGATTGATGCTGGGCTTATCCCTGAGGAGGCTAAGTGGCCAGAGGCAGAAGAAACATGGTATCTGTGCTGGGATCAGTCCCTAGGCCTTGTTTGCAGCAGGAAGGAATATGTGAGTGCTCTCAGATATGGAGCAAGTGGGACAGAGGGCTGGTCTAGGGTCATCTGGGCCCCTGACCTTTAGGTGCATCTGTGAGAAGCCAAAAATCTCCGCAGAAAGAAGCTGGAGGTGGAGGTCATATCCTAGAAGCACTGGGAGGAACTGCAATTGACTAGAAAAGATGAGAGGCCTTTGCAGAGGGAAATCTCCAGAACAATGAAATTGCCCTGAGATTAAGAAGCAGCTTGAAACATCCACCCAACACAGAGAGCACAAAGCCATATTCCACCGATGCCTGGTCAAATAAGACCTCTCTCTCCAACATTCCTCCAAAATCACCCACTCCCCAGCCTGGAATTTCAGAAACTCGCTAGCAGGGCTCAGAGAAAGAGAGAAAAGCAAGAGAAACAGAAGGTGACAACTCCTCTCCCTCCCACACTGTGGTTTATAAAAACAAAAAAGTGATAACACTGACAGTTTAGACTATGTAGTCCTAATGTGCCATTGAAAAGCATTTGAAGATTTATAATTTAAACAAGGATGAGGAAATCATAGTATAAAAGGATTGGTGCTGAACAATAAGAAATATTAAACCTAGAGGTTAAGCCTGAACAAATATTACTTGAAACACTAACAAAATGGATACAAATGTCAAAAGAGTATACTTGAAATAAAAGATGAAATAAGTATCATAAGGTATAAAGATGATATGCTAGAATTAAAGTTGCAGATTATGTTAACCAAGACTGGTAGTGGGTAATTGCAGTGAGAAAGGATAAATAGGATCAGATCTCATAACATATATGAAGGAAGCAAAAGACTTCACTGTATTTTTTACTTAATATGTTAAAAATAAAGGTTAAAGAATTTTTTCAATTTAGAACTAAATTTTAAAATGGGATATTAAATAAGTAAAGACAAAGGCAAATAAAATATAACCTAGAGTGCAAGATGATTTTATTAATTAGCAAGAAAGCATAAAACAAGATGATAGAAAAAAATAGATATCCATTATTATAGAAATATTTTCCATATTCTCTTGTTTAAAACAAATATTCTGAAATTAAATATCCAATTATATCTGCTTTATAGGAGAGGCATTTAAAATTATATACAAAGGTTAAACGTAAAAGGATGACCCAAAAAAGTCTGCAGATGTGACTGTAAGAATTTCAAAGAGAGATGAATTCAAGGCAAGAAGAATGAAAAAGAACATCATGTGCAGTAAATAGTGATAAAATGTACAAGACAATGATTCTGATAAGCATCACTGCATTTAATATTATTCTGGCCAAACTAGTGGGGAATACAGCAGAAAAAAGAGGAATAATTACTGAAAAAGAAAGGAAAAAGTATTATCATCAATGGAAGATGCAATTAGTACAGTCTTTAAAAGCCTATAGAATTGAAAAATTTTAGAATAATTGAATTCAAGAAAGAAGCCAGACAAAAGAAAATTAGACCAAGAAATAGCTTTCCTGTTTATCATCACTAACCAACAAGAAGAAATAGTAGAGAAAAGAAGACTAGTCAGAATAATTTCATGAAAACAAACTGCCTAGGATTGGACTTAGTAAATGTATGCAAGTGACATGAAGAAAACTGCAAACTTAAGAGAAACATATCAAAGATCATTTGCCTCAATGAAGTGAGATAACCTTTGCCTGGAAAAGATGACTCAATATGGTAAATGCTCCAATATTCCAATTTTTCTCAAAATAATTTATAATTTTAATCCAATCCTGATAAAAAATAATTAGGGGCTTAAAAAAACTAACATAAATATTAATTATTTGTCTAGAATTAAGAATAGATAAGAAAATTTGAAGAGGACCATGAGGAGAAACTTGCCTATAAAATATTAAAGTCCATTTTAGACCTTTTATTTTGGAATAGTAAGGTACTGGCACAAGAATAAGTGGGCAAATCTAAAGAATAAGAGAACTAGCCTTGAAACAGACATATAATGTCTTTCTATACAACAGAACAATCAAAAAATCAATGGCAAACAGGTTTATTATTCACCAAATAGTGTTGAAAAGTTTGACTACTTGGAAAAAACTGTTCTGCTATTTTACAATAAGATAAAATTTATTTCAGGCAGATTAAAAAGGTAAACATAAACAAGAAAATATTTTTAAATCTATAAGAAGTTATGGGTGAATAATCAGTTAGTCTCTTGATGAGGATGGATTATACTAGCATAAAAATAATAAAATAACAAAATTCAAAACTTCAAATATAATATAAATTCAATTCCATAAACTGACTCTGGCATGCGTGTCTCCACCTCTGTGTGTCTGTGTGCAATTATGTGTATATATACACATACATTTATATACATATAAATATTAGAAATACCCTAGTTCCATTTTCTTATTTTTTCTTTCTGTGCTTTTTTTTTTTAAAAAATAACCTCTGCCATTGAGCATATTACTATAATCATAAAAGAATCTGTTTATGACATGCCAAACTGACTATGGTATAAGTTAATTCTAAATAATACAGGAAGGTCATTTGAGAGAGGAAACTTCTAATAAAACTAATCTGAAAATATCAACAAAGAAAACCCTATATCAATATACAAGGAAAAAGAGGAAAAATCAATTAGGAAGAAAAATGGCTCTAAATTTTGTTTTTTATGGAGATAAGAAAGCATTAAAAGTCAAAGATGTTTCATGTCAAAACAAACAGAAAACATGTACTAATTGTTAGGAGACTGAGAATTTAGTCTTGATTCAGCCATGCATGTACGGTCAAGATATGCAGTTTTTGTGGCCCCAGTATAAAATAAGGGGCTTGGGCTAAACCAATTGTTTCCAAAAACATCAGTTTTTTCACTGCAAAAAATATGTGTAGAGCTTACTATGTGTTCAGCTTTGTGCCAAGTTTTGTAAGCATCACCTCATTAAATCCTCTCAATAAGAAGTACTACTATGTCCACTGTGAGATCTTAGAAATGAGGCATAAAGTACAAAATCACACAGCTAGTTAAGTAAACATTTGAACCCAGGCAACCCAGGCCCAAGGGCAGGCTAACTATTAATGTCAGACTTAAATCTCTTCTTTCAAAGTTCCCCAAGTGATTTACCTGATCAATTTGACCAGACTACCTCACAACTTTTCCAGTTCTCAATTATAAAATACTACAACCCTGTTTAATCATTTCTTTATCATTCTTTGTTTTATTAACTCCTGTTCAACATTCAACTGGGTCTCTTAGGAGAAATCGTACCAAGAAGTGAGACTGAAAGATGGAGGTCTTTCACAAATGTCATCTCAGATCATCTTAAATCAGCATAAAATCTGAACTGTTTCAGCAGGCTCATAGTCACTCCAGCTTACCAAATAAACACATTACAGAGTACATGAGTTAGTAGAGAAGCATACCAATCTTTCATTTAGATTGACTTCACTTTCTGTCATATTTCAATAAGAAGAAATCAAGAGGAAGAAAGGGAAGGAGAATTTAAAAGAGACTGGCAGATGGAGATGGCCCTGCTATAGCCCTAACAGTGAGATGAGGACCCCCTCTCTCCCAGTTTCCTATGGCCTTGCTGAATTGGTGTGTGGACCCTTTGATTTTCTCCAACAGAGGGTCTAATAAAGGGGTAAATGAAGCATCAAAGAGTAGGAGTTACAAAAGCAAAAATGAGAAGTTGAAGAATATTGAAGGGCAAGGGAGAGAAAGGTTAGCATGTAACCTGATTCTGGTCCTTTCTAAGTTTCAATGGTAGAGCTACAAGGTTGCCAGAAAAGGGAAATTACACATGGATATTATGTGCAAAATCAATCCTGTTTTAAGCACTTACTGGCAGAACAAGCCTGCAGTTACAGTGAGTCATTAGGCTGGTCCACCCACAACCATACTGGAACCCTCACTGACACGGGAGCCAGCACAAGTGCCCCCAGGGAACCAGCTCTTAGCTGGGGACCCAGACACACAAGCCCATAGACTGTACCTTGTATATGATTTTACTCCTGCTATCTGTGAGGTCCAGTTGGATGGAGATGTAATCAATATTGGGAGAAGGGGAAGTCAGGTGCTGGTATCGAAGCCCCATCAGCAGGAACTCCTCACAGCTCACTTTGAGACTTCCGACTTTCTTCAGTCCCAGGGTACACCTGCCCCCTGGACACTTCAGCTCTGTTCCCAATTCTAGAATGTATAGCAGGGAATTAAGAGAGGCACTTGTACCTTAGTGATTAACTTTAAATACCCACCCTCCCTCCCACAGACACTTATTCCCTCTCACTGACCAAAGAACACTCATGTGTACCCGCCAATCGTTCACCGAGTGGGTGGTCATTATTCTGAAAACCTGCCACTTCCTTACTGTAAAAACAATCGACCGATTCTCTAACAAGGTCCTTACCCACCAAAAGTGCTTGAGAGAAAAAACATAAAATGCATTTTCTGGTGGTGGACCATCTCTGACAAATGGGCTCACTGGAGGCCTTCCACAATCCTGCTCTTGTCTGTATTTACAGCATCCACTTCTATAACAGCACCATGCAATCTCTGCTAGAATATTCTATTCAATGAAATTCACTCCCCACTTAAACACATCTGAATTCTGCATATTTTCCAGGTCCACTTAGTCTTTTTACTAAAGCTTTCTTCAAATATTCATTGACCACCTGAACCAACCTAATCTCCTCCACTAAAAACTGCAGTCATCTCTCCAGTACATAGCCTTTTTGTCTCTGCCAACTGTATTTTTCACTCTTGCACAGTCTATGATACACACAGGCCACTTATGTTAGTGGCCTTTTGCACACTTCCCTGATGTAAAAACTGGGTATCTATTCTTACCCAGAAGGCTCCGAAGACTAAATGAGATGACAAATGTGCAAACATGTCTTTAGCTATAACTTACTGTCCAAATTCCAGGTATGACTACGACCATGATTTTCCCTTATATTTCTTGGTCTTTCCACAGTGCCTAGAACACTATTATGCATCTATGAGGTGCCCAAAATGTGGTAACTAAATGAATAACAAGAGGAACATTATCCATCAACTCTTCCTGATTTAAACCATATCTCCTGCCTACCAGCTTTACCCCAAACCTGCTTCAAGTCTAATAACACCTAATAAATTCCCCAGCTACTCTGGCTATCACTGTTATTGCTACTTACTATTAATAATAACAGCTGACAGTTACTGAGCACTTGGTAGGAGCCAGACACTGTGTTAATTGCTTTGTGTGTGTGTGATCTCATTCACTGTCACCTTTATACAACCCTATGGAACAGCCACTATCCTTGCCCTTTTTTCAGAGACTTAGATTAAGAAACTGACCCAACATCACACAGGAAATAAATAGCAGAGACAGTTTTCAAGCCCAAGTTTTTCTGTTACCAAAGTCTGCACTCTTAGCCACTAACCTACATTTTCAACCAGCTACAAATTCTATTAAGTAAAACTCTTTGTCATGGTGGAAGATGACCTTTTAAGATCTGGCAGATTTAGTAACATCCAAATAAGTATTAAAACATATCATACGAGACTCAGGAAAGAAATTATGTGGCTGATCTCCACGAGGTTCTTCCAGCTGGGGCTCCACCAGAACCAGCTGGCCGTGGGCTGGTAGCTGAGTTCCCACAGGGTCCAGTCTGACTGTGCATTCCAGGCTGGCCATCCTCTCGTAATCAAATCTGAGCAGGTTCTTATCAATGACTCGGGACAGGCCATAGAACTCAGACACCTCCAGTGCATTATCACTCATGCGGATGATGTTACAGTCTGGTTCCAGGAGGTAGACCCGCAGGATAAAGGTTTCCGTGAAGGTGTCTGTCTCAGTAAACCTGAGGGCAGAACAGAGCAAAGGCAACATTATTGGTGCGCAGGTTCTTCTGATACTTGTGCACTAAGTTGACTTGAAGCTTAAAGATTATCTTTCACACAATCTGTGTATCAGGTAGAGCTTGGATTTTACTTTATACTCTACACCCCACCTCCCTGTCCTTTTCCCTTCTCCTTAAATTGGTGTCAACTCCTTTTCATGATACTTCCCGTTCCAATGACCCTCCTTTTAACACCTTCTCTCAAATCTATCATCAATATGGGTATTTAATGACTGCTCTGAGCTCAGAGTCTCATCTCGAGCATGTGTGCAATTTAGGAGTATCCTGCATATCTAGTATATGCACTGACTTTTAATTCAGGAGTGAAGGGGTGAGGGGTTTCTGAAGCATCATGCCCTTTTCGCTTTTCACAAATGCCACTACAAGAGTAGTTATTTGCTGTCTAGCTGGGGAAGCTCAGCTCAGTGGGTGGCATGTAAAGGGTGATCAGTGACTGTAACCTCCAATCCCTTCATTCGCTTAGGAACTACATTCTCTGGATATTTGCAGAACCTGATAGGGATGGATTGCCATTCTTTTTTTAATTAAATGTATTTATTTTTAATTGAAGGATAATTGCTTTACAGTACTGTGTTAGTTTCTGCCAAACATCAACACGAATCAGCCATAGGCATACCTAGGTCCCTTCCCTCTGGAACATCCCTCCCACCTCCATCCCCGTCTTACCCCTCTAGGTTGTTACAGAGTCCTGCTTGGAGTTCCCTGAGTCATACAGCAAACTGATGGGCTGTCATTCTTTATTGAAGGGAGAAAATTAAAGTGATGGTCGTGTATCAATAATAGATTCTCCATTGGTGTGCTTTCATAATGGCCCAGGCACATGCTAGACTCCTTACAAAGAGTTTATCTTTCAGTCTTCACAGGAATCTATGGCAGTGCTGTTGACTCCATTTTACAGATGAGGAAACTAAGACTTAGAAAGATCAAGTAGCTTACCAAAAGGGCTAGAGATGAGGTAAGAGTGTAAAAAACATGCTGTCTGCTTTTCTGCCTCCACCTCCTCTGAATGTTCGACTTTAAATCCTCAAGACCAAGAAGATTGACAGATCCTCTAACTCTGCACTTCAAGTGTGTTGCTCCACCCGCCTCATCCTTTAGAAACTCAAAGAAATGGGAACAGCCAGAATTCATCAGCAAGCTCTCTGAAGCCAATTAGTTTGTTACCTTTAAAGTCTTAGGAAGATCAAACAGCCCTGTATGCTGATTGCCTAGTTCCCAAGGAATCCTTGGGTGCCATCTCATTTTCTGAGCACGGCATTTGCTTCATGCCTCTCTTCTGGCTTGTCATTCTGCATCACAATTGTCTAGCCATCTTTTGCATCAGGCCATGAAAACCAGTCCATTTATCCTCTTGCTTTTGTTTCCTAAGCCTACCTAGCACAAGCCTGACCTATAATAGGTGATCAGGATCATTCACTGTCTGCTACAAAACTCTAGACTAGTATTCCTCTGGTACTTACGGGAAACTCATGCTGCTGTATTTTAGTCAAATACTCTTAAAAGTGACAAAAACCAAGTAAAAACTATATAAGGCCTACTCCACCTACACTGAATTTTCAGTTGCTTCTATAAAGTGAGCAATAACATAACCATGAGCTTAATTTTTAAATTAACTTTTTATTTAGATATAATTCACATAATCCTAAAATATACCTTTTTAAAGTTTACAACTCAGTGTTTCTAGTATTTTCAGAAGGCTGTGCAAACATCCTGCTCTCTAATTCCAGAACACTTTTATCACCTCCCCCCATAAAAATCTACACCCATGAGCAGTCACTCCCCCTTCACCCCACCCCCAAAAGCTGGCAATTGCAATCTACTTTCTGCCTTTCTGAATTTGCCTTTTCTGGACATATCATATAAACAAAATTAAACAATGTGTAACCTTTTATGTCTGACTTCTTTCATTTAGCATAATATTTTCAAGGCTCAGCTGTGTTACAGCATGTAACAGTACTTCATCCCTTTTGTGGCTGAATAATATTCCATTGTATAAATATACCACATCTTGTTTATTCATTCATCAGACTGATTATTTCAACTTTTTGACATGTACAAAAAATGCTGCAGTGAACATTTGTGTAAATTTTTGTGTGAACATACGTTTTAATTTCTCTTGTACATATGTGTATCTAGGAGTAGAACTGCTGGGTCATAATGTCACTTTGTCCAACTGCATAATTGATCATTTTAAACCTTTTTAAAATATAATATGTTTAAAAATAGAAGATATTTCCCTTCTTAAAACTAAGCAGTTGATAATCAAAATGAAGAATTTCATTCACTTTTAGAATATATTTTCTTCCTAATTCTCATTAAAAATTTGTAGTTTGTAACCTCCATTTTTAATCATAAATGGAGAATTGAATGACCAGAGATACCTGTACAAGAACTATAAACGGAAACATAGAAAAAGCCCCAAGCCATAGAAAAGCCCCAAGGAAGAGGATATAAATAAAAGTAACTGAAAGGTTGCTACAATTCTTGCTTCATCCATCCGGGTCTCCAGTTCCTACTACTACTTACTTACTTGTTTGAAATCTAGTAACTCCCACCATAGCAATACTTAACCAAAGAAACAGAATCACACAGAATGGTTATCTGACAAAGAACGAAGAACGCTCCTGTGTCACTTACCTGTAAAGTCTAAGCTTCACTGTGTCTTCATCGAGAATTGGGCAACCGTTATGAGTATATTTTACTTCATTGGGAAGGAAATGGCAGTCAAAGACCTAGTTCATGAGAAGAAAGGGATACATATGTGAAAATCATTGGTACACTTTTTAGTTTTTCCAGCAGTAAAGTATGGCCTAGAGAAATTATGTTCTCTTAGCATTATGTATGTGTATGTATGTTTAGTTGTATAGGATCTTAATTCCCTGAACAGGGATAGAACCTCTACCCCTAGCAGTGGAAGTGGCGTCCTAACCACTAGACCACCCGAGAATTCCCTGTATGTGTGCGTTTTAAGCACCAACACCTCTACCCAGCCCATGTCCATGCTGCTGCTGCTAAGTCACTTCAGTCGTGTCCGACTCTGTGCGGCCCCATAGACGGCAGCCCACCAGGCTCCCCCGTCCCTGGGGTTCTCCAGGCAAGAACACTGGAGTGGGTTGCCATTGCCTTCTCCGCCATATCCATGACCATCCTGCTTATATAGCTGTTGCCTGTTTTGAGAATATCTAAATTATGAAAGTCCAAGCCGATGAAGCAGATAAATTAAGCAGTGATAATCTCTAAATAATTATCTTTTTATAGTATATTTAAAATATGGTCCCATTTTTCAAAACATTATTTGCCAACACCTTTCAGGGGTTTACAGCAATTAAGAAGGCATACCTGTGTGTACACAGGAAAAGACATGTCTTACCCCACATACCAACATGCTATATTAGCTCTGTGTGTATTTTTTCTTCTCCTTTTATTGCTTTCCTTTCCAAATAGTGTTTTTATATTTAAAGATGAAGCTGCTTACTATGGACACTATTGTGTTTGATCAAAAGCAAACAAGACCCACAGTAGTTTCTCATTTATTTGCAAAAGACTGTGTTTAATAGTTATGTAATAACAGAAATGACATGAGACAAACAGCAACATCAAGGCAATTTTCTCTCTTCAAGCAGAATTATAATTAACTGTACCACCTAACTCAGAACTATTAAGGAAATTTCTAATTGTTATATTCTGGGGTCATATTTTTTAAAAGAATTTTCTCTTCCAGTCACACCATTCTGTACAATCTGACCTGGTAGAATACTAAGAAATACTCTCGAGGTATTTACATGTCATCACTGCTGAATTCATGCTTCTTAGCCTGTACCTAAGTACAGCCTCACACATTCACAGAAAACATAATCCTTTCTGACTCTACTCTAGTCAGAAGGTCTCTTCTTTATCTCCTTCCTTACTGTCAGAAAGAGGGAGCAAAAACGTCTGTAGAAGAAGAGATCATTTATTCGTATTCCTGTTCTACACACATCTTCGCTTCCTCTTTTTAATTGACAACAAGGAAGGAGATAAAGGAAAGACCTTCCCCATATCATTGACAAATAGTCATGGTAATAAAGAGACAATCTGCTTTGTTAAAAGAAACATCTGTTTTATGTTTCATAATATGTTTTCCTTTTATAAAAGGCGACAACCATAATTGTCCATAAATTTACTAAGCAAAACAAAGGAGAGCTAAATCCTTTTCTAATTACTGTCTAGCTTTGTTTTTTTCCACTCCAACTGCTTTTCAATTACAATTTATAATTAAATTGTCACACATTCCTAACTCATTACTCACTTTAATGACAGTAAACTGGTTCAAACGAGAGATATTTTCTTACCGCTATATTTCCTATTCAAAAGAGCAAACTCAGCTCTAAACCGTGATGCTTTTCCACCCAGGAAATTTCTTGCTTTGGGACAGGTGTGAGCAATGCTGTGTGGGGGTAAGTCTTGTCCTAAAACATGAGGAAAACATATCGCCATCGACCTTCTCTAATTGACTATGTCAAGAGGGTTCTCTAGACAGAAGGTACTGGTGTGCGCCAAGCGCATCCGTTTCCAAATATCCAATAGGAAAATGAACCTGTTGGTCCTAAGACAAACTTCAGTAATGAAATGAAAACACTAATTGAACAGATGTTAAACAAAACATTTTCTGTGCAAATCACATGAAACTGTTCATTACACAGCAGGGTGTTGTTAATACAGTCATCTCACTAGGAATGGGCTCACATAGGCTTGCTTTCACCTTCCTAGTAAGCTCTATTGAAGAGTAATGCTTACACTGTGTGTTTGTGTGTGCATGCACTTGCATGCATGCATGCACATGGTTATGCTTAATTTCAAAAACTCCATAAGACACAAATCCCTAGGGAGAACTGCATCTGCCTGTATTAAAAACAGGCACATATTCCTCAAAAAAGCACTTTTCACATAGGAATCTTGGTTTTGTTGAAATTATCACAATAAGAAAATAGGAAGATCACCTGGTGATCTGAAAAACAAAGTTTTTCCGGATATACAGTTTTCTTGGTAGTACAAAGCTCTAATATTTTTCCAGAAGGTAATGAAATTCCACATTTTAAGAAGATAAATATATTTACTTCATGTGTGCATGTTCAATCGTGTCTGAGTGTTTGTGACCCCATGGACTGTAGCCCACTAGGCTCCTCTGACCACGGAATTTTCCAAGTTAAGAATACTGGAGTGGGTTGCCATTTCCTACTCCAGGGAATCTTCCTGATCCAAGGATCAAACATACATCTCTTGAGTCTTGAATCCTACATTGGCAGGTGGATTCTTAGATGAGAAAAATTCATTTGAGATGTCAGAGGTACCTCTGGGTATGCATACACTGAAGCATGATCCTTTAATGAGCCACAGAACACTAGGGGATCCTCTGTGGATGTTTGGAGACATGTTCCTTTGCCTTGCAATGCTGACTTTCCTAAACCAGACAGGTACATTGTTTTTGTTCCACATCGTCTTTCTAATAATGGATTTTTGCCCTAAGATCAGAGAAAGTTTGAAAAGGAAGTGACTTAGAGATCTCCTACAATCCTTGATTCTTGTGACCAAATAAGTGTTCTGCTTACATCTGGTCACAGGGATCCCTTTTTGCTCTCCTGGGCCTCAGAACTGGCCAAGTGATGAGGACCATTAAAGTATCACTAAAAATGATGACATTTTCATTATTCTCATAGAAAGTGCTATATGTGTTTAGAAGTCATAGGCTATTTGTAATGGAGAGAGGGACAGGATATCCCCAGAGTTTTAAGTCACAGTAGATTCTCCCCAAAATGCTTTCCAAGGAGGGAGAATCTGGGGAATAATAGGGTGTTGTTTTTGCATGCTTGAGGCCAGAGTTTAATATCTCTGCACTACAGGGGGAATTTTCCCTCTCTTCTTCCCTCACAAAATAGTCAACTTCACTTCTAAATAAATGTTGAACAATTTTTTTTTATATATTGATTGGAAGCATTATCAAATTCAGTCTTTATAAGGCATCCACTTTTTTCCATACAGCCCTGAGTCCCTGCTCTATCAGGGACCCCAGTCATGTAGGATTAGGGTTCTATTTTGCTGCTCCCCAAAACCCCAAGGTTTTACTTTTGACCACAGTGCCTGTAGTGAGGGCCCCACTGATGCTACTATCACATTTAGTGCATCAGGGCTTGAGGCGTGAGCCATCCCAGGCCTCTACCTTTCCCCTAACTTACAGACATCAATCAAACACACCTTCCAGCAGAAGTTACATGTTGGAAGAAAGTGGGGAGATATTGCAATTACTACACACTTGGGAATACAAGTGTGACCTGGGGCCATTAGCACAAACTAACACTGTTTAGATGCCCATCTGAAGATCACTGACTGATAAAAAAAAAAGCTCATGGGAAACTGGAAGGAGACATTTAGTGACAATATCATAAGCCATACTCCCAACACGAGAGCCCTCCACAGAATTCTGATGTGTTTCATAATCAGATATAACCACAGGGAGGTGAGAGGAACACCTAGAGATGTCAATTTGAGCTCAGTCTCTTTTTTCAAGGTTTTTTGGGGGGAATGTGGACCATTTTTAAAGTCTTTATTGAATTTGTTGCAATATTGCTTCTGCTTTTTATGTTTTCGTTTTTTGGGCATGAGGCATGGGGGATGTGGGATCTTAGCTCACTGACTGGAAATCAAACTCATATTTCTTTTTTTATTTATTTATTTTAATTGGGGGCTAATTACTTTACAATATTGTAGTGGTTTTTGCCATACATTGACATGAATCAGCCATGGGTGTACATGTGTTCCCCATCCTGAACCCCTCCTTCCACTTCCCTCCCCATCCCATCCCTCAGGGTCANCATATATTTGAGATTAATTCTTTGTTGCTTTGTTTGTCATTATTTTCCCCCACTCTGAAGGCTGTCTTTTCACCTTGCTTATAGTTTCCTTCATTGTGCAAAAGCTTTTAAATTTAGTTAGGTTCTATTTGTTTATTTTTGCTTTTATTTCCATTACTCTGGGAGGTGAGTCAAAGAGAATCCTACTGTTATTTATGTCAGAGAGTGTTTTGCCTATGTTTTCCTCCAGGAGTTTTATAGTTTCTGGTCTTACATTTAGATCTTTAATCCATTTTGAGTTTATTTTTGTGTATGGTGTTAGAAAGTGTTCTAGTTTTAGAAAGTGGTTGACCAGTTTTCCCAGCACCACTTGTTAAAGAGGTTGTCTTTTTTCTATTGTATATTCTTGCCTCCTTTGTCAAAGATAAGGTGTCCATAGGTAAGTGGATTTATCTCTGAGCTTTCTATTCTGTTCCATTGATCTATATTTCTGTCTTTGTGCCAGTACCATACTGTCTTGATGAATGTAGCTTTGTAGTATACTTTGAAGTCAGGCAGGTTGATTCTTCCAGTTCCATTCTCCTTTCTCAAGATTTCTTTGGCTATTGGAGGTTTTTTGTATTTCCATACAAATTATGAAATTATTTGTCTGGTTCTCTGAAAAATACTGTTGGTAGCTTGATAGGGATTGCATTGAATCTACGGATTGCATTGAATCTTTAGATTGCTTTGGGTAGTATACTCATTCTCACTATATTGATTCTTCTGACCACAAACATGGTATATTTCTCCATCTATTTGTGTTATCTTTGATTTCTTTCATCAGTCAAACCCACACTCTTTACACTGGAAGTACAGTCTTAACCACTGGGCTGCCAAGGAAGTCCCCTATCTCTGTCTAGTTCTTCTTTACAACATCTATTATCACTTTTGAATAAACTGATGGATTTTTTATTTTTAGCTAAATAGACAGAAAGAACATTGATGCCCACAGTTCAGCAAATAGAAATGATGCATTTTTCCAGAAGAAGTAGTCACATCCAGTGTTGAATATTATCAAAACTGTTTGCATTGAGAGGAAAGTTAAACCAGAGTAAGAAGTAATAATACCAGAAGTAATATTCTACTGTGTATAGAGAAAAACTTTTACTTTAAACAAATATTTGATAATTCAGTCTTTCCTAAACCCGGTGAATTAGAGGATAACTCTTTACCCTACAAAAGGACTGAGCACAGAATACCTTAAATGACAAGGTCTCCAAGGCCATGATTAAAAGGAAAAAAAATGTATGTGGACATTTTTGAAGAACAGTGACTATTTAAAGTATCTTCATATCTCTTTTCCAGATCTCTTCCATTACTCAAGGGACTGTTTGAGTGGTGGTAATAGATGAAAATGTCTTCACATTTTATTTTTGCTATTCTGTGGTACAAGTGTGTCCTAAAATTGTCCTGGAACCCTGACATCTTATCCAAAGTCACCTTGACTGGCCAGGGTGAGATAATCTTGGTAATAGTTCCATAAAGACTGACCATATCACACTACACAGGAGACTGCCCACTCCAACCCTTGGAAGGCTGGCCCTGTTTTCATTTTGTCTCTCTCTGTCCCCATTCCCCTCTCTCTGTTTCCCCACTAAGTTTCTCAGAGAGCGCTGATGTACCTAAAATGAGTGGTATTTGATTCCCTGATCTTAGTGAGCTTTACATGCATTCTCTTCAATAAAGAGGATAAATTGGAAAGACTTGTCAATTTATGTATTTTTCATTTAAAAATCCATCCAACCATTAGTTTGAACCAGCCTTCCACCACAGGTATTAACATAAACAGGAGCAACTCCTGTTGGTTTTGTAATTCACAGTCAGCCAAGAACATTCAAAAATAGTTTTGACCAATATCAAATCATTACCTGGAACACCTGAAACTAATGTTGTATGTCAATTATACCTCAAAAAATTTTTTAACAGGTTTCACCTTGTATAGAAAAAACAACACATTATTATGCCCACCAGTTGCAGCTTCACCATTTCAAATCTGAACTTCTTAACATCATTCACCTCTGGTAGCTTGAAGGAAGACCTTTTATCTTTCTCTCTCTCTCCTCTCCCCACTGCCTCCCTAACATTCTCACACACTCAGATTCATACACACTACTAAATAGCAAATCTCAGATATGACCTACCTGTGGAGTGAGTTTCCCAACCCTCTGGGTTATTGGCTCATTCATCACAACTTCCACTTTGCAGGCATCTTTCTCTTTGGGGATGGTGAACTTCAGGTCATCTTGAGACAGGAAGGCAGAACTGCCCTTCATCACCCTGACCCCTTGGTTAACACGGATAAAGGTGGGGCTGGCCCAGCCCGGGAGCAGCAGCAGCAGGAGCAGGGCACCTAGCCCAGCCCAGCTCAGAGAGCTCATGCCGACAGGGGCCAAGTCTTTTCCGTTCATCAGGGAAATCCCTTCAACAAAGGAGGGCTTCTTGGCTTCCTCCAGGGGTGTCAGCTCATAGTCCAAGGGGCAGGGAGAAGGGTCCTGACAACGTGCCCCAAGATCTTAACATGTCCCTTTCATTTCAAACTCAGACAAGGAGGTCTTTCAGGCAGACCCAGAGCTTTTAATAAAAGTCGCTGATCACTCCTGACAACGCCAGCAAGATTAATGTACACCTCCCAAGTGCTTTTTTAATCCTGCAAATGGGACAAGGGGTTGGAGGAAAGTGAGAGAGAAACCAAAAGTTTATGTGACTCATTCAAAAGACCCCCACCGTCAAAGGAATCTTTCAACCAGCCTATAATTTCAGCTAAATTAAAAACAAATAAACTAACTTGACCTCCAGGCCCATGCGAAAAGCAAGGCAGTCGTTTCATTCCCCTGCGGTAACTCCTGCTTCCGGACTCCACGGGTCCCCACCAGGATGTTAGCTGTGTGGTCTTACAGAGCCAGCCCGCCTCACTGCCAAAGGCAGCGTTTGCTCCCCCTGCCTTCAAAGAAAGTTGTCGAACTCTGCTTCTGTTTCCTCACTTGATAAATGAGGACTGTAACCAAATTTGTGCAAGAGAGCTGATACAATTATTTGCCCACTGTTTGAAAACATGATTAATTCTGAATCAGTGCTACCAACATTTTCTAAAAAGCCTTAATAATTTGTCACCTGTGCACACTTTGCCAGGCAATGAAGACACCTATGAAATGCTTGAGTGGGGCGAAAAGATATTTTTTCCTAAGTGAACATTTGGGGTTTTGTTTTAGGTGTAACAAGCACTAGGAATTGAGTAACATAGCTTCAACATACACAGCTAATGACATGGCAGATGTACATGCATTTATACATCATCTACAATGCTAATTACATAGAAAGTACTGAATTTGCCCAAGTGGAGTCCTTTTTTCTATTTTAACCACTTAGAATTTCATGATTTTTTTTCTGTGTCCTGTGAGAACAGAAATGATTTTAACCCAAAGTAAATGGTATTGAAACATATCTTTAACTCCAATATATGATTAGGTGAACAAAGCATAGTTCATTATGCCCATGGAAAGGTCTTACACTTTAATACATTTAACGATTTCAGTACACGAAAATAAATGCCAGAAGGTGTAGACAGAAAGGCCTGTCTCATCCACTTCTAGGACGTTAACGGAAGGCTCATTCTCTTGTCACTGTTTGAAGCCTTTGCTTTTGAGGTAGTGCCTGATCTGTGTCACCTGACACTGGGGGTTACATGCTTCACAAAGCAGCCTGTTTTTCATTCGGTCGGTCCCAAAATAAAACAGTACCACCCTCCCACTGACCATGTTGCACACTCTCAGGTTGAATTAGGTTGGCTTGTTTGGGCAAGAATGCAAACTGTTTGTTGAACTTTCACAACTTGTTTCCATTAACCTCTGACATCTAAGGGCATTCAGAGGCAAAGAGCCAGCAGGGTGGAAAGGTGTCTCCCCAAACTGAGAGATCAAAGAAAAAAGCTTGGCTTTCTGAGATTGAAATGAATTAAATCAACCTATAAAGGATACTACAAGGACTCTACACTCTCAGACACTCATCTCCCTTCTTTCCTGCTTCTCCACAGACTCTGGCTTTTTCATGTCGGGGACCTCCAGGTCTAGAACTGTTTTCTGTCTACTCTCAACTCCCTAGCAACCTCATTCCTTGGCTTTAAATACCACTTATTTTAAATGTGGCTAATGAGTCCTACATTTATATCTCTCACCTTCTCCCTTAATTCTAAATCATACATGCCACTATTTGATATCTCCCTGTGGGAGCATGTGAACACACCCCAGGGGACACTAGTGGTGAAGAATCTGCCTGCCAATGCAGGAGACCTAAGAGAAACAGGTTTGATCTCTGGGTCAAGAAGATCCCCCGGAGAAGGACACAGCAACCTGTGGGTGTGTAACAGGCAGCTCAGTTTTTTGTTTTTGTTGCTGTAGCCAAAATTCAGCTCTTGATCTCCCCTCCCTAGGTCTTCTTTATCTCAGTAAATGCAACCCCAGGTTTTCATTTGTTCTCTTCTTTGCTTCACACATCGAAGTAAACAAACAAACAAAACTATTTGTTCATTGTGGTGGACAGAACCTTAGGGTGACCTCCAATAAATTCCAGTCTCCTAGTACACAGAAGTTCCCTCCCTTTAAGTGACAACAGAACTAATGATATGTCCAACCAACCGAATAAAACAAACGTGATGGGATGTCACTCTCATGACTAAGACTCTCTTAGCCAGTGGGCTAGAGGCTCTCCTGATGAACTTAAAGAAGCTTGCCCCTAGGAGTTCTGCTGTCACAAGGCAATGACCTCTGCCAACAACCTAAATGAGCTTGGGAGAAGGTTCTTCCTGACTCAAGCCTCCGAATAAGAAGGGACACCCATGGACACCTTGATTTCAGGGTGATGACAACCTGAAGCAGAGAACCAGGATAAGCCATGCCTGGACTCTGACCAGTGAAAACTGTGAGATAATCAATTGTGTTGTTTTCAACCACTGTTTGTAGTAATGCATTAGTACAAACAATGTTAAACACCACTTTTTTTCAAAACATATCAAGAATCTAAATACTTCTCAGTGTTTCCATTGGTACCACACTGGTCCAAGCCACCACCAATTCCACTGGACTATAGGAGCATCCTACTGGACCTCCCTGCTTCTCCTCTTGCCTCCCCTTTAGGCATTTCTCAGCATGGCAGCCAAGGTTCCTATTGGATTTTACTTATATCACATCCTTTCTCTGCCCTAGACCTCCAACAGCTTCTCATCTTAGTGTGAAAGCTGAAGGCCTTGTGATGGCCTGTAAGGTATTTTACCATGTAATCCGTTTTCCCCCTTACCTCTCTCATCTCCTGTTTGTCTTCCCTTTGCTCACCCTTCTCCTGCCACACTAGCATCTTTGCTATTTTTTTCAAACAAACCAAAATCAACCTTCCCATTTGTGGTTCCCTCTGGCATAAACATTCTCCCCCTAGACATCCCTCTTTCCACCTCACCCCTTTCAAATTTTCCGTCAAATGTGACCCTGATGCTGTGGCCACACCCAACTATCTCATTAAAATTATGATGCTCTCATCCCCAGGTCCTTTTCCTGAGCAGTGATAACCACCTAACATAATACATTTGCTTATTTATATTGTTCATGTCTACTTCCCTCATGAAAGTAAGAACTTCCTTTTTATTCATGGGTTTATCTTTATGCTTCTTTCCCTTTTGTTGCCCAGATTGAGAAGGCTGCCTTGCACTAAGAAACAGAACCACACTTCAGGCTACCAGAGCAGTGAGCCCAAAGGAGTGTGGGTGTTCGGGGCATTTGCAAGGCAAAGTCACCATACCAGCCTATTCTTCCAGAATTTTACTTGGCAGGGAATGTAAACTGCTTTCCGGTTTAAGCCACTGTTGAGTGAGTGACTGAAAGTCGCTCAGTCATGTCCAACTCTTTGCGAACCCATGGATAGTCCATGGAATTCTCCAGCCCAGAATACTGGAATAGGAAGCTGTTCCCTTCTCGGGGGATCTCCCCAATCCAGGGATCGAACCCAGGTCTCCTGCACTGCAGGCAGATTTTCTACCAGCTAAGCCACCAGGGAAGCCCAAGAATACTGGAGTGGGTAGCCTATCCCTTCTCTAATAGATCTTCCTGACCCAGGAATTGAACCAGGGTCTCCTGCATTGCTTGTGGATTCTTTACCAGCTGAGCTACCCACTTTTATTTGGGGTTTATTTCATTATTTGTGACTGAACTTTTACACTATTAATAACCACCTTATTCTTCAAGTTTTTCTATTATAATAATTTCATTTAGTCACTAATCAGCTAAATATTGTAACTTTTTACCTAACAGCATATGGGGCAATAGCTCTTTCTCTAACTATATCATAGTAAGTCCTTAATCAGAAAATAAGGTCAAAAATCAAGATTCTAATGTTCATCTACCAGGAAGAGAAAGGGGAGAAAGAAAAGTAAATCTATTTCTGGGGCTCCTTGTGCCACAGTGATGTCGGAAGGGTAGATATGAATCCGAAGATCTGGATTCTGACCTTGGTTTTTGTGAACATCTGTTTCCTTTTTCAAAAATGGGGCCATCCATCTTGCCTCTTCCAGTGTCCCAGAGAGGCCAAATGAAATAGTCCCCGTGGAAATATTTTCTTAATTACAAAGCTCCATGTAAATGTAACACTACTATTACAAAATATGTCAAAGGAATAAGAGAGCAAAGCTTGTCTCAAGAAAAACAGAATGGTAGAACTTGGTCCTAGATGAAGGCAGCAGAAGTATAAGTTCAGTATAAGTCAAATAAAATATATTCTATTGACATTCACATTTTCTCTTTTTCTTCCTCAGTGTCCTAAGACAGAGATAGTAGTAAAACACTGAATCCTAATATTTCAGAAACAACCTGAAGCAACACAATTAGGGGGTAATGAAGAGTACAAGAGTAATAATTTCCAAGTTCAAAAATCAAACAAAATTCATCCTTCAGTCAACTGGGCTACCAAATTAGGTACAATATAGATCAGAAAGAGTATGCTATATTTGTGTATTATTCATATTCTAATATTTCTCTTATATTTTTCTCTTGGTGTTGAGAAAACCAAGTATGTAGATATTACATGGAAAGTATTGCTCTGAATTTTTACTTGAAGAAGGTGGCAGGGGAGGGGAAAGAGAGAAAGATTTGGATGAACAGAGAAGAAAAGGGCCAAAAAAAAGTAAATAACAACAACAAAAAAATCCCACAGGACAATAGTAAAGGAAATTAGGATTCTGAATCAAACAAGATTTCAGAGATGATAATTTGTTTTATCTCCACCAAATAAAATGATAGAATTGTTTTATCTCTGGTACAAAATTGCAATGTCCAGGGGCAGCCAATATTTACTGGACAACACCCCAGTGGGAAACCTAACAACACATCTTCAGAACTTCATTTCTTGACCCCAACATAGGGCCGAGTCAGAGCCTCAGAATCCATCTGTCCCCAGCTTGCTCTGATCACTGATGTGGGCAACCTCAGGGTCAACCGAATGACTGGGAGCATTTTTGCAAGGGGAAGCAGAAAGGTGGTCAGATTCCATACGGACTCTTATAAACTAATTGACTTTTCACCAGAGGGACTTAATTTGATGCTGCAATAGAAACAAATTTTGTCTGCTTGCTTGTACAGTTCAGCTGCTCCTCAGTATTTCACAACCTTC